TGCCCAGGCAGGAACCCTACACCATTTCAGACAAACGGCTGTCCAGTCTCTTCTTAAAAACTTCCAGTGTTGGAGCATTCACCACTTCTGGAAGCAGGTTGTTCCATTGGTTAATTGTTCTAACTGTCAGGAAGTTTCTCCTTAGTTCTAGGTTGCTTCTCTCTTTGATCAGTTTCCACCCATTGCTTCTCATCCTGCCTTGGATCTGTTCCTATACCTATAGAAACAGAAATAGTGTTATGGGTAAAGTTTAATTCTGAAATAATAATCCCCACAGGTTCAGTCTTCAGTGGCAGTTGGAACACCAGATTATATCTCTCCAGAAATTCTGCAAGCCATGGAAGATGGGAAAGGAAAATATGGTCCTGAATGTGATTGGTGGTCCCTTGGTGTTTGCATGTATGAAATGCTGTATGGAGAAACACCTTTTTATGCTGAATCTCTGGTGGAGACATATGGAAAGATAATGAACCACAAAGTGAGTGAGCTATCCTTGTATGTAGAAATGAATGACAGTATCCAAGGAATCTAAAATTGTTTTGCTTAGTAATTCATTTATATTTATTTCTGCCTGTATTTAATATATTTTCTTTCAAAATGCATTTCTCATGGCAGCTCATGATAGAAAATAGTAAAAGGCACACCAGATTATGAAACTTTTGTAAATTAATTCATTTTAAATGAATTAATATATTAATAGTTTTGCTTATTTGATTTACTTATTTATTGACTTGACTTTAAGTGCCCTAACATTTTTATTGATATTCTTGTTCGTTAATGAATGGATTTTTGGGTGAAATCTAATTAAACTGTTCTTCTGGTGAAACTGCTTCTGAAAATTGATCAGGTAGAGGGAATAGTGCCTTCTCCTGCTCCTATACAAATTTCCATGTACCCAGAAGAATGACAAAATAAGGAAAAGATCATTAATGCAAATAAATATTGTTGTAAGGTTGAATTTCACCTTCTGAATTCTGTTTTTGGGTGCAGCCTCCAAAATTGCAACCATATAGAAATGTTTCTTTTCATGTGACAAAAGCATAAATGATAACATTCATAGACAGTATTCACATTAATTGTACTGAGTTAATTTAATTTGCCCTATTTCATCCTTTATCTGCCAACCAAAAGATAAATATGACCACCGACCAGAAACAAGGATGTCTTCTTGTTAAAAGAAGTTCAGTCACTGTTGCAACTAGACTGAATCTGTCAATTTTGATTTTTCTCAGTTTCTCATATTCCCAATTCTTAGTTTGTCACCACCTGGTTAATTAGTTTGCAAGTTTGTCCTTATCCAAAACAAATAAAATACCTCAAATTTTTACACATCTTCTTGCAAATTTCATTTAATATTATCCTTATTTATTTATGGTGCGTATCCTAGTATGTGTATTTTTTTCAAGACAGATACTGTATCTCTGATATAAAATATTCTGTGTATACTTCCTCAAAACATATTTTATGAATTCCTAGGTGCATAACAAAATTCTAAAAACTCTAGATTTTAACATACAAGTATTGAAAATTTCTTACCAATTTGTGCTTATACTTCTGAATAAATTTATTATTGTAGAAGTTTCCTTGGAGAAAGTGATAACTCACATTATGTGGCAATACATTTGTACTTGATAGATTTCTGTGGAAGATATAAATGTATGCATACAGAACCTATGGGTTTTTGCTTCTTGGGATTCAGCAGTTAGTTTATATTTTTTGGTAAAGTAGTTAGCATTAGTTTATTAATTAGCATTCTTTTTTCCCTTTAAGGAGAGATTTCAGTTTCCTGTCCAAATGACAGATGTGTCTGAAAATGCCAAGGACCTAATTCGAAGGCTTATTTGCAGCAGAGAACATAGACTTGGGCAGAACGGAATAGAAGACTTTAAAAGCCACCCATTTTTTTCAGGGATTGACTGGGATAACATTCAGAACTGTGAAGCACCTTATATTCCTGAAGTCAGCAGTCCAACAGATACTTCAAATTTTGATGTAGATGATGACTGTTTAAAAAATTCTGTAAGTAATAGAGGAGAGTGTTTTTAATATGTTACATTGATATTTTTGTATTTATGTATAAAATTTCTACCTTACTTAAATAATACCCCAATCGTTATTTAACATATGCAGCAAATAAACTTACAAACAAATAAATAAGTAAATAAAAATTACTGACAGACATTGCTATCAAAATTATGTCCATTGGGTCACAAAAAAATGGAAATTAATTTCTAAAATAAGCAAAAATGGCAATCAGAAACTCCAAAAAAGACAGATTTTTTAATCCTGGTTTTTATTGTTTTCTCATCTTCTTGTTCTGTACTTTTGGTGATGTAAACATTGTTGGAAATAAGAAGCATTGAACCAGAAACAGTTTTACCTTATCATAAATGACAAAGGAAGCCAGCAGTAGTTTTTATGCAATGGTCTTTTCAAAACTGATATGTTCCAGAACAAACGGCTACTTTTTCTGAATCAGAATACACATTGTGCTAATTTTACCTGAAATTAATATCAATGGATTAACCTTCTCTAAATTAGTTAACTCTTCTTGTTTTTTTAAATCTCAGGAGACAATGCCACCACCAACACATACTGCATTTTCTGGCCATCACCTGCCATTTATTGGATTTACATACACAAGTAGCTGGTGAGTGACCAGTTTCTTTATACTAAATCAGGGGTCCCCAATCCCCGGTTTGTGGACCGGCACCAGTCCGTGGCATGCTAGAAACTGGTCCACGCAAACAAGCAAAGTTCCATCTGTGGGATGCAGGCAGCCCGCGAAACTATGCCCCTTCCAGTCCATGGAAAAACCTCTTTCCACAGAGCCAGTCCCTGGTGCCCAAAAGATTGGGGACCGCTGTACTAAATCATAATAGAATAGCTCAATTATTTCATAATTTGAAAATAAAATAGAGTTAATGTTCATATACACCTTTCCTTGCATTATTTGTTAATGTTTGTTTCTGTAATGGGTGCTTTTTACATGAAAATTTTGAACCAATAGTAGTAAAAAATTCATAGGGCACATTGTTTCCATCCACATAGTAATACAGTAAGTGCAGATTGTATAATAAAACTACACACCAGACAAAATCCCTAATGTTAATCCAATATATTTTTATGCCAGTTTTTGTTGGTTGTTTCCTCTACCTATAATAATAAAAAAAGGTAAAGGAATCCCTGCGGATTTTACTCCATTAATCATTGCTGACTATAGCAGTGCTCATCTCCGTTTCAAGGCCATTGAGCCAGCACTGTTCGAAGACATTTCCACAGTCATGTGGCCAGTATGATGTCATAGAGCACTTCCCACCGAAGTGGTACCTATTTATCTACTTGCATTTGCATACTTTTGAACTGCGGTAGGAGCTGGGTGAAGGACGGGAGCTCATTCCGTCATGTGGTAATCAGGTCTTGAACCTGGACTGCCAGCTTTTCAGCCGACAAGCCCAATATCTTAACCACTGGGCCATCATGCTGACCATCTAGAATAATAGGTGAATGCAAAATATTAAAAGGGCAAAACTGCAAGGGATTTTTTTATGAATAGAGACAAATATAATTGTTGTTTTGCAGAATACGCAATTGGCTATTGAAAGGGCTGCCAACTGATAGAATAGAGGGCTTATACAGTTGGGCAAGTTTTATATAGTAGATCAGGAGTATCAAACTGGCAGCCTGTGGGCCGGATGCGTCACATATAGGCCACCTCCACCCCGGCTCCACAAAGGCAAAAAATGTCACGATACGTCACGTGATGCAATAGAGTTTGACACCTGTGTAGTAGATCATTTCCTTGCCTACATTATCTAAGTATACACAATGCTGCTTAAAAGTTTGTGAATCTTTTTAAATTTTCAATATTTCTGCATAAATATGACTTAAAACATGATCTGTTCTCCATACAAATCCTAAAACCATATAAAACTATATAAAGAAAGCCCAATTAACCAAATGAGTCAAAATCTTTATACTTATTAATTGATTTATTGAATGTGTGGCAAAATTATGTGAACATCTAGGATGATCAGTTCATTTGAAGGAAAAATTAGAATCAGGTATTTCAATCAATGGGAATCTAGTAATTAGGTGTGAGTGTGGAAGTCCTGCTTTGTTTAAAGAATTGAACTCAGGATATTCATTGTCAAAGCCTGAACTTCACAACACAGGTATGTGGAATTGTGTCATAATTTCTACAGATCTCCCAAAAGCAGTTGTTGACATTTATCAGGCTGGAAAAGATTATAAAACTATTTCCAAAGAATTTGGACTCCTTCTCCTCCAGTCCACTGTCAGCAGATTTTGTACAACTGGAGGCAGTTCAACACCGTTGAACTATAATACTATGGGAGGTCTCAAAGAATTTTAAGAGGAGTGATGTCTAAGGAACTAAAGGCTTTAAAAGCTAAAGAAATGAAATGGCCAAGACCAAGTTCTGACCTTAATTCTATAGAAATATAGGACAGGTAGGCAGTTCATGAGAGTAAACACATTAACATCCCTGAGTTGAAGCTTTTCTGTAAGGAGAAATGGGCTAAAATTCCTCCAGGCTGATGTGCAGAATTGATCAACTGAAAGCAAAGTTTCACATCCTTTTGCCATATAACTTTGAATCATTTCCCTCAATAAATCAGTGAACAAGTAGAATGTGTTTCGCTCATTTGTTTAATATTTGGTTCTGTTTATCTAGTTTTAGGACTCATATGGAGAACAGATGATGTTTTAGGCCATATTTTTGCAGAAATATTGAAAATTCAAAAGGGTTCACAAACCTTTTCGCATCACTGCATAATCTGAGATATTTCAAGAGTATACCTAACTGTGTGGGTAATTTTTAGTTATTTTTTTCTACTGACAGAGCTATTTCTTTGCTGGAATGGAGAGAGGTGACAAAACTATTCTCTTCCCTCCTTATGAGTGTCGCCAGTTAAAATTAGGAAGATCATTAGAAGTTAATTTGCAAGTTAATAAGAGGGAGGAGAGACAATGTGAGTGGATTTCATCAGAATGTTCAAGTGGATTTCTACTTGAATAATGTTGGATTTCAATTGCAATTTATGATGGCTTCATCAATATGTTTGCAAAAAACTGTACAACAAAGAGACCTAACTGCTTCCAGTTTTCTGTTGGAATGTATATATAAACTTTTAATTATCCTAATATGAACTTTTAATTATCCTAATATGAAAGTCATAAAAATCAATCTGTTAAAATGTTCTGAATCTGATAACTATCTTTGCAGTGTCCTTTCGGATCGTAGTACTTTAAGATTTGCAGCTGGGCAACGTGTAATGGAACTTGATGCCAGTGTTCAAAGAACACTAGAGGATACCTTAGCTACAGAAGCATATGAAAGACGAATAAGACGTTTAGAGCAAGAAAAGCTAGAACTTAGCAGAAAACTCCAAGGTATTGCTATATAACGTACACATGATTATCTATTTAAGTCAGTTTTGGATTACATGACATATGTGGTGGAAAAACCTTCTATTACTACATTTTCAGTAGAAACAGTATTTGAAAAGATTTCTTATATAACTGAATATTAATTTACTGTGATATAGTCAGTGTCACAACTTAGGAATGATTTTGAATGAAAACAACATATTTTACAAGTAGACATTACAAGAAATTAAAAATATTTTGATATTGCAAAGACATATAGCCAAAGTATTATTAAGACATTTGCAGAAAGAAAAAAAGTAAAGTAAAAATAACAATGTATTGAGCAAAATTAAAACCGTCAGGCCCAATTCATGGCTTACAACTTTAGAAAATGTGGAAAATTGTTATTGGAGGACAAGTTACCTCTAGGGCTTTATTAGGGAAAATTGGTGAGTAATGATGGTTAGACTGAATTTGAAATTAAGGACATAAAAATAGTTTAAGAACTAAAATTGATAGAGGGTGGAATTTCTATGCAAATGTGCATAAGGAGTTTTACATTGTAGGTTAGACAAAAAGTTCAAAGGTTGGGTTTAACAAAAAAAAATATCTGTAGGTTTGTACTGAATACTTGCTTAGCCTTGCTTATGATTTGTAGAAAGAATTTAGCTTGAAAACTACTTTGAGAAATGTGTGCAAATAGTACCTATTTTACATTTAGCACAAAAGCCATTACTTGGTAAATTAACTAACATACTGTTTTTTAAAAAATAGGATCAGTTTAATAGCATAAGTTTTATTTTCTTACTGTTCTTGATCACTAGAAGAAAGTGAAGGTCAGTTCCTTATAGTGAAGAAAGTTATAAATGTTCAAAAACTTTGGCATGACAGAAAGTTTTATAGAATCTTCAAATTAGGGTCCAGACATTGTCAGGCCACAGATACTTTTTGGATACCATATTATGATTTTGAAATGCCAAAATCTATAGATTGAAAATGTTGAATGCAGTTTCTTACATCTCCCTTTGGTTTTTTTTTAAGAGTCCACACAAACAGTCCAGGCCCTACATTATTCAACTGTAGATGGTCCATTAACAGCAAGCAAAGATTTAGAAATTAAAACCCTGAAAGAAGAAATTGAAACATTGAGAAAACAAGTCATTGGTAAATACCAGTATTTAATATTGAAAACATTACAAGTTCTTTTCCAACTTTTGTTTCTGCTCAAACATTTTTCTTCACAAATGTTTCTATTGTTATATTTATCATCCAATGTGAAATGTCAGCAGGTAACCCTTACTTATCAATAGCCTCATGCAGCGACTGTTTGAAGGTAAAATAGTGCTGAAAATATAACTTTGCAACCAAGATACACACATGACTTTCATAGCAACTCTCTCTCTCAATCATGTGTTTGCCTTTACAGTGAGTTAGTATATATTGACCTACACCTGTCCCATTTTTTTTTCTTTTTTTCCCCTTCACAGAGCCGAAAGATTACCTTAAAAAGTGATCTCTTTAGATAATCTTTCTTATCTCATCTCTTTTTTTCTCCCCTCCTCAGAAAAGAGAAATTGGAGAGAAAGGGATTACAAGAGAGTAAGTAGGCACACAATGGGAATACACATTAAAAGGCATGCAGTAACGCTATTTGCCAACCAGATAGTCTAAGATTAATTAGTTAATATCCGTTTTGCTAATTATCCTAATATTGGGGTGAGCATTCCATAGGCTGGGAGACCTTTTTTACATTCATCCTTAACAATTTATTCACTTTCATTCCTGTTCCCTATCAGTGAGGTTTAGGACTTCATTTTGGTAATTTGAAAACTGAGTTAGCAATGAAGAAATCATTGAAACTTACTACTGTAAAGTGTTTTCTTGCTTCATTTCTACTTATAGGGCCATACAATAAAACTGCATTTTCCACTTTACTATTTCCAACTTTGGCATTCCATTCTGCAACCACCAAGCAGCACCTCTTACTTGCATGTTCTGTTGATTTTATATCAAATTTGACCATTAAATTAGTCAACTTCATTTTCTTCTACATTAGTGGTTGGCACATAAATACTGATAATTGAAGGCTGTCCTGCAAGGCCTAATTTATATGATTTGATAAACTAGCTGCATTTACCTAAACAGATTGTACCTAAATACTGTTTTTCCTATGTAGCCTTCCTGATGATGAAAGCAGCACTACACTTTTTGATTTTTGTGGCCTAAGTAGTAAGCAGTATGATCTTCTGACTGAAAATATCCAGTTTTAGTTCTTTTCAATTCAGTGATGCGTAAGATATCAATATGTATTCAGTTCGTTTCATCTTTCATGATGTTAAGCTTTTCCAAGTTCATCTTTTCACATTCTGTATTCCCACTGTATTTCAATTTTGGCAGCTCCAGATTTTCTTTCCTTGCATAGCAGTATCCAAAATGTTTTAACTTAGTTGTATTATAAACCCCATTGTTGCTCAAAAGTACCTTCGTTCTTCCTCAGTAGCATATTAAGAACTTCTCAGTATAAGGGACCCATCATCAGCACTACATTGCAAGTCATTTTATCTTGTCTCTCAGTGTGATTTGGTTGATAAAATACAGGAGTGGTTTACCATTACCTTTCTCCCACGCAATATGAAATCATGTCTTTGCCATTTTTGCCAGAGTCCGTTGATGACAAATGGGTGGCATATAAATACAACAAACAAACAAACAAACAGTAAAATGATCTTCTGTCTCTAGCATCTTTTTATGAGCCATGGTGGTGCAATGGTTAGAATGCAGTATTGCAGGCTAATTTTGCCAACTGCCAGGAGTTCGATTCTGACCGATTCAAGGTTGACACAGCCTTCCATCCTTCCGAGGTTGGTAAAAGAGGACCCAGATTGTTGGGGGCAATATGCTGACTCTGTAAACTGCTTAGAGAAAGCTGTGAAGCACTGTGAAGTGGTATATAAGTCTAAGTGCTATTGCTATATAGCTGCTACCCAATATATATGGTTACTGTATTTGGGATAATTTTAATGCCTTGGGTGATCCTGCTTGGATACTTTTGGCATATCCTCCAGCATTCTTTACTGTCCCTATCAGGACAGTCCCCCTTATCACAATGACGTATCACTACAGGACTTGTGAGGCTTATTTTTTATATTTGAGCATGGTTATGGTGAGTTCTTTGCTGAATTAATGTAATACCATTTGCATTTCATTTAGATTCTGTGTTCAGATTAGTACTCCTATCTCAAAAATGGTATAGAAAGGGATAACCAAAATGAAGAAATGAGAGTGTCACTATTACTAGAATATGTCCAGGTTAGCAAATAAGATGATAACAAGATGATATGTTTAATTTGCTGTCCTGAATAAAAACATGAAGTGTATTGTTTGTTCTTTTATTTCCTGCTATTATAAAAGTAAGGATTTTAGATGACATTGGAATTCACTAATGGCAAAAAGATTGATGAAAAACTTTATTACACAAGTCACTATAATAAGACATGTAATAGTTACTAGCTTTAAAGGAGATTTTATAAATCTATCAATAAATCTTAGTCACACTTACAAAGTAGAGTTTTTAATTCTTAATTCTGTTCCCTGTGATTTCCATATATAGAGTTTTGCTTTTTCATAATAGCATATCTAGAATATTTCAAGCCTAATATTTTGGGTGAGAGTCTCACCCAAATCTGTACAAAGAAGAAGTAAAAGAGCTGCCCCTGCACATTCCTTCATTATCTTTTAACCAAGTTCAAATTTAGATTCAAACCTCTAAAGTTTGGATTTCAAAACTCAAAAATAATATTTAAAACAGACAAATTAATTTAAAAGGCTTGGGTGAAAAGAAAGATTAAGACTTCCCTTTTAACACAGAAAAAATGAAGGTTAAGTATACCTTCTAAGTAAGGGAATGCATTCCATATTTTGGTCATAGTGCCAGAAAAAGCCCTCTCTTGACAAATGAGCTTATAATATCACAAGCATCTTTGAGATAGTTTCATAGCTGTCATTCAGATATTCAGGCCCTGAGCTTTTAAGGGATTTGAAAATCAAAAACTAAGCCTTCAATTGTCCCTATATTAATTTATCAAAATTAATATAGTATGATCTTAGCATTTTTTGTGGCAGATAGCATCAGAACTCAGGAATATGGTAGTATCTTTCTTGACTAAGAGATTTTAATAAGAGGAATAAGCTTTTGTGAACCTTTTACTAAGTTGCTAGTTAGAAAAGCTTCTACAGATTTCTACAGACTTAGTATCTGTAGTAGTGCCCAGAGCTATTTTCATTGTGCAGGTGTTGCTAATGACAGAGCCAGTTTGGTATAGTGATTAAAGATACTAGCCTAGAAATTGTGAGTTCTTGGCCTGCCATAGAGACAAAGGCAGCTAGGTAACTTTAGGTCCTTTCTCTTAGCTCTATGAAGATGGCAGTGGCAGACCACTTCCCAAAAATGTTACCAAGAAAAGTGCATTAGACTTGTGCATGCAGTTACCAACACTGACTGGAAGGCATAAAATCAATCTATCTTAGTGTCATCATCTTAGCTGCTCCATTTTGCATGACAAAGCTTCCAGGCATTCTTCAAGAGTAGTCTTACATAGACACCGTATACTAGTCTAACAGTGATTTAGCCAAGGCTTTGGTATTCATTGCCAGATCCAAATAGCTGTAGAAAAATTACAGTTGTTACAGTTGATGCACTGTAACAACTGTGGCATCAAGGAGCACTTCCAGACTACAGATCTATATTTTTAAGGAAAGGGTACACAATATCCGTTGCCATCATTAACTGAGAATTGTGGATTGTTAAGCAAATACTTGTCCCAATCCAAGTCATTCCAGGTTTGGTCCCTTTCAGTCCCGAGTAAAGTAAGAGACTGCCTCCAACTCCTCCCCCCCACTCGCCTCTCTTCCCCACATCTCTCCCTGCCCTGTGGGGCAGCAAGCATTCCTAGAACTGCTTAGCTCTAGGGCTGCTTACCACACTCTGGAAAGCAGCAGCTGCCTGAGTCACCCTTGCCTGCCTGCACTCCAAGACGTCTGCTCCTCTGCACTCTGCTGTCTGTAGACTGTAAGACTAAACATTTTGAAATGCAATTGAAATAGTCCCATATCTTTATGAACAGCACAGTAAAAAAAAAAAACCTAGAATTTTTCTATTTGAAATGTCAAAGTTCTAGCTTCTGCTATCTTATTCCTTGTTCCCAAGAAAATGATCTCAGTCAGCACCTTGGCAATATGTCTGAAGCAAAAACAAATGGACACTTTAGGATAAATTAAGCTCAAGATATTGTACATAAGGAAAATGAATGGTATAAAATTATTCTGTGTGCTTTGTTTATTTCTTTTAAGTGACTAATCATTTGTTTTAAAAATAAAAGCTTGGGGAATAGATTCCTTTTGCAGTTTCAGAAATAATAAAATAAATATAATAAACAAATATTACATTGAATTAGAGCTTTAATTATTTAATTTATCTTCCTTTAATTAAGAGTAATTAATGTCAACTGCATATAATAAGATGTGAACTACAAAATTTTATCTTAAGTAAGGCAACACGTCTGCTAATTTTAAAAACATGCACACAAAATACCAAGCACTCTTCAATTTAATTTGCCAAATTATATACCAAAGCTTTTGGCTTAGACAATGTCTCACCTGACTGCTATGTATAAATGTTATGCAATACTTTTTATTACATGTTTTTCTTAAGAGAAAATAACAGCATAACCTGTATTACAACCTGTGATTCTGAATTTCATGAAGATGAATATCATGAAATTAACAGTTGCATATAAGAATTTCATGTTTACTTAGTCAAGGGTGCTTCTTAAAATCTGAATTCAAAGTTGATTTGTAGAACTTTGAATGTTTTTCCTTATTTAGAATTAAGTTTACGAACATTAAGACTAAATATTGTGGGTTCTGTTGTTTCAATATGGTAATTGCAAAGGGCATATTTATTCCTGTTATGTTCTTTTTTATGTTAGGCTCAGTTATTATCTCTGTATATTCAGCATGCTCATGTTTTCATGTCTGTCATATTCTTCTGTGCCTATATTCTGAAATCACAGAAATAAGTAAGATGGAAGCAAAATTGTACAACCAACCAAAACCTTCAGATATCAACTTGATGTTGTATTTTTTTTTCTAAAAACAACACCCATGGGTTGATATTGTACCAAAAATAATAAAGAAAATATTAAGAAAGCATAAGGGCCTCAATACGGTTTCTTCTAGGTAGAAATATTTTATTTTTTCTGTTCAATTTTATTTCAATATAGATGTTTGAAAATAGGAAATGAATTTCTCATTCTGCTCTGCATTTGTCACAGTTAATGTCACACTTTATAACCAAGTGGATTCAGGATTAATGATATTGTGTTCTGTTCAGTCTGTGGGCCCTTTGACAACTAGTACAGTGCTTGTCTATAAATCCCTTTTGTCTTTTTAATTCAGATTATTCATATTACCATGCACACAAGACATATCAGAGAAATATGTCTCCCACTAGCATTACACTGGGCTAACTAGGATATGTTTATATTTTATCTTTAGCGGCTTTGTATACTTAGGATCTGTAATTCTCTATCTAGGGAAGGTCATCTCATACCCTGTATTAATGACCTTCCATAAAATTTGGACATCCCCATTTAAAAAGTCCTTTGTTGAATAGGAAGTTACTATTTTGTTTAAATTAATCTATGGAGAAAGAAAATTGTGATCAACCTGGAGTTTTTAAATTAAAATTTTATAATTATTTTTAACAATGCTAAGCTTCCTGTGGAGCAGATCCCACATCCATAAAATAATACAGATGTGAAATCCCACCCTGACATTGGAGAGAATTCTCGGAGCTAGGAAGAGAAAATCTAAAATTAGCAAAATTGACCACAGACCCCACACTAATCCGTACCCTTAGTCTGGAGTTCATTTTACAGAAGACACAATTTGATGAAGAGATGAAGACAAGTTCGCTTACCTCTTATTTTAACTGGCAGACAGTCCTGCTACCATGGTCAGCACTTCACACATACAAACTGACAAATGGTACTTAAACATTCAACTCTTCTGGGAAGTTGGAATGAATAATGGTCCTTTTTGTTGTCCAAAGTGAGCAGTAAGGCTTCTATTTTAATGTTTTATATTTCTCAGTAATTTTCTCTTATAGATTCTGGACAATTAGAGCAGCAACTTGAAGAGGCGAGTTCTGCACAAAGAGAATTAGAAGATGCTACCAGACACATCAAAAGTTATGAGAAGCAAATCAAAGCACTAAAGCAAGAGCGGGATGATTTTAATAAGGTATAAACAACCTGATCAACATTTTTACTTCTATTTTACTTTTAGAATACTTCACTTTCAGATTTAGTCATCTTAACATAGTTAACACAGCAAAATGATTAGGTCATATAATTTTATCTGCATTTGATAGTATTTCTGAAATGATTATTATTAAAAAATAGTTATAAGTGTCACTACATGAGCAGTTCTGTATGATTGATTTCACAATTTAAAACACTTCAGGAGCTCACTGCTACGTTTATATAGAAAGCTTTCTTAGACTCAGGTAAAATTGTTAATTATGTGGTAGATCATGGAAGGACTGTCACTATACCAAAGTTTGCAAATAGTGACATAAATAACATTCAGACATCCTGTATTGTATGAATGCATTATATTGCACAGAGAGAAAGGAGGATATTTGAATTTGATAATCTGAAAATTAACCTTGGAAGTTAAATTATCTAGTAAAAACCACCATGAAAATCTGTGATAATAGCATTTTAAAGTACTTTAAATTAATCTACAATTCCATTATTGTGTGTGATTAATTGTAATAAATACTTAACTTAGTTCTATTATCTTAGAACAAAAAAAACAGTCATCTATGTTTATGTCCATATCTATATCAACTAAAGGTATATTAGTTGCTGAATGTTGTTTGATAGAAGGTCACATAAAAGCTTGCTCACTAACAAGTAGCAACATGCATATGTTACTGAATCAGAACGCAAGGCTCTTTGACTTGCAGCATCTAACTCCTTAGTGCAGAATAAAAATTACTAGAATTGCTTTCTTTTCTGTATCAGCATAATAACAGATAGTAAAAAATAAACCTACACCCTTTGCTACCTTCTTCTTGGGGAAAAGATAAATCTGAACTTCATATAATATATGAAATTTTATGGTTTAAATAGAGGCCTGTTGCTAATGGAATTCCTTATGACCATAAAATATTGATTGTGGTTTCATAGAAATTACTGTGTTAGTTTATTCTTAATTAAAACAGTGATCCAAGCAATGCTGTGGCTATCTTTTCTCAGCGCTTGGAGACCGTAGAGACCTAGATGAGGAATAACAGGCTTCAACTGAATCCTGGCAAGATGAAGTGGATGGGGATGCTGGGGTTCTCAGGATCTGGTTATTTATTATCTTTAGTTTTGGATGGGGATGCACTACCCCAGACAGACCTGGTGCACAATCTGTCACTACATGAGCAGTTCTGTATGATTGATTTCACAATTTAAAACACTGCAAGTCCACTTTCCTGGACTTGCAACTCCTGCTCAAAGAGTAGGTGGCAGTCATGGCTAGGAAGGTAATTGTGCAATTGATGTGTGTGTCTTTTTCACCCTTATCTGGATCCTGCACACAATCACTCATGCCCTAGTCATCTCTCAGTTGGATTACTGCAATGCACTCTACATGGGACTACCCTTGAGAGTATCCAAAAGCTAAAGCTGATGCAGAATGAAGTGGAGCATACAGTTCTACAGCCCGTACAGTGGCATATATAACACAATTGTTGCACAAGCTTCATTGGATACCACTTTTCTTTCAAGTCTAATTCAAGCTGTTGGTTATTACCTTTAAAGGCCCATGTGGCATGGATCTAGGGTATCTGAAAAGCCATCTCATCCCAATGGGATTAGTCTGCTCTGCTCTCACCAGTGGAAGAGGCCTGCTACAGACCCCTTTTGTTAAGGAATTTTTGTGGGTGGGGACAAGAAGAGCCTTTTCCACTCTATGGAACACTCTTATCACCAGACGTGAGAATTGCTCCCTTTTAGCCTTCCAGAAGGGTATTAAAACTTAGTTTTTCCAGGGGAATACTCACTGCTGGAGGTGGTTTATGGGGTAAGAAGACCTTATCCCCATGCCATTCATGTCCTTAGTTCTGTTTTTTAGCTAGTTTTAAAGTTTTAATATGCATAGCTTTAATTTTTTTATTGCTTTTCTATTTTTCTTTTTTTGTTCTATAAACTGTCCAGAGACACCCTATTGGGGAGGTGGACAGCATATAAATTTAATAAATAAATAAGATATATGTCTTACTTGTTTTAGCCCTATTTAGTGGTAGAAAGCTAATATTTAAGGGTATGTCATATTTTGTTTCTGATTGCAGGAACTGCTTGACTCCAGTGAGAGATTAAAGGCACAAACCAAAGAACTGAAAGATGCACATAGCCAGCGGAAACTGGCCATGCAGGAATTCTCTGAGATGAATGAGCGACTTACTGAATTGCATTCACAAAAACAGAAGCTTACCCGCCAAGTTAGAGATAAAGAAGAAGAGATGGAAGTGGTGATGCAAAAGGCAGAAAGCTTGAGACAAGAACTACGTAGAACAGACAGAATAAAGAAGGAAGTAAGTTTAATCTCTCTCTCTCTCTCTCTCACTTTTAGTGCACCAAAACTCACCACATATTTATCTTAGGGATTCTATTACATGAGAAAGTTCACTTAAATAATTTAAATTCAAGTGTTTGTCTTTTAGTTGATTAAACAATGGTAATTTTAAATAATAGACTTTTTCTGCAATTCATTTTTAATCTTCTAAATATGCTTATTGACATTATCATTATGATATAATTATATATGCAGATGAATCCAGAAGTTTCTGGTGCATTACTAAGGAAAAACATTGCTAAAAAGAATGTTTATGATTTTAAAATTATATTTGTAGATGGAAGTTCATGCTGAAGCTGCAACTGCTGAGGCATCCAAGGACAGGAAGCTACGTGAGAGAAGTGAGCAATATTCTAAGCAGCTGGAAAATGAATTAGAAGGACTAAAGGTTAGTCTTTATTGATTTCACCATTTTAAAGCATGTAACTGCCTTTGTCTGATATAGGGGTAGGAGACTTGCAAGTTTGTATATTATCATTTACAATAGCTTATTTTGAGATGATTTTAAATGGAAAGCATACTAAAATGCATAGAAATTAATCATCCTTAACATAGCCTTTGTTCATGTAGCTATCCATTAGATATGTAATTTTAAGGTATTTTAGTAATGTGTTTTCTATATATACTACAAAAACTTTCATGTCTATAACCTTAACTGGGTGAAATGGTGCATGATAGAGCAAAACGTTTTGAACCAAGGTACTTCAAATGAGTTTACTTACATCCAAAATTGAGGATGCATGATGCCTGTGGAATTGAAATTTGGCAAATCTTATAAAGCAATTTATGACATAATATAAAAATGTCATAAATCATTTCCTGTGGTCAAATTCTGATGGGCTATCATGGGCTACTTTCCAGGCAAAATGTATCTGTGAATATCTCCCTGAATTGTTAAGAACTTTTCAAGTGCATTAGAAGTTTTGCCATTGTTTAAGGCATTGAAGAATGAGGATTCTGATAAGGAAATATCTCTGAAACAATGACCCAAGGATGATATTGCTTTTTTGTAGCAGAAGCAAATTGGTTGGTCTCCAGGGGTGAGTAGCACAGAACATCAACAAGAAATAACAAAATTAAAAGCTGACTTGGAAAAGAAAATTGTTTTTTATGAAGAAGAGCTGTCTAAACGAGAAGTAATACATTCTAATGAATTAAAAAATCTGAAGAAGGAATTCCGTGATGCAGAGATCCAACAACTTGCTCTCAAAAAAGAAATTCTGATATTGAAAGACAAATTAGAAAAGACAAGGAGAGAAAGGTATGACCATTCATGTACAATTCCTCTGTACTTGGATATTTTTATGATTTTAAAAAAGTTGATACAGCTGCAGATATTTATATTTGTATATCCAAATAATATTCTGGCCTAGAGTAACAAATTAATGTATTTCAGCCTTTGAAACAAAATTAATAGCAAATAAATAGATTCATTAGATTCACTATGACCTGTCAGAATATATGTAAAGATTGTATCTTAAATGTGTTGGGTCTTTGCAACTATATTTATACAATAAGGAATGTCTTTACATAGCCTCTTTTGAACTGTTTTACTTAAAAGATGAAGATGAAGAGTAATGCTGGTAAATTACCTTGAAAGAGGAATTTACATATGCACTACATTCACTGTCCTAGATAGTTTGTATATATCTGCCTCTGATTTTGATTGAATTCTGAGTGGGTTTTCTTTATAAATAAAGGTCTGTCTCTATCCATAGTAGGTTATGGTAAAATGGAGAGACTCTGTTGGCTGAATGAAGGAGATAATTCTTTTTTTGTTTAAAGATTCTCCTGCACACTTCCGTGCTCCGGTCAGTAGGGCAACCCTCTGAGTGAAAGTGGAGATGTGAGCAGATGGTATTGGCAGAATAGAGTGGGCAACTATATTTATTTACCCATATTATTGATAAGGCAACAATAGCAAAATAAATATAAAAACAAAAATTTAAAAACCATATAAAAAACTAGAACCAAGGAGATGGATGGCACAGGGATGAGAACTTCTGTTTACCCCATCAACCACCTCTAGTGATCCCAAGCCAACTGGCAAAACCAAGTTTTTATATGCTTCCAGAAGGCCAAGAAAGTGGGAGCAGTTCTCACCTCTGGTAGAAGAACAATCCACAGCACCAGGGCCTCAGCAGAAAAGGCTCCTCTCCTTGTCCCCGCCTACTGAAATTCATGAGAAAGGTTCTGCAGCAGGGCCCTTCTGCTGGAGCAAGTGGGGTGGGCTAGTCCCATTGGATTGAGAGAGCTCCTCAGATACCCCGGACCCATATCATATAAGGTTTTATCAGATACTCCTCTTTTTTGCCCAACTGGAAGATTCTAACATAACTCCATTCTGATAATTATTTCTCTAGCAAAAACAAAGTGTTTCCCAATTATCTGAATGTAGTCTTTATATATGTAAATATTGCTAACAGTTTCTTTTGTAGTAGATTTCATTAAAAATAGACGTGTAAATATATTTATGATTGATGGTATCTATTCAAAGAAACAGGATTTGGGCCACAAAATGTGCTTTATTATTTAAAGCACATTTAGATTATAGAATTAGAAGGGAACATTTAGGACCACCTACTCCATGGAGGAATTAGTATTAAATAATCCCTAGAGCTAGCTGTCTGGCCTTCACTTGAACATATCCAGAAAGGTAACATTCAGTTCCACTGCTGAATTACTCTTACTAACAGAATATATTTTCCTACTATTTGAACTACAATCTCTGTTCCTATAATTAATCTATATCGTGTACTCTGGGAGAACAGAGACATGGTTTTGATTCTCTGTGCAACATCCTTTGAGATAATTGAATCCAATCTCAATAATCTTTATTCAAGATGAAATATCACTCATTATACTTCTCAATAACTGCTGTAGTTTTTCTGAATCTTTCCTAGAATGCACTGCGCATTTTTGGACACAGTATTCTTTGCAGCAAAACTTGACCTGTATAGAGGTTTTACGCCCAACTTTAGTAAATCTAAACTGGAACTATCTATAAGTTATTATTGTATCACCATGGGATGCTATTGGATCATGACTGCTAATTTACAGATATCAATTGTCCTGAAATTCAGCTGTGCAGGATAATTGTTATTATATAGTACTTGGTGCTTAGTAAATCCCTTCAATAAGCATTGAATACTTGAATGGTTGACTCTAACCAAATTCTGTCCCTTCTGAGTATTTCATGTTCTGTTTATCAAAGTTATAATTTTATAATTGATATTTTTATTTTTATTTAGAAAAGAAATATCTTGGATTCTGTAAAGAGTCAAAAAGATGTTATATTAAAATAGTCAGGAAACACACTTGACAAAATGACCAAAACAGATAATTTGTGAGAAATAAACATCAAGTACCAATTCTGACAGTACAGATTAATTGAAATGAATAGTATTGGAATTTCTTTTTCTATTTTTTTAAATTAAATATAAAATGAATAGTACATGAAGTTTATACCTCAGTCTTGACATTGTTCTTGAAAAACATGTTATTTTACCTTTATCTTTCTTCAGTTGTTTTTCTGTAGTTTATACTGATATCAAGACGTATTAAAGAAGGCCTTGCTTTGAGAGATATTTTTAAAATATCTAGCAAAAATGCTGTAAGGAGAATGCTGATTAGTTTGTTAGAAAATAGGCAAAATGAAATATTTTAATGGCTATTAAAGGAATTAGCAAGATGACATTCTATTGTAAAAACAGTTTTTGCAAAATGGCAACTCAAAAAGATATGTACCACATTGTTTTGTTGCATTTTGATAAAATATCAGGAGTATATACTTAATTGCAAATTTATGATACTGAGAGTCTCATTGTGGGCACTCTTATTTAACAGAACTATTCTAAACTAATTGTGTGCAGAACTGCAGCATGTATTCCACTGCCCTGCTTTTTTATTTGTATCTTCCACTATTTTTTAGACCAAAGGTGCTGAAATAGAGAAGAAAATTGTATCAGGATTGAAGCTTGAAAGCATATCTATGTTTCACCTAAAATTAATTTTCTTCTGTTAACACTTGAACCACCAAATAATGAACTCAGATTTTTCCCTTGTACTATTCTGAAGCAGTTTCATTTCTTTCTATCTTCAGTTGTAGTGTTCAACATCCGATCTCTAAATTTGTCATCAGAGTTTGTTTACATAAAGTTCCACATCACATCTTTTGCATTTTGCAAAATAAAAGCAATTTTAAAAAATACTTCTAGAAAATTTGTGCTAAACACGAATATCAAAATAAAGATGTAATCATATGCTTAATTTGAAGAATGGTGAACTGTTGTCTGAGAAGTTAGCCTTAAACCCCAGTCTGAGGCATAGCTGTGTGACCCATTATCCATCCCCCTGAGAGTTAATGCTTTAATCTTTGTTGGCTTTACCCCAGAATGTTCATCATATGCATGGAATCTGTTAGTTGAAGAGAGGAGTGTATGGTGTTAGATTACAGCTTCAGAGTTTGAACAGCAGTTATTAATATGCAACACTGTTGGAATGAAGCGTTGTGTTTCAAAAGATGCCTAGCAACATGCCAATTCACAACTGGTTCTGATATGCTGTGTTGTATGTCAGAGTCTGGCTGAAAAAAATAATAATTTGAAGGCAGGGTATTTTGTTCCCTTTCTCTACATTTTATTCTCATAGTTAAACTGATAAACATTTCTGAGTATCTTTGGAGAACGATTATAAATTCTGTCCTATAGACATGCCACAAGCATAATTATAGGGATTGTTTAAGCATGATAGGTTAAATAATTTTATTTTTTCAGCTAGCTTTCCCTATTGCCTTCAGTTCTTGCTAAGCAAAGATATGTAAAAATTATAGCTCATATAGCACAGTTATAGCTAGTAAATAGCTATATAATAGGCAGGAACTAGAGGCAGGGCTTTTTTGTCTTGTTTAAGACAATTAGGGTTAAACAGTTTAACCATAGGGTGGGAAGGAAAATCCACAATATTTCATCTTTGTTTCATGTACTTACTGAGGACTATTTATTAGAGCAGAATGTCGTTCTGCTTATGCTATTTTAATGTAATACTTATGAGGGTTTTTTTAAGGATTCGTGATTGTCATTATAAGACTCTAATATGCTCCACTTCAAATAAAAGTATACTAGATGGATACCCAGGTACAACAAAATGATGTCTATTTTATTCCAGAATTGCCACAAAACAAGCTTAATAACTTTTTGAGTTGTGTTTATCCATAGAAACTATGACATTGGCTTTTGACCTTGTTTTATGGAGTAGAACTATGGAATAAATTTTGTTCCATAAAAAATTATGGAAAGATGCAGTTATGGCTTGATCCCAGTTATAACTGTTATTATATCTCAAGTTCAGGTGCCCAGTGGAATGACTTTCTGGACTGTAGGGGAAGTTGTCAGTTCAGCTTTTTATGTATAAACTTTTGATACATGTGATTCATTTTGCCACAATAAAACAAAACAAATTATATCAGGTAAAGGTTGAAAGCAAGTAGTGATCTGAAGCTGTTTTTATGATAAGGAAATGCAATCTACAGTATAGTTTATCTTTTCAAATATCACATTATGATGTGAAAAATGCAAAAAGAACAGTTTTCTCCTAAAGTGAAATAGCTTCTGTAATTTTTCATTTTAATATATTGCCAAGAATATAGTTGAAGTGCATTAAAAAGAAAAGTGACTTGGATCCCACTGCCTCACTGATTTCTCACTTTTCAAAAGGATCTTCCAATCATCCTGTAAAATTTTTAGGAGAAGAAGGAGAAAGACAATTCTCATTCCATTTTATAAATCTCAAAATTAACATTATTTATATAGGTTGTTTAATACTGTTTAATACAGAATATACTCCAAACTATTGTACAGTTTTAAGACTCTTTTACAAAACCTTATGAGATATGATACTTCTCCCTCAACATACAGTTATTATTCATGAAACATGAATGTAAGGAAATATGTTCACATTTCTTAGAAAAGTTGTCTGTTCCTCTCACTTTTAGGATTCTTTATTGCCTATAAAATGTTACTTATCCTGAAATTTAGGAATGTTCATATTAAAGAAGATTGCTTAATGATAAATGAGAATTTGGATGTTTCAAGAGTTTTGTTATAATTAAACCAACTTTATTAACCTAATGGGAATCAGTATGCATCAAGCTTTTCAGATTTTGAAAACCATATATGGCAATTGTTTCTTTTATACTGACTAGGATTTTGAAAATGCAGTGTTATAAAAATGAGTAAGCATACTGAATCAGAACACTTATTCTGAACTGTGACTGTTTGAATTCATAGACTATATATTATAATAGTGAAGCAGGAGGAATGTCATCCAGAATATCCATGCAATATAATTCTCTCTGAAATTAAAGAGCTTTGTTCAATGAAACCTAGACATATTTTGGTTATAATGATGCATACTTCAAACAATCCATATGTTTAAGGAATTTATGAATTGGAACTGCAAACATCTGCTAACGTAAATTCTAATATTATATAGTGTTATTATAGAGCAGTGGTTCTCAACCTGTGGGTCGGGACCCCATTTGGGGTCGATCGACCATTTCACGGGGGTTGCCAAGCAAGGCTGTCCGCCATTTTTTTGTCCGCCATTTTTTTCCCCTTTTCCGGCGGGTGCCTTACCTCCCTTGGGCTGGGCCAGCTGGTGGTCGGCCTGCTCCGTCTCTGCCGCTTGCCAGCTACGCCTTGGCCGGCGCAGGGGCCGGAACCACGCATGCGCGGCGCTCCTGGGCAGGGAAAGTCCTCGACTTACGACCGATTGGGTAGTCCTCGACTTACGACCGGTTTAGTCCTCAACATACGACCGGTTTAGTCCTCGACTTACGACCGGTTGGGGTCGCGGCATTAAAAAGGTTGAGAACCACTGTTATAGAGCATATTGTATGGATTACCATGTTCTTTTTGGTCTTGGTTACTGTGGGATCTTAATATTTTTATGTATATTTTAAGTTGTGATGAAACATATATGAGGAAATTATACTTTATGTATGATAACTGTGTTGCACATTTTACCATAGCCAAAATGAAAGGGAGGAGTTTGAAACAGAATTCAAACATAAATATGAACGGGAGAAGATTCTACTGACTGAAGAGAACAAGAAGCTTTCCAATGAGCTTGACAAGGTGAGTGATATATTGTTTAAATATACATTAATGTATTGGGCAGAATTAGGTAAAGTTGATAATAGAACTTATTTATTTGTTTAGATTGATATATATTGTCATCAATCTTGCTAAGCACAAATCTAGGTAGCTAACAAAAATTTAAAATAATACTATAAAAAAGACAAAAAATATAAAATAGCTGCCAAAGCAACCATGCCACCAAGAAATATGGGCTCAACTACTCTCCTGATACATATGCCCAGAAAAACAAACAGCTCTTAAGCTCTTTTCCAAAAGGCCAGCAGAATCAGACCAGCATATATTTGGGTTGACCTAATCTTGGATGGTATGGTATTCCAAGGGACAGGCGCTGTGATAAAAAAAAGCATACATTCTGGGTCCCATTGGATGACATTTTCTACTCAATGGGACCTCCTGCCAGACTTGATGAGATTAGTAGAGTCAGTTGGAGAAAAGGCTTTATAAATAACAACCAATACCTTAAATTCTATCCAGAAGAGGGTCAGTGAAGCAAAGGAGTAATGTAGTAGGATGAGCCACCACATTCTGAACCTTTTGCAATTTCCACATGTTCTTCAAGGACAGCAGCATGTAGAACTCATTTCAGTAATCAACTTAAGAGGAATCAAAACATGAGTTACAGTATACACTGCCTCTTGCTCCAGGAAAGGTCACAAATGGTACACAGCACAAGGTTTTACAAATGCCCTCCTAGCCACAGCTGCTGTCTGCTCCTCAAATAGGAGCCATGAATCCAGAAGAACGCTCAAGTGGTATACTAGTTTTGCCTACTTATCCAAAATTAAAGATGGAAAGTTACCAGTTCCAGATAGCCCTAAAATCCCAAACCACTTAGTCTTAGTCTTAGTCTGAGGACAATCAACCAGTGGAACAGCTTACCCCCAGAAATCGTGGACGCTCCATCGCTGGAAGTTTTTAAAAAGAGACTGGACAATCACCTGTCTGAGATGATATAGATCCTCCTGCTTGAGCAGGGGGCTGGACTAGAAGACCTCCAAGGTCCCTCCCACCTCTATTCTATTGTTATTGGATGAGTTGAAGCCTATTCTTGCTGAAATAAATAAAAATGTTTTTAATGTTACGGTGTTATTTTTAGAGGTAGTTTATCAGTAATGACACTTTGGAAAATTTCAGAAGTTACAACTTTTTTTTCGCAGAAAGACAATTGAAAAATAAGAAAATACATCATAGATATATGTAACATGTAAGAAACTCCTGGGGCAATACATAGTGCCCCATTTAGATTTTTTAAATGCATGATAAGCTCAGTAGAAAGCACTTTCAGATCACTATCGCAGAATCATAATTGTGACCATAATATTTTTTTAAAAAATATTTAGCTTACAGCAATGTATGAAAGGCTAAGTATGAGTAACCGACAACTTGAAGAAGAGATGAGAGATCTTGCTGACAAAAAAGAATCTGTAGCACACTGGGAAGCCCAGATTACTGAGATCATCCAATGGTAAGGACATTTTTCTGTTTGTGACTCATGCACTAAGGTACATTATTTTTGCATAACAAAAAATAATTTTGCAGTTTTGTTTTGAGTGTTCTGATAATCCCAACTCCTCTTAGAGGAGTATAAATCATGTCAGATAAAAGTTCTTGACCTTTCAAGAAGTCATAAGCCATACCTAAGAGAATTAATCTCGCTTGCTTATATTTCATTAGCTGTAGTAGTTTCATGCATGAATATATAATAGAACAAAGGAGCTATTAAAAACCTTGAGCTGTTATTGTTCCTAATAAAATATTTTTAAGTGGATGAAACGTGGTACAGTCACTTGGCACTTTCCTCAAACTGAAACTAATAGCATAGAATGCAAACTGACTTTCCAGTAAAAATGTTTATATCAAATAGACATCTCCCTGAGTGACAAGACTAAGAGTGAAAAACAGGGATGAATTCAGAATTGTTAATGGAAAAATACTTTTGCTGTAATCTGTTATCCCGTTGTTTTATATTTAGGTCTAATTTTAACAAACTTTTCCACAAGTCATTTAACATTGATTAATGTTAACATCTTTTATCAGACTAACATATTTACTATTCATCTTGCTTGCTTTCATAGCAGCTGTGTAATTTATTTTTTATTAAAAATAGACAAACAGAGGTCTTTTAGAGAAATATTTAGCTCATCTGCATTTTTATTTGTAATGCAATTTTGCTGTCCTTATTTAGAAATAGTTCTCTCTCTCTCTCTCTCTCTCTCCCTCCCTCCCTCCCTCCCCCCCTCTCTCTCTCTCCATGTTTATTTTTACAGCCTGATTTATAAGCAAAAAATTAAAAAAATCAAAGCTACATAATTTGAAATATTTTTTTCAACTCCTCTGCTATAGCTTTTGTCTACAAGAAAAAAACTATAACATTGATATATAACATTGACAACTATATTTTACTGAGTCTCTCATTCATTCATTGGAAACATAATATTATTGATGAAGATACATCTGCTGTCTAAAAAAGAAAATTGAAATATAATAGATACACCTTGGTTATTAAAAACTATTTGGAGTAGTTTTAAAACTATTTAGGATAATGGCATTTCAGAACTCAGAACATAAAATTGTTTCCTCAAAACAACAGACATTCCAGAATGGAGAAGACAGACTTGGAGTTTGGAATGTTCCATTTCTCACCTGTGGATTTTTCTTTGATCACAGGAGACCCAACTATTCAATAGATTCACACCCTCATTCAACTTAAGGCTCTCAGAGAGTCCCAACATTAATTCTTCCCCAGCTAACTAATCAGCCATTAACTATGCAGCAGAGAATGTTAGCAGCAGGCTCACAAGAATGTGAAGAGGGAGAGAAGGAGAGGCATTGGTATCTTGAAACCAGGGATCTGATTGTTCCTTTCTTCTACTAATAACAGAAGGAAATAGCAATATTGCCTTCATCACATATTTCCCTAAAAGGACAACTGCACGCCCTAACCATTTTTCATTCTTTTTATATGCCAATTTATATTAGTTGGTGCTATTGTTCTGGGATTGATACAAACATTGTTTTGTATTGGAGGGGGGAAAATGCATTTACTAGTTATCTGCATTTAGTAGCATACCTGCATATAATATGGAGGACAATTCAAATAAACAATGAAGATTTAATTTTCTCTGGAGATACTGCCTTATTCTTAAACCTTAAATTTACTTATATAATCTTCATTCAGAGTTCATGTCAATGTGAGCAATCTTATTTTTCTCCTACGTTCAGTCTTCATAATATATAAGCTATTCTGATCCCTCTCCACTTTTTAATATATTTTACTATTGCAAATATACAGAAATGGGGGGGACACATGGACTGCTCTGCTACTAAGAACATTTGCATATTTAATTTGTAATATTTTTGTCTCTTCCAAAACAAAATGTTGAAACAAAACATATTATTCTAATATGCCACACTCTGATTCCTGCAGAGCAAATCAACATTCCATGGACCCAAATTGTCAATTGTTGTTATTGTTATAATGATTTCCCTCCAATTTGGTAACTTCAGTATGACCACAACTCTAGTGTTGCTTTGACTTTTGCATTATTTTTTTTATTTTTTTTTATTCCAACACAGTAGTCATAAAATAACTCGAGAAATATTAAAAATATATGTCACTGTAAAGTCATAGTAGATTTGCCTTATGCTATAGTTAGAATCAAATTAATGCAATTCTGTTATAAAATAATAGTGAAAAGCTATCATTATAAAGATGCACATTTTCCTCCAAATGTCAAAAATTATGTCATATATTTACATATATTTTTGAATTTATCTATCTTTATAAATAATAAGATCAGCTACTGAAAAATGGTAGAAGCAATCCAGTGGTTATACTGAGCCAAGATTCCTGAATCAAAAGGACTTCACATAAATCAATTACGTTATTTCACAATTGAATCACAATTTTAAAACGTTGTGATTCCTTTACCAACAGTTACTAAATATGTGCATATCTTGCATAAAGATGACAGTTAATTAGACATCATGCAATAATTCTGAACAATTGATTTAGTTGTAATATGAAATAAAATCACAATTATGCATCTGACAAAGACTGTTTCAGAATTGAACTGAAGAATGAAGAATGCATTTATGTATGTAAAATGTGTCCGTGATTAAGGATAAAGATGTAAGATGATGCAGTTACATCTATTCAAGGGAATGTATTTATTATCTTGGCTGTGATTCTAAACATCTGCTTCCAGAGCTCCATTTGGAATACAGAATATTCAGATTCTATATGAAATTACCATATTGCAATGTTTATTTGGTGGTTGCAAGTAATCCTGGAATCAACCTACATTGAGGGTCACACACTGGATCTATTTTTTGTTTTGGGGTAATTGATGTATAATTTGAGGGTACAAGATATTAACATCAGTCCCTGGCAAGATCTCTATCTGATTATTCTGAATCTTGCAGCCACTCCTTAGCTCCATAATAGGGGCACATCTACAGTGGTCTGTTCTAGCTACTTTATGGATTTCATTTCCAACAGGTGTCTGGAGAGTTTCCCAGCAAGCTGCTTGGCAATTCTGTAGAGAAAGTAATTAAGATTCAGAATACCAAATTAGCTGCTTGATAGGATTGCCACCCAATGACTTCTGACAGAATGCCAAACCAGATTTGCTTCTTGGTTTACTAGATCAAGTTCAGGTGTATATTGTGGCAGTAAGAACCATGTAGTAGCAATCATTTTCTGCACTTACAGAATGCCTGCAGCAGAATTATGTTGATCCATTCCTTCTGTGATAAAATACTACAGAAGTACAATATTTGTCTTCTGACATTTGTGCCACTTTGTCAGGTACTTTAAAGATGAAAATGATCTCTTTTACACAAAATTAATACTGAATGGGCAAGCTGGCATCAGACAAGGCATCAAACAAATAGTTTTCAGTCTTTTCTTGAAAAATTCCAGCGATTGAGCACTCACAGCTCTGAGACGCAAGTTTCCATTGCTTAATAGTTCAGAAAATTTCTCCTTATTTCCAGGTTGGATTTCCCTTTGACAAGCTTTAGGTGCTATGGTAAACAAATTGACACTCTCCTCTCTTGAAGGCAGAAGTGTGGAAGACTGTCTCCACTCAGTTTGCTCTTTCTTAAACTAAACATTCCTAGTTCATTCCTAGTTCAGTCATGACAAAACCGTGCCCACCCCATTGCCGGCAATGGGGGGAAAGTTCTGATACGTCATGCGACGTCACATGACGTCGCGAGTTTGACATGTCTGCTTTAGCTGATCTTCATAGGATTTAGCCTCCAGATTTCTTATCATCTATGTTGCTCTTCTGTGCACTCTTTCTAGGACCTCAACATTGACAGAACTGGACTCAGTATTCCAAATATAGTCTTACCAGTGTGGTATAGATCATCACTTCCTATGATCTTGATGCTATCCCTCTTTTGAATGCATTTTTTGCTGACTCAGGCAATGGTCTTCCAGGACACCTAGATCCATCTCATAGCTAGTACTGATGAGCCAAGTAGAGTGCAATGCTCAATTGACAGCAGTAAACTTTTGTGAGGCCAATTAGGATTCATTTAAACCTGCTTCTCAAAAAGTCCTCTGTTAAATGAATCTAGTCACTAGTAAATTGTTTCTGAGGGATATGTGTGACCAGAAATATGGGAGATGGTAAACAGCTATTAAGGAGAGGGTGTTACTTCTAGCCTGGCAGAAGGCAGTTTTTCTCCCACTTAAGAAGCCATCGCTCATCCCAATTGCCTTTGATCAATTTGTCTTTAACTTGGATCTCTCAACAGTATTCAATACTCTCAAGCATATTTTTTTTAACTTATTTAGCAAATTTAGCCATCCAGAGTCCAAATACAGCCCTTAGCTTTTCTAAAGTTTTTATCTGTTCATTGTTTGCTCAGGGTAAGTGATGAAAAAGATGCCCGAGGTTATCTTCAAGCCTTAGCTTCCAAAATGACTGAAGAACTAGAAGCGTTGAAGAGCTCCAGCTTGGGCGCAAGGGCAACAGTAAGCTTTGGATTTTCTACATGATACTGGTTCTAATAATTTCTCTATCCCATCAAATAAATGCTTGCTGTAAGCTGTATCGACTGTTGTACCAGTTTAGAACCAGTAGATTATATATCCAGGCACTTAACTTTTTATTCACAATTTAGTTTTCTAATTCAGAAATATCACTGAATACCTATATCATTATAAATTATGGCAAGGTATAGCATGAAAATATTTGTAAACATATAGTTCAGATTTTTCTTTAACATAGGAATTTCATATGATTTCTCCCTTTTTTTTTTAATAACTACACCCATAGGAGAACTCCATCTTGCTTATGCCACTATTTGTGTTGTTGTTGCTATTAAAATTGTATCCCCTACCAAAAGCTGCTATTTGTAAACTTCATAGGAGCTATACCTGGAAAACAGCCTGGAAAAAACCTATCTAAATTACCCTTACAGTTCTGTTAGGTTTCCTCCTTGGTTCTTTTTTTTAAATTCATGAAACTGTAATATGCCCTTAGCTGTCTCTGTAGAACGGTGTTTCTCCAGCACTGGAGATGGAGGATCCACAGAACGGGTGGAGACTGTATTCCTGCCCAATCAGATCAAGTCAGCCAAAGTTGTCACGCCCCGTCCTGGTTCCATTTCCCAGTCTTGACTTGATCTTGCCCATGGACAGAACGTATAACTCTGGCTCATAGGTACAGTCTAGGCTTTTTTGTGGAATCCTTATTTTCCCTTCTTTTCCCTTTGCTGGTCCCCTTTAAATAATTTNAATTTCTCCAGCAGCAAAGAGATGAATGGAAGGAGGCAGCGCTTCCCAAAGGCAGCCTGCTGTAAAGAGGCTTTCCCCGGAAATCGGCTGCAAGTCAAGCAAGCGGCCGAGCAGGAGACTTCCCTCCCTCCCTCCCCCAAAAAGAACTACGGTACTCACTTTCCTCAGTTCTCGAGACGCTGACTCGAGTATAAGCCGAAAAACTCGGCTTATACTCAAGTATATACGGTAATAGTGAAAAGCTATCATTATAAAGATGCACATTTTCCTCCAAATGTCAAAAATTATGTCATATATTTACATATATTTTTGAATTTATCTATCTTTATAAATAATAAGATCAGCTATTGAAAAATGGTAGAAGCAATCCAGTGGTTATACTGAGCCAAGATTCCTGAATCAAAAGGACTTCACATAAAACAATTACGTTATTTCACAATTTAATCACAATTTTAAAAAGTTGTGATTCCTTTACCAACAGTTACTAAATATGTGCATATCTTGCATAAAGATGACAGTTAATTAGCCATCATGCAATAATTCTGAACAATTGGTTTAATTGTAATATGAAATAAAATCACAATTATGCATCTGACAAAGACTTGTTTCAGAATTGAACTGAAGAATGAAGAATGCATTTATGTATGGAAAATGTGTCCGTGATTAAGGATAAAGATGTAAGATGATGCAGTTACATCTATTCAAGGGAATGTATTTATTATCTTGGCTGTGATTCTAAACATCTGCTTCCAGAGCTCCATTTGGAATACAGAATATTCAGATTCTATATGAAATTACCATATTGCAATGTTTATTTGGTGGTTGCAAGTAATCCTGGAATCAACCTACATTGAGGGTCACACACTGGATCTATTTTTTGTTTTGGGGTAATTGATGTATAATTTGAGGGTACAAGATATTAACATCAGTCCCTGGCAAGATCTCTATCTGATTATTCTGAATCTTGCAGCCACTCCTTAGCTCCATAATAGGGGCACATCTACAGTGGTCTGCTCTAGCTACTTTATGGATTTCATTGGTTTCCAACAGGTGTTTGGAGAGTTTCCCAGCAAGCTGCTTGGCAATTCTGTGGAGAAAGTAATTAAGATTCAGAATACCAAATTAGCTGCTTGATAGGATTGCCACCCAATGACTTCTGACAGAATGCCAAACCAGATTTGTTTCTTGGTTTACTAGATCAAGTTCAGGTGTATATTGTGGCAGTAAGAACCATGTAGTAGCAATCCTTTTCTGCACTTACGGAATGCCTGCAGCAGAATTATGTTGATCCATTCCTTCTGTGATAAAATACTACAGAAGTACAATATTTGTCTTCTGACATTTGTGCCACTTTGTCAGGTACTTTAAAGATGAAAATGATCCCTTTTACACAAAATTAATACTGAATGGGCAAGCTGGCATCAGACAAGGCATCAAACAAATAGTTTTCAGTCTTTTCTTGAAAAATTCCAGCGATTGAGCACCCACAGCTCTGAGACGCAAGTTCCCATTGCTTAATAGTTCAGAAATTTTCTCCTTATTTCCAGGTTGGATTTCCCTCTGACAAGCTTCAGGTGCTATGGTAAACAAATTGACACTCTCCTCTCTTGAAGGCAGAAGTGTGGAAGACTGTCTCCACTCAGTTTGCTCTTTCTTAAACTAAACATTCCTAGTTCATTCCTAGTTCAGTCATGACGAAACCGCGCCCACCCCATTGCCGGCAATGGGGAAAAGGTTCTGATACGTCATGCGACGTCACATGACGTCGCGAGTTTGACATGTCTGCTTTAGCTGATCTTCATAGGATTTAGCCTCCAGATTTCTTATCATCTATGTTGCTCTTCTCTGCACTCTTTCTAGGACCTCAACATTGACAGAACTGGACTCAGTATTCCAAATATGGTCTTACCAGTGTGGTATAGATCATCACTTCCTATGATCTTGATGCTATCCCTCTTTTGAATGCATTTTTTGCTGACTCAGGCAATGGTCTTCCAGGACACCTAGATCCATCTCATAGCTAGTACTGATGAGCCAAGTAGAGTGCAATGCTCAATTGACAGCAGTAAACTTTTGTGAGGCCAATTAGGATTCATTTAAACCTGCTTCTCAAAAAGTCCTCTGTTAAATGAATCTAGTCACTAGTAAATTGTTTCTGAGGGATATGTGTGACCAGAAATATGGGAGATGGTAAACAGCTATTAAGGAGAGGGTGTTACTTCTAGCCTGGCAGAAGGCAGTTTTTCTCCCACTTAAGAAGCCATCGCTCATCCCAATTGCCTTTTATCAGTTTGTCTTTAACTTAGATCTCTCAACAGTATTCAGTACTCTCAAGCATATTTTTTTTAACTTATTTAGCAAATTTAGCCACCCCGAGTCCAAATACAGCCCTTAGCTTTTCTAAAGTTTTTATCTGTTCATTGTTTGCTCAGGGTGAGTGATGAAAAAGATGCCCGAGGTTATCTTCAAGCCTTAGCTTCCAAGATGACTGAAGAACTAGAAGCGTTGAAGAGCTCCAGCTTGGGTGCAAGGGCAACAGTAAGCTTTGGATTTTCTACATGATACTGGTTCTAATAATTTCTCTATCCCATCAAATAAATGCTTACTGTAAGCTATATCGACTGTTGTACCAGTTTAGAACCAGTAGATTATATATCTAGGCACTTAACTTCTTATTCACTATGTAGTTTTCTAATTCAGAAATATCACTAAATACCTATATCATTATAAATTATGGCAAGGTATAGCATGAAAATATTTGTAAACATATAGTTCAGATTTTTCTTTAACATAGGAATTTCATATGATTTCTCCCCCTTTTTTTTAATAACTACACCTATAGGAGAACTCCATCTTGCTTATGCCACTATTTGTGTTGTTGTTGTTGCTATTAAAATTGTATCCCCTACCAAAAGCTGCTATTTGTAAACTTCATAGGAACTATACCTGGAAAACAGCCTGGAAAAAACAGTTCTGTTAGGTTTCCTCCTTGGTTCTTTTTTTTAAATTCATGAAACTGTAATATGCCCTTAGCTGTCTCTGTAGAGTGTAGAACAAGTACATAATTCATTATTTTTTTAAAAAAAATCCACTACAGAGTAATTATTAAATAATTATTAAATAAATTTGTGTGGGAGGATGAGAGTGACAGAATAATATTTTTCTCAGAAAATGAAATTTTTCCTCTCTGTAAACAAGTCTTTTAATGCTTAATGTAGCCTTTAGCAAAAATGTTTAATATTTACTCTTTATTTACTAAATTTACATGCTGCCCATCTCCCCAGTAGGAAGACTATCATAACCTAAGTATTTTGCCAGTGAAGCCATACTTTTATTACTTAGATTAAAAAAGATAATGCTTTCACTGATTAAAGTGGAGTGGGAGATTGTTGGCTGATTCCTCCTTTCCCTTACACCCTTCTTGGAAAGCTCCAAAAAACTCAATGTTCCTCCAGAGTCATAGAGGAGAAATGGTCAAAAAGCAAAGCAAGCAAACTTCACCTTCTACCTCCCTTTTCTTCCACTGGATTTTGGTCCATTACATAAACAATAAGTATCAGATCACAAAAAGGGCAGCTCTGGATCCACCCCAATATCTAAAAAAGATATTACAATTTTTGTTGGAGTTTTAAATATTAAGGTATAATTAGGATACATTATTAGCTAACAATATTTAAAAACATTTTCTTTGTAGGACATGCCTTGGAAGATGCGTCGCTTTGCGAAACTAGATATGTCTGCAAGGTTAGAGCTACAGTCAGCCCTTGATGCAGAAATACGAGCCAAGCAAGCCATTCAGGAAGAGTTAAATAAAATTAAAGCTTGTAACATTGCAACAGAATGGTAAGATTTACGTAGTTATTCCTTTTAAGACTTTAAGGCAGCTTGTGATATTTTCTGTTGAGAGTCATCCTGATTAATTCTACATTGTATTTGCTTTCAAAAACTGAATATAATAGTTTGATGGCCTGCCACAAAACTCTCAATTTTCTGTGTATAATTTGCAATTTATTTGATAATTGTTTCCTGAAAACAATTGAAAGATTTTAACTGAAAATAAAATACATATCATCTTTTACAGCCTTAATACGATTAACATACAATATTCATATGACATTCCTATTAGAATACCTAATTAATTCTAAGAATTGCTTTCCAACTGTGGTCTTTCAATTACTTGTACTGAATTAGGAAATTCTTCATTCAAGATTCCCGTTTAGAAGTAGTTACTATAAAATTATCTGTTCTTGGTCAGAAACAATATAAAATCTTTCCCCTTCCTTCCTTCCTTCCTTCCTTCCTTCCTTCCTTCCTTCCTTCCTTTTATTCATCCTTTTATTTATTCATAATTTTCACAAGAAAATTATTATATGGCCATGCCACACAGTGATTTCAGCGACTTACAAAAATAAAACATCAAATGCAAAACCTAATGAACCCCTACCATTTAAAACAAAAAAAATATTAGTTGTATTAGAAAGCAGTTGTAATGATAAAAAATCTACATAGTTTTTTCTACAATAAATCATGCTAATAACATTCTCTGATGTTAGAATGCAGTTTGATAATACTACTTTTATATGATGAAAAAATTCTGTATACAGCTTATAGTATATCATTATATAGAAGATCATAGTTTAAAATCTTGATTCATTAGAATGATATTTGTGTATGTTAAAAAATGTTAAAATAAGTTCAAGAATAGGTATGTAAGTGTCCAGTACAAACCACAATTAGAAAAAAAGGCAAAACTTACTTCACAGTGTAATAGATCAAATCCCAGTCTTTTGAATATGTGTCCTGACATTTTGTCTTTTGGTCTTGTGCCCCGCACTGGCAGTGTAATGACTTTGATATCACCTTGGCTTTTGCAAGGTTGCCAGCCATGTACTTTTTTATTAAGAAGATTAATAATTTACAAATATAGTTCTGGGGTCTCAAAGATGTCCTTAGAACATAAAAGTGTGAGTTTTTGTATTTCATATAAAAATGCAAAGGAAAAACATTGCAAGAGTCAGTTGGTGAATTAGAGAGTGAGCATCTGGGCAATTGGAGGTTTGCACTATGGCAATCATTCTATGATCATTCACAGCACATAAGTCTTCCCTCTATTCTGCTTGCTTGTTAGGAGTTATCATGGAACTATCACAATCCAAATCGATTAGTGATTATTTTAAACTAATCATAAAATCATCTTGTTCCATTGGGTGCTTATAAAGCAAAATCACGAGTCAAACAGAAGTCATTTTCTCTTTCAAGTTTACTTATTGAAATAAAATGCTTTTATCCAGACTTAAGTGGCATTTTCCTAATTGAAGGACACTGCAAACAATTTTCAAACATAACCACATATCATGGTCCTTACTAACTGGGTGTCTCTCTTTTTGTTTTGTTTGTGTAAAGCAAATTACAGGAATCTGAAAAGAAGAACTCCGAGCTGTTATCAGAAATAGACAGACTGAAAAAAGAGGCAGAAGAACTTCAGTCAGAAAAGGGTACGGCAACTGACATCCAAATAAAGCTGACTGGTGGTGGGTACATCTTATCAAATCAGAATGTCCACTTACAGAGTGCTGACAGAATCTGGATTTTGAAGACTCTGACTCTTGAAGTGTCATCATAACCCTGGCATGATAAGATGTACCCATACAGCTGTTACAAAAATACAGAATTAAATTTATCTTATGTACTCTTGGCATACTTGAAATACATTTTTTTCAGATCGTGTTCTTGTTCGTGCATTTATAGTCACCATATACTCACTAGGAACATGAAATACCTTGTGAGTTTATCTTCTTAAGAGAAGGTGACTCTTAATGTATTCTTCAGTTGTCAAGTACTACTCAGACATCAGGATCAAAAAGAACATATATAAAACGTATAGTCTTTTGATCTTTTGATCATTGTAAGCGAGAATCCATGTGCTCAATTAAGACTTATGAGTTCTCTGAAGTAAACCTTTTACAGGAAGTTATATACTAATAATTGGATTAATATACTTGAAAATATTAGTTGATTTTACTATTTATTCTAAGGAAGAGAACTTCATACATACACACACGCGCGCGCACACCAGTATTTTCTTCATCTGATGTCTCTTGGGAAGAAACAGCTAAGAAAGCAACTATAGAGCAGTATCTTAGAATGTGAGAAGGCCTGGAAATGGACCACTAAATGTGATAGAACCTATATCTGTTTATAAAAACCACACATTTCAGTGTGTGAATGGAAACTAAGTGTACCTTAGTGCATCAGGGATGAAGATTTGAAAGTACCATAGTGTTATATTAGCACTAATAAGGCAAGGTGAAAGAGTAGATCTTAGAGCCAAATGCAAAGGGTTTTAGGATAGGATTCAGTTACTTTGTTTTTTGTGTTGTGTTATGAATATTGCTGGACAAAACAGATGTTGCTGGTTTGTTGGCTTGCTGCAAAACAATTTATCCCTGTTTACAGTAGTTGTTTCTTCAGAGATCTATATGCTTGCATTCAAGCAGTCTTATATCAAAGGTTTTAAGTTCAGAGCCATATGCACTTGAATTTTAATCTTTTTTTTTTGCATATCCTATTTGCTCCTTTGTTTTAATCTAAGCAGTGTTTTTCTCTTATGTCCTGAACCTGGCCTTCCAGCAGATGGGAGACAGATAGATAGAAATAGATTAGCACTTATTTCTAACTTCCAATAATTTAATAATAGTAAAATGCATGTAAAAACTCAAAATAATTTTCTGACATTCATTCAGATTCAGGATTCCTTTCTTATTAAGTAGGTACCTTTAGCCAGCTCTACATACAATTTTAGAACAACCATAGAATTCCACATTTATAAGTCAGATGTGTAAGAAAGTCAATTCTGCAGCTCATATATTACAATAACACCTCTTTTAACAGTATTTTCCATATCTTATTTAAACGTGAAAAATCATCCCTTTTGATGCCTAATTCTACCTTCTTATTGTTTTACACTTGATTTGGCTTATGGATCTTACATTTGTAATTAAAACCAGGAGACACCCCCTCAAATCACATTAAACAATTGCCTTATTGCCCAAACCTTTTCACTTTTATACTTCAGCATCATCAAAGCATGCTTATTGTTCTTCATGGTGATTTCATTTGGTTTATACCTACCAATCCAATAGGATGTTTATTCTACATAAAAAAGTGAAATGTCAAGTTTGTCTTGAACCTTCTGTGTTGAATACTGGGTGTAAAGTTGCCAAATGTGAGCCACCAAAATTGGAGTTGCTGCCAGTTGTGCAGCCGAGAATTGGTAACCGTGAACTCAAGTTGGTGACACCAGATGGTTTATGATGCTTAGAAATCTCATACTAATATGTATTTTGTTTGGCACATTTATTGTATGCAAATACTTGACTGAAAAAAATCATATCAATACATGGTTGCCTAGAAGCATATTTTTTAAAGTTTTCTCAGTGAAGCAGAAAAAGTGCTTTGTGATTAAGTTCCTGTTGCTGCAAGAAGGATCACATTAGTTTTAAACAGAAAATAATAATTCAACAGTCTCTCTAAGTTCCTTCAATACAGTAGATAAAGTCTCCAAATTTGGGTTGACTCCTGATAGCTTTAGGAATACTGATGCTTTTTTCTTGGTAACAGTGCAAAAGTAGTTTGCCATTTCCTTTTTTCAGAGATGTTTTTTAACTCTCAATCTAATCCAGTGGTGGCGAACCTATGGCACAAATGCCAGAGGCGGCACTTGGAGCCCTCTCTGTGGGCACACGTGCCGTTGCCCCAGCCTTGCCTCCTTCCGTGACCCCCTCCTCACCAGTAGCCCTCCTGGAGAAGAGTCACTCCCAAGCATGTCCCACATGGAGCAGTGCAGCCAAGGACATGGCAGCCAGGCAGCATAGACAAGACTCTGCCCTCATGCCCTATTGCGCACAGTTGAAGCTGCGGGGCACGGGCAGAGGACGTGGCTGCCATGGCGCTGCTGAGCAATCTGTGGCGGGCCCTGGAGGCGATGAGTGGCCCTGCAGGCAGGCGGGGTGGCAGGGCAGGGGTGGAGTGGGGGCGGGGCCAGTTTTTGGGTACTCGGTTTCTAAAAGGTTCGCCATCACTAATCTAATCTATAGTTTAGAAATTCCCTGATAGTATTATCAGGCTAACAAGATCAGCTAGGTTATATTGATTAATAGCAGGATTTTTGCTGGAGTTTTAATAGAGACACTTATTATTTCAGCAGCAAGCAAGTTTTTTTAATCTCTTTCATTTCTATTTTGAACACTGGGCATGAGGGAAACATACTAATGGCACCCATATAGATAGGGGAATAGGGAACTATAAAAACTGAAAGGAAGAAATTGCCTTAGATCATGTGTATTACTTATGTGTCATAGTAGGTAAAGTAGGTAAAGATGATGTACAATAAAATCAATTGTGACCTAAAATTATAAGTCCAGTTTCTCATGTTTAAATTGGGGAGATTATATGTAACAATTGATATCAAAGTTCAGCGGAATAAGAATTTTGTTTTAAATCCTGAAAGGACTATTCCAGCAAATGGTTCTCATGAAGTTATCCTTATCTTAAAGATTAAAGAGATGGAAATATATACGTTAACATGACTGATTCTATAGGGACTTGAATCCAAATCCTCCTAGAAAAAAAAATTCATAACATCTTTTGGGAACAATCTGATCTTAAGCAGAAAGCAACAACTCAAGAACAGCAACAAGTAGATCAGTATGTGGATGATCATTTTCTGTTGATTAAAATCATGCTGTTGTTTTCTAGGAGTAAAGCATCAAGACTCACAGAATTCTTTCTTGGCATTTTTGAATGCACCTACATCTGCTCTGGATCAATTTGAAGTAAGTAATTTGGTTTATTTCTTTATATTTTGATGTTACAACGGGGTGGAGTTTAATGGTTATTACTGCTTTGAAATCATAACTGCAGCTATTATGTTGCAAAAAACCCCCAAAATATTTTGATTCACAAGGAATATTATTTTCTGACATTGCCATGCTTGTTGTAAAAAAGAGAATATTAAACGTTTTTGTATGATGCTTTTAATGCAGATTTTCTATGTGTCAACCTAAGCTGTATTTCAAATATAAGACAGAAGAGCTTTCTTTTTTGCCATTTTTAAAGTCTTGAAACATAATTCTAAAATGAAATATCTAATATCTGTAATATTTTTGGAACTAGAATTAGTCCTCTACTAACAACCACTCTTTCAGTGAATGAGTCTGAACAAGTAGTATGATATGGACACTTGGCAACTGGCTCACACTCATGACAGTTACAACGTTCCATGGTCAGCTGATCGCCATTTGTGACCTTCTCTGCAGTTTCCCACAAGCAAAGTCAATAGGGAAGCTGACAGAGAAGGTCACAAGTTGCTTGGATAAGTCTCCCACACCTGACAGTAGCCACCTGAAGCCTTGCAGTGCTTGCACCAAGCAACACCAGGCCCTTGTGCACCCTGGGGTGCTCTTTTGCACCTAGCAGTAACTATCGGTATTTATCTCTGGATACAGTTCCATTCGTGGATATAGTATAAGAAAGTTATTAAATATTTTTGAAGTAGAGAAAAGAAAGAGTTATATATTATGGAACTAGGACAGAGATGGATTGTAGCCTTCAAGAGGGAGGAAGATGATAATAGTAGGAAGGTAAGGCCTAAGGAAAAGGCACTTAGAAGCAAGAATTCACTGGAGAAACAAGTTGACACTGATGTATTTCCAGTTAAATGTAGTTTATCTATCAATACATTTACTGCTTGGATATTGTTTGGATATTAAAACATGCTATCACAAAATCATGACAATAAATGTTACATTCCCATTACAGGTAATTCTCAATTTACAACTGGTCATTTAAGGATATTCAGAGTTATGATGGTGTTGGAACAGGTGCTTTACAACCTGTAAAGAACTTCCAGCCATCATAAAACATCACAGCCCCCATATGACTGCATTTGGGGTACTTGGCATCCACTTTGACTTTGTCACCAGTTTCTGCCAAAAACTGCAGTTCACTTAATAACTACAGTGATTTACTTAATGATCATTGCAAAAAATCTCAAAAATATGGGTCCAGTCATATGACTGCCATGATTTACAACCAGATTTCCAATCCCAGTTGTGATTGTAAGTTGGGGACTACCTATAATGATGATTTTGTTACCTAGTAATTGTATGGCCCCTGGCTCTATTTTTAGTGTGAGTGAAAAAAATATTCATTATTTGTGGGATATAATTAATTAACCAAACTATGCAGAAGTTATGCTAAACAAAATAATCTGTTAGTCATTTCCAGTTTTTCTTTATTTGATTTCTCAATAGTATGGTGATACGGTTGTTTTTGCAAAACAGACATTTTCATCTATCTATTTCTGTTTCTTTACTGCTGTATGCATTAAAATAGGATTCCTTTTCTTCTTCATCATCTTCTTCATTGATTGATTTTATGGATGACGTAAGTCTTTCATCTCCAAATCCAAAATTATTCAGTAATAAAACAGATTTGATTTGGCAAATTCAGATGGTGATGCAGTCATCTTAAACCATCAAGAGCATGAAATTCAGCAGAATAGTTCTGTGCTCCTGATGTGTCCGTGCTGTATAGTTTTCAGTATGAGTTTTCATGGCATGGGCTAAAGGTTTTTACATATGTGTCTTTTCATTTGCTAGTTGAAGGAACTGAGATGCAAGACATGACTTGTTTCAAGGGACCACTCACACTCATTCTGGCCTGTTATTGATATTGTTTGGTCAAAAGTATACCATTAAAATTGGCTTGTACAGTTCTGTTTTTAGTTTAGCTTGGGATGAGTGTGAATGTGTGTTTCATTCACATGCATGTCATTTTCTTAATGACATTTTTTTTCCTGGTCAGTTTAAACTCCTATACCAGTGACAATTTTTTTATCAATTAAATGTGGAATTATTATGTCAGTAGTATTGTAGATAAGTACAAAATGTAGTGCTGTAGTGCTCCTGTTTACAGTAACATTTTTCAATATGACTTTAGTTTCAGATTTACCCTCACTGTAAAGACGCTGGAGGATACTGTTCACCATTTTTGAGCTTGAATTAAAATGTCTGCATTATGCAGAAAATATCACAGTAGTTTTATATTCAAAAAAATTAACACATGTGCTATCACATTCTCAAAACAAAGGTCATACAATTCAGGTTTTCAGGAGACTGTAGAGTTCGTTAAGACAAGTTTCTGATGGAATTGACTGAATAATGATTAGGTTCTTTCATCCATATTAATGCTTCTGAAAACCTTTAATTCTAAAATAGGTTGATTTCAGTAGCTGGAAAACAGTATGCATCCTTAAGTAATAAATAGGTTTTAAGTTCTTTATATGAATAAATCAATGGCTTTGTGTAATAATAGTAATGCTAGCCTTCAGTTTGCAGTGATAGCTTGCCACAAAGAAGCAATTTCTATGTATTCCAGATTTAAAATAGCTTTTGTGGTGTATAAATAAGGGTTTAAAAATTTATGAGCACATTTGTCAGTGTATTTAGATTACAAAACTGACATCATAACTTGCAAGCTTCTTTTTTCAAATAGTTCAGTATCTTTAATTGATAATAGCACTGGTTAATATATTTATTCTTAGTCATGTAGTCATGTTTATAAACTACTTTCATATAATATATCTAATGGTGATCTTTGTGAAGTATTTAGTCTGAAAGCTTGAAAGTGATCTGATGCCACTCAATGAATCACACTGCTGAATAAAAATTGAACTTGGGTCTCATTCCCACTTTAAACACTGCTTAGCCTGCTTATCAAAAACAAAACAATACTGAACAAAAAATAGGATACATTTTGTTTTTTATCATTGGTCTATGGGAATGTTAAATGTTTATATTAAATGGCCAGATTTTCTTGGAGAAAATTGTTGCCTTTCCTTCCAAGCTTTTGGCCCAGTAATTGGAAGAAGTTCTGCACACTTAATACACCAGCCATCTTTCTTCCCTATTTAGGCAAGTAAAAGTGGAAGAAAGAAGCAGAAAGGATTTAAGGCCTACAAAAGATCCTTATACGGCCTTGAAATTTTTACTTAGCCTGTGGGCCTTGTGAAACATAGTAACAGATTATTGTCTTAATATTGTCTTGTCTACAGCATTAGAAGTCCCAACATGCCTAACAAATTTGAATACTGATACCTAACTTATCTTCTGTTTTTAAAATAATTTCTTCTAATATTAGATAATGTCTCCTTCATTTCTGTAAGCTGAAAATAGTCTTGTCAAAATGAACTTTCTCAGTAGCTAAATTGAGTCTAAGCAACTTGTTTCCCACAACTCAGTGTAGTTTGTTATCTATGATTGTCCACAGAACAGGACTAAAGCTGACTAAATTTCCAAGTTTTACTGATCACTTGGATATTATTGATTTCTTAGCAAGTCAAAATGCTTGTGATAAAAAGCTGTTATATGGCTTCAACCCTGCTCTAAAGGTTCTTTATTTGTTTACCACAGTCAGAGTTGAATGGCTGTTTAGGGCTTCCATGTTTATTGAGGTTCATGGTTATGTTGGCTATAAAACTATATTTCCCAGCACCTGAATTGGCACGGAACTGGAAAGAACCTGATTCCTAATTTTGACAAACACCCAACACCTTTACAAAGTGGCTTTTTCGCACCCACCCACCCGAAAACTACAGTACTTCAGGCAAAGCAAAAGACATGTTATTAAGGGAGGGTGTCAAATCTTTATATAAGGTTCAGAAACAAATGATACATGCATTCAGTATATATGATGCATTAGAAAGCAACAAATTAAACAATAAAATCCATTGATAAGATGTAAAAAAGGACTGTTCCCCTTAAAATATGTCGTTTTTCCTTCTTTCCCACCTGTTTTGTTTCTTCAATACTTGCAACATCTCAAGGACTTCAGAATACAGTCCTATTGTTTGATTGATGAAAGGGCTAGTTTTTTCCACATCAAAGGAAGTGGCTTTGACTTAAAGAACATGGTTTTTTTAAACTTCGAAAAGAGGCATGGATGCCATGCTAAAACGCTAATACAGGTAGTTCTCAACTTACAACCATTTATTTACTGACTGAAGTTACAGTGGCACTGAAAAAAAGTTGTTTACAAGCAGTCCTCATATTGACAACCATCGCAGTATCTCTACAATCAGATGATCAAAGTTTGGGCACTTGACAACCAGCATGTCATTGTTGCAGCATCCCAAAGTCAAATGATCACCATTTTGCAACCTGGCCAGCCAGTTTCTGACAAGCAAAGTTAATAGGGAAAGCCAGATTCATTTAACGGCCATATGATTCATTTAATAATTGCATGATTCACTTAACAAACATTCTGGTCCCAAATGTAATTGTAAGTTGAGGACTACCTGTATCACCTTTATTAAAAGGCTAATAGAAAAAATATATGTAATAGTTATGTTATATTATATTATATTATATAAGCTCTGAAAGACCAGATAATAAATAAACATTGTTTCTTGCACTCATAATAAAACTAATGGGACTCGGAATGCATTTTTGCATTTACTATGTAACTTTTTTTTAAAAAAAGGTATAAAGTAATATTAGCAAAGATAAGGAATTATAACTGAGATTATAGCAGACAAAAAAGAAAAAAAAAATTTCCCCCATTACAGTCCTTAAAGAAGCTGCCATTTTCTTTTGAGAACTCTCCATTGGCAGCAATGAGTAGACATTCATCATGGAGTGCAGCAAGGAAAGTCTGCTGCAATGTCAATACAGTAATGATCAACCTGTATTCTTGATAATATTTGCATTTTAAAAAATGCAGAAGAGCATTTAATAATAAATTATTTAGTCTAAAATAGAATTTTGTTTAGACAAGTGAAGTTTTAAAAATGATGTTTCTTGTGTTTTGATGTTTTTTCTGATTTATGTTATCATGATACACAAATCCCTGTCTTTACAATGAAAATGATATCAATTTCTGTACAGAAATGTGGATTGAAAGAATGTATCTTTCCCTTGTTAACAGTCTCCTCCTTTCTCTGTTAAAGCGCTCTCCCTCCTGTATTCCAGCCCACAAAGGCAGACGTGTAAGAGGATGTCTTGTTGTGTGTTGGCTTTTAGTTTTTCATATCATGGACATGCCTTTGCCTTCGTTCAGTGTAGACCATTTTCCTTGATATTTTTATGGCTTGCATATTTATCTTGCTGCTTGTCTTGTGCTACTGCTTTTCTTATATTTTCCTTCTGTTTAATAATGTTTATTAAGTGCAAAGCTTTGAGAATGTTTGTGTGGTTTTATTCTGTTTTATGCTCTTGGCTTTTAGGATGTCACAAAAACAAAGCAAAATTAGTATAAAATCCACCTATTTGTTAAGATAATGGGGAGCAATTTTTAAATAATATTTTTATAGATAATTTTTTACAAATCAGATAAATATGTTTCATACACAATAACAATACTATTCTTCAATGTTAAACATATTAGAGTACAAAGATTTAGCAAAACAGAATTCTGTTTCTAATGATCCTAATCCTAATCCATGGATTCCTAATCCATGTCATCATCAAATTATGAGCAGGATTATCAATTCGGTCAAGTTAGTTTGGTTGACATTAAAAAGAATTCCAAAATCACAACAAGAACCCATTTGTTTAATGTGATTAGTATTATCCAGTCTGAGAACATTTTATAGTAGTTGGTTTGGCAATTTATGCTTAGTCTAAATCAGGGGTAGTCAACCTTGGCTCTTTTATGACTCGTGGACTTCAATTCCCAGAATTCCTGAGCCAGCTTAGCTGGCTCAGGAATTTTGGGAGTTGAAGTCCACGAGTCATAAAAGAGCCAAGGTTGACTACCCCTGGTCTAAATGTTCTCTCTCTCTCTCTCTCTCTCTCTCTCTCTCTCTCTCTCTCTCTCTCTCTCTCTCTCTCTCTTTCTCTCTCTCTCTCTCTCTCTCTCTCACACACACACACACACAGAGAGAGAGAGAGAGAGAGAACAATCTGCAAATTATCTTCCAAGCATTCAGAGATGTGTCTATCTGTAAATACATGTATGTATTAGAGCTATGCAAACTATTCTTGTTGCAAAGCATGTTAATGCAAACAAAATGCCCTCATAATATTAAAACAGCACAAAATGTATTTTAGAAGGCTTGCACAGCTGCCTTGAAGGCTGTCTTTCTTCTCTCTGCTTATCTATGCATGCACAACCACTTCACCTTGGTGGTGGTCCTGTTTGAAATACTGGCTGTGCTTGCATGCAGTTGACATTCCTTAAAGCGGTTGCACCAATCCCTCTAAAGGGCATGGTTGCTTTAATGTTTCAAAGAACATTGCTTTGCTTAGCCCATAATGCTTTGTGATTCAATGTGGCAAACATACCTAATACTCCTGCCTCATATTTTTTCCCCACCACAACCCTCTCTTTCAAATACATGCTACAAGTTAGTTGCATACACAGTACACACAGATACTCTTGTGCTATGTCCCATATTAAGCAAGCGCTTCCTATTCAATGTTCTCAGACTGAGTTATGCTTAATTATCTATATCGTGGAAGGATGGAATATGTGTTTCAGACTAGATCTTAGGAACAGACCTTCCCAAAACCCACCTTCACCAGTGCTAAGGATAGCAGTTTGCAATTCACTTAAATTACAAACACAAACTTTGTATTCTAGTCATTTCTATTTCCATTCTGGTTTTCGGTGTTTTTTTGGGGGGGGGGGGGAAGAAATAAAATAGTAAAAAGGGGGTGTTAAAAAAAACTACCTCTGGGTGTGTCTCATAATATTTTCCTACATTTCTTGTTTGATATAATACCTGGGACAGATGGAAAAGATTATTTCAATGCCTGTCTAATATTTGTTGGTCCCAAGTGAATTTTTCAATAAGTAAAAAAAACAAAGTGAGATATAATTTTATATTTAATAATGGTGGAATCAAAGTATATAAAAGAATTTCTGCTAATAATTGCTGCAGAGCTTGAAATAGTTTACATGCAAGTAACAAAGAATTATATTGATGATCATGTAGCATTGATTATAGTCTCTGCAGATTGAAATGGTATAAACATTTTATAAATAAATATGTCAATTAAATAATGCTACGTCTATATTTTAAAAGAAGTGCTGAGCTGCATTCTGAATTTCAGTTACTGTTTGCTTTATGTAAGCACTTGCAATAAATGAGAAATCAAGCATTATATATTAAATAAAATAAAGGAACATAAATTGTTCATTCACTTGTTTTCTACTTATGGTTTATTCAAGTGGCACACACACATACATACAAATACACATACAAATGTACACAGAGATTTATATGTACATGCATATAAGGAAGATTCTTAGGTATGTTTTATCTGCTCTTTTTGTGTTTTCAGAACAAATCATGCTCTAAAATTTTTGTTAAACTTAAAAAGTAACCTGCTTTCGACAATATGATTTGTATGAATCCTATTCAGTACAAAATAAAATGCATAGAATCCAAGTACATAACTTGACTATTTTATATTGAAACATATAATTTTTGACTGACAATCCTAAATAATAACACTGAATTAGAGAAAAAAGAGAGATGTTAGCTAGCTGGAAATCAACAATTTAACTAAGCAAAGATCTTTCAAAAAGATTATTTTTTCTTAAAAGATATTTTAATTAAACCAAAACTACAGTGCTTTGGTAGTATAGGAAAATAATAAAAATATGTCCTGTACCCCATTATCCATGTTTCTGTTAAAAGAAACAAAAGAAAATTTTGTCTATGATTACTTTACATACTGATAAAAAATAAATTTGAAAACATAGATTAAGATATCACTGTAATCTTTAGAAATTTATCCTTTATTAGAACAAACCTGATCAATGTTATTTTGTATTGATAAGTGTGGGCTAAGATCATTTTTTTAAACTATATTAAAATGATTTATTTACTAATTAATAAGTTTCATGATACTCATGTATTATGACTACTTATTAATAACCTTTCTAATATGTTTTATCATGAGTTCTTTGAAATAGTTTATAAACATGAAATTACAATTAACATAAAAAAGAAGCTTCTAAAATATTATTTCCAGATTATAAAAGAATCAAAATCTGTGGAGTCCTTGGTCCTCTCAAGCTTGGTTGCTTGCTTGCAGATGTTTCATTATTCCTCAATGAATCAAAATTTATCAAGCTTATTTGTTATAATTACTATATAAAAAAACACCAGAGGCCTACAAGTGTAGCCATAGCTTTAATTTTATGTAAATTGATTTCATTATAACTTGAGAAATAAATCTAAGGGTAGATTTAAGGGTAGATTGCATTAAGCTTTACATCAATGCAGTTTTAGAGGAATTGTCATTATGCTGATATTGATATCACAGGTATTCAAATTTCCAAACTATAGATACCACCTTATGTTGACCAAATATTTATATATAATAAAAGGTTGGGTAAACTAATAATGATTGCTTCCTTTTTTAAAAAAAAATGTAATTTGTCTGCATTTCTGTGTCTCAGCAAGTGGAGGCATCTGCTCAACATAATATTTGGATGGTAGATCACCAGGAAATCTCAAGTTTGTAGAGTAGATTGCAGTGTGTGGAAAAATCTTGAAAAAGGGAATGGTAAATGATTCTGTACTGTTTCCCACAATCACTGTAAGTCAGGAGCCAAACTTTATTAAAGGAGACTCTACATTTATGTTATTTGCATTTCTATATTTTTGAAAACTGGTATTTATTGAATGTGGCTTCTTAATATTCTTCCCCTTTTTTTTCTTTTCCTTTCATTTTCCATTTCTTTTCTTTTGCTTGTTTCTTTCCCTTGGTTGTTTCTCTAGATTGATTCTGTTGAAAATTTTACCTTATCTAATACACCTTCGCGGGATGAAGATATCAAGTATCATCTTCATTCAAGATCTAGGTCCCCTTCCACAGCTAGTGACATTGAACCAATCGAGGTACTCTCTCTTAGAACATTTGTTTAAGAATTGTCCATCCCATACCTCAGTGTCAAAGTAACTGTGCAAGTGTACTGTGGAGCAAACTCAGTTGAATTAAATGGGAATTATATTTATATCAACAAATAAATGTTATATAGTCATAATATGGTGACCATAACATCTTTTCCTGGGGATTTAACTCATCAGGATATTATTAAAATAATGGTTGGTCACATATTATTATTATTATTTATTTGTTATGGCCATACAGTCCAGCAGACTTTGGGTGAGTTACAAAAAAAAGAAAATTTCCCAAAACAGTTAAAAACATAAATACATACTGCCTGGACTAAATAATAATAATAATAATAACAAGAAACCAACAATAACAACATAATAACAAGAAGCCCATTAAGCTCAGGTCTGGGACCAGAACCCAGATCTTAAAGAGTTTTCCAGAATGTCAGAAGACAGCTTGCCATTTCTATCACTTTTAGTACATGAGGTACAATATTTTGTCCAGTCACTGCTTTAGAGCAAAGAAAACTTAAAAGCCATTGTTTTACTTTATAATTCTTTTCCCGTTAGCATATGGAGAACAATCTGTGGCCATTATGGAGAGAGCAGAGAGAACTTATCCACTCTCACCTGTTTCTGCCTGTTTCTCACACTCCTTCATGTAGCTAGAAAAGTTAAAATTATAATGCCCAGAGATTATTAATTTTTCTGTAGTTTTTCTAGGATTTCATAATGATCATGGAAATCAAAAAGGGCATTCAGGTAAGTAGTTCAGATAACATGTAGAAAGTTAGTTGACTATGGGAATTAACCTGAGGATGAATTGATTTGGACATTTAACTAGATTTAGCTGTTCACATGACATCCTATTCCTCCAATGAGCCAATTAAGCATACTGGTAAATAGGCCTAAAGTCTCACTGTCTTTACATAGCATACCTATTAAAAGATTATTCCCATGATTTTACTTTTTCAATTCAGTCAAGTAACACTAACATGCTGTGTTTTGGGAAGATTTATTTCTGTTTCATATGGAAAACATGGCCAAAGATAGGAATAACAGTGTTTTGCTATTTGCTTTGCATCTGAATACCTATATTAATGGAATTCAGTGGCTCCTGAAAACACTTCTATGTCTGAGCACTAGTTCATATGAGAGAGTTATTTTACATACATAGGACTCAAACATGCTATATGTATGTGTACAGACAAACTCAAACTGAGTGACATACTTTAAATAGTACTGTACAAACAGAAAAGTGAGATATAAAATAAATATATGTACACATGTAAATTATCCCTTGGAGTATGGGAGCAAGATAAAACACATTCAAATACACATAGTTTCTAAATTGTTGTAGTTATATTGTCCATTATAGAAAGCAAATTGCCCATACAGAAAGCAAATACAGGAACAAAATAACACAGTCATTGATACAATACATTGCTACTGTTACTTTCTTTCAGATATCACTTGCATCTAGAGTGAAGCAATATTTCTTTTATTATTCTTCAGCAAACTGCTGATTCCATTATTTCTTTGCCAAGGAACTTAGCTTTGTAATGTTCCTTGTGCAATTCCTTTTGGGATTCGGGTGTCTTCTTCTGTGTTGTAATAGAAGCCTGTCAGTCAGGCTCTATCAAGCCAAGATTTTAAATATATGCTAATGCGGGATCCTCAACCCCCGATCTGTGGACCGACACTGAGCTACAGCATGCCCGAACAAGCAAAGCCCCATCAGTGGGGTACAGACAGTACATGAAACCACACACCCCTCCAGTCCGCAGAAAAACCTCTCTCCACGGAACTGGTCCCTGGTGCTCAAAAGATTGGGGACCTCTGTGCTAATGTCTTCACTGTGGAGCAAAGTTTTTTGTGAAACTGACAAAGGTTTCAAAAATAGTTTGTGATATGGCATGGACCAGTGGTGGCGAACCTATTGCACGGGTGCCAGAGGCGGCACTCAGAGCCCTCTCTATGGGCACGCGTGCTGTCGCCACGGTCCTAGGCCTTCAGCTGGGTTTTATAAAACCTTTTCGCTTTAGGCCTCCACTGCCATGTACAAAAAAAAAGGTTCAATCAATCAGTCAATTTCAACTTCTCGCAAGAAAAAAAAAGATCTTGCAAAGTTGGAATTGACTGATTGAACTTTTTAGTCCCACCCAGTCTGCTGTTACCACCGCAGCCACGCCCACCCAATGGGCCACACCCACCCGGCACCCGACGATGCATAAGTAGGTTTTGGGTTGCAGTTTGGGCACTCGGTCTCTAAAAGGTTCGCCATCACTGGCATAGACTGTAGAATATATATCTGCAATTCCGAGAAAACAACTTATTTCGTTAGCCTGCTAGAAGCACCGTGTAGTTGTCTCCTGATGGAGGATTGTTTGGTTACTTTTTGGATGGAAGCATTGATCTTCAGAATATTTCTTGGACTTTTCACGGAAACCCTAATTTCATAATTCACATATCACTTTAAATACTCTTTCTTTCTTGCATGTTTTGATGTTCAAATGTCACCTAAGTATTCAAAACTGGAACACTTCTTGTATCTTTCTACTGCAATTATATGCATGATTGCTTTTACTTTAATATAAATCATTGTTTTTAAATTATTGTTTTACAATTGACAGGGTTTGCAGTGTTAAGCTATTTAGCTATTCTATGCTATAGTTCCTGAGGTTATTTTCCATTTATAGACATCTCCCATTTGTAAACCAGCCATACTATGTAGCTGGTTTCTTTCCTATTTATTTATTTTAGTAAATATTTTAAAAGAATAGAAGCAAAAAAAGTAAGAAAAATGAAAAAACCAAAAGAAAATAAATTTACATGCAAGATTAAATAAAAATGTCAAAGTAATCTAGATTAGTGCTGCATATTTATGTCTTCAGAATATTATTTGTCAAGTCAATATTCAATACTTAAAAACAATATCCAGTGTAATCTGAATCATAAATTAAAAAATCATTTTGATTTATGATTTTACATAAGTTAGCCTGGTAACCACATGCTGTCACAATTACCTGTAAAATAGAAGAGCAGTTATAAAATAATGTAACTTTTTATCATGGCACATTAACATTGACCATGAGCTTGTCAACCGATAATTCAAGCATATTTATTTTATGTACATATTACATTATATGTACTATATTATATTACATTTTAATATGATAATTACTTAAAACTTACACATTTTTTTCATCATGATAGACAAAGCAGTTTATAATAATGATAGTGCTTCAGAAAAGTTTATGTTCCTTTGACAATATTTTTACTTAATAAAATAAAAATGAAGTGTTACCAGTGTATTTACTGGCACATGCTACTGACCTATATCATTTTATTAAACTCCTTGGCTGCACTTATAAGAATATTTATCACACAGATCTGTCATATAAAAAGCCTTTAGTTAATAACTGCCTGAACTTCTTATATAGTAGATGTATGATCCAGTATTGGTACAGAGGTAATCAGCCAAACATCAGCTTAATGAAGATAGTTAAACTGAGTGTGTGTGTTAGATAATTAACAAAACTGCAAATGTTGGAAAAGTGCTTCACAGTGAATATTGCTACAAATGAAACATCTCTCCTTGAGAAATAAAGCAGTTATAATGGTTGGAATGGTCAGCATGACTGCCTGAAAAGCTTTTTTTGGGTCTCCGCATGCATGTTGCATGGACAGCTGCATTGCTTTGCTGGCAGCCCCAGGGCAAGTGCTGTTTGATTAACAAAACATTTTTATTACATGCACATCCAAAAGAATAATCCTCAGAGTCGCTATGTGAATGTTTTATGCTATTTTTCTCCCCATAGAGAGTCAGGTTGTAACGGTGCTTAAGGTGCTGGCCTAGAAACCAGGAGACTGTGGGTTTTAATCCTGCCTTAGGCATGAAAAACCATTGGGTAACTTTCGGCCAGTCACTGACTCTCAGCCCAACACACCTGACAGGGTAGTTTATTGTGGGGAAAATAGGAGGAGGAAGGAGTTTTTGTATGTTCTTCACATACAAAGTTGTATATGGAAAAGAAAATATATGAATAATATAATAATAATATTTGTTACTGATAGTTATGTATGTATGTGTCGATGAGTATTTGAAGCTTTTCCAGTAAACCAATTTCTTAAAATATATTTACTTTGATGCAGTCAGCTTAGTTATGTTAAAGGCTGCGAAGCATTTAAATATTTTGCAAGTGAGGAAAATCTGAACGTGTTACCCAAAGTAAATGCTTTTTTAAAAAATATTGTATGCATATTTCAAATTCTTGTTTACTTTTTGCACCAGTTTGCTTATATCAACACCATTTAACAGTGGGGGTGTGGGGCGATTAATATTAATATAAATTAATGTTCACCGTATATGTGTTCAGGTTTCAGATCATCCTCTGCGTCCAATTCAGACACCATCCATGAGATCACCATATAGTGGTTCAGGACTCTCTGTGCCAAAGGTACTGAATCATATATTCCGATTAGAAGCTATGCTAAAATCTTAGGCTATTCTTTAATAGGTCGTCATTCACGTATGACCACAGTTGAGTTTGGAATATTGGTCATAAATCGTTGCCATCATAAGTTGAGTCCACATGACTGGACTTGATGTTTCAACCATTTTTACAACAGTCATTAAGCAAGTCAGCACAGTAATTAAGTAAATCATATATCGTTAAGCATATCATGTGGTTGTAATTCCGAATCCAGCTTATCCAACGGACATTTTTGTCAGAAAATAGCAAAAACTATTGTAAAATATGATCGTGTGACCACAGCCATTTGCCAAGCACTCAAAATATGACCATGTGACTTTGGGGGCAATGTGGTAATCATAACTTTGAGGACATAACTTTTTCAGAGTCAGTCATAATTTTGAACTTTCGTTAAGCAATCAGTAGTCAAGGATTACCTGTGTCTGCTTTGTTGATCCTCTATCATTTACTTATGAATAAGGATGCTCTTGTTAGTATCAGTAAGAACTAAACCCACTTTGGAAGAAACAATTCTACATGTTATGAGTGTTCAAATATTTAAAAAGCAAGAGAGGTCAAGTCCAACTTAGACAGCATTTATTTCCTTATACTAAATTTGAAAAAACTCGCTGTGTGCTGGACTAAATGTTATGAAAGGAAACAGATTATATATTTCTTTAGTCGCATGTACGTGATTTCTACTTCATTACAGAAATGTAGTAACTTATTCTCTGTTTGGGAAGCATTACAAGGAAGCAGAATGCGTTACTGATCATCAAATGGTCTTGAAAGCTAAAGGAAAAAAAACACATTTGTTTCTGCATAGTTTAATAATAAATAATCTACCAATGAGTTTTGTGGTGCATTAGATATTAGCCTACTTTGCTGTGAAAAAAAGAAATATAAAACACAAGGTAATTGTTTTACCTGTTCCTTTTTTGGATATTGGTCCACTGATTTTGAACATTTATTTAATTCCTTAGACTGTATCTATCAAACACATAAGATGTAAAACTATTATAAAGTTACATACCTAACTTAATAGTATCCTATAGGGTGATGATTCTGTTCTCTGAATGGAACTGGTTATGATTAAACAAGTGTAAGATATAGGAATGGCTTGAAAATTATAAAACTGAAAAATAAACTCTGATTTTATTAGAGCAACAAAATTAAACTATTTATATAATATGCGCCAATTTAAAAATGATTTTTATTATCAAAGTTCTGTCACCTAATCAGTACTTCTATTTGTTTTACAGCCTAAGGCCCATCAGTTTGTAGTAAAATCCTTTAATACCCCTACCAAATGCAATCAGTGCACATCATTGATGGTTGGGTTAATAAGACAGGGCTGTACCTGTGAAGGTAAGGTCTGGTATCTGTTTGTTTTTACAAAGAATTCTATTTATTATATGTTACATGTAATTACATGTTAATGCCATTTTTTAACTGTGTTACACACTTGTGGCAAAAAAAAAGCGAAGAACAGCTAGCTATTTTAATTACCTTTTAAAGATTCAGGGACAAATTTCCTTAGCTTAGTATAATACAATATAGTTGAATATGTCATAATACTGTTTTAGATTGGTGATTGCAATAGGTGATACTGAGACAACCAGTGATCTGTAACACCACATTGAATGGTCCTTGGTTCCAGTAATGAAATATTTTTTAAAAGTGTAGAGAAAAATCTGAGCATCAGTTTTGTTGGCTTCAGCATTGAGAGGGTTTTATGGTTGCTGAATCTTGTCTAAAACAAGGCCTTTTGGTAAATGAGCAGCTGGGTCAGCAGAGAGAAATTAAGTGAAAACAGACAAACTTTCCCTGTGTAGCAATCTCAGTTGTAGTCAAACCATTAGAAGCTTGAAGAATATGATTATATGTATGAAGATGCATATGTTTATAGGACAGAAATGTTTATCACCCTGATTAGGACTCCTAGAAATTTCATATGTTGCTGTACTGCAACATAGGTGAGAGGGTAGGCTATTCATTTTATCAAACTGAACAAAATATTTTTATAATGAACTTTTTTTATGGATGTTCATTTTAGCTCAAGAGAGTAGAGCTGATAAGAGTGATGTGGAAGATATATATGAAACAACATCTAATTCTTTTAAAAAGTAATTTTTTGAACAAAAATTCAATATCTCAGAATAGAATAATAGAATAACAGAGTTGGAAGGGACCTTGGAGGTCTTCTAGTCCAACCTCTTGCTCAGGCAGGAAACCCTATACCAGGCATGTCAAACTGCTGGCCCACGGGCCAGATGCGTCACACCAAAACCGCGCCCACCTCATTGCCGGCAATGGGGGGAAAGTTGCGATACGTTGCGTGACGTCACATGACGTCGCGAGTTTGACATGCCTGCCCTATACCATTTCAGACACATGGTTGTCCAATCTCTTGTTAAAAACTTCCAGTGTTGGAGCATTCACAACTTCTGAAGGCAAGTTGTTCCACTGATTAATTGTTCTAAATGTCAGGAAATTTCTTCTTAGTTCTAGGTTGCTTTTCTCCTTGATTAGTTTCCATCCATTGCTTGTTGTCCTGCCCTCACGTGCTTTGGAGAATAGCTTGACTCCCTCTTATTTGGGCAAACCCTGAGATACTGGAACACTGCTATCATATCACACCTAGTCCTTCTTCTCATTAAACTAGACATACCCAATTAACCAGACAATAGTTTTATATTAATTTCTTATCCAAATTCCTAATCTGCACTTTATAAATTAGCAATTTAAATGCTGCAAAAGTATAAAACTTCATCAGAACATATATATTTGTAACTTCTGTGAAATGGCTCATTTCAGTTGTATATAACTATGGTTTTAATAGTCCAGAAGGTATTAGTGCAGTGAATGTGAATGTATTCGTCGGGAAATAGTACTCCACTACATGTTTATCTATAGCAAATCTCCCTTCTCTGAGTTAACATATAGTAGGCACATAGTTCCATTGGCCAAGAAAGATTGATGAGGATATTTGTGTTTATTACTGATTTTCATATTATTAAAATAAGTATTACACAATCAACAAAGATAGATGTACATTTTAATTACAAATACTGTCTTTCCTCCCAGTCTGTGGATTTTCATGCCATGTGACCTGTGCAGACAAAGCACCAGCAGTATGTCCCATCCCACCTGAACAGACGAAAGGTCCTCTAGGGATTGATCCACAGAAAGGAATAGGAACTGCTTATGAAGGGCATGTCCGAGTAAGTCTAAGAAAACCTGTGTTGTTGGTTTATGTTTACCATTGATATTCATTTTTCTCTGTGTGTCTCTCTCTCTTAAATGGGAATTTCTTATCATTTTTACAACAAAAGTGTATACATTGTGAGTGTTTGCGTGTGTGTATATATACAATATGTGTGTATATGTATACACCCACACACACACACAAAGTAAACCGCAAGATGTCTGCTACTGTTTTGGAGAAAAAGCTAGGAGTTGGTACTTTTCAGTGCACTTCCATACTGTCATTGGTATTGCAATTTTGTACCAGTGTGCTAATATCTATCCTGCTGTACTCCATTATCCTATGAAGGTGGCCAGTGCTCCCTCCCTCTGGCTAGTGGAAGGGCATAAAAAAATGTAACCAGCTAATACCCTAAATCAGGGGTGTCAAACTGCCGGCCCGTGGGCCGGACGCGTCATCCAGAAGCCGCATCTGCCCCATTGCCGGCAATGGCAAAACCGTCCCGATACGTTGCGCAACGTCACATGATGTCACGAGTTTGACATGTCTGTCCTAAATGTATGGAGATTCTCAGTCATCCAGGTCATAGTTATCCCAAAGGTGCTTTTTCACAAGGCAACTGGTTTGTCTTGTTTTTCTTTGAAGATGTTTCACTTCTCATCCAAGAAGCTTCTTTAGCTCTGACTGGATGGTGGGGAATGGAAGGATTTATACTCCTTGCACACAGCTAGTCATTTGCATTCTTTTAGACCATTGTTGAGACCACCTGGAGGTTTATCTGGGTCATCAGGGTCACCTGAGTAGTGCAAATGGGTGTGGAACCTTCTTGGAACTGCTGAAAGGGCTGTATTGTAGATTGGAGATAGATGAAGTCATATCCCTCCACCTCTGTTGAGAGAGATCTTGCCTCATGAAAAAGCACCTTTGGGATAATATTCCAAACACACACTGATTAATCTCATGTTTGCTTTTCTCCATGAGAGAAAAGAAAGGGGGGGAAAAGATTACACTGTATGGTTACTAAAGATGGTGCCCTCCAGAGTGACGGGAGAGGACATGAACTGTGGCACAACTCCAAGGGGCCTTAACTGCAGAACAGAATAAGAAATCCCGGGACTTCCGGTGGCAGGCGACTTCGCTGGACGCAGCTGTTTGCTGTTCCCGCCTGTTTTCGCGTAAAAGCCGTTTTGACAGCCTGCATCAGCTGTCAAACGGCTTGATACCTTTCCCCTGGGCTTAGGGGGATAGGTGAGCTGCCCGAGGTAGGAGTTGAGTTCCCGAGTCGTCCCTTGTGGACGATGTAGGTGAGAACTCCTCCGGAGCCCCGGGCTTCTCCGCGATCCAGGACGTCTTCGCCGTAGCGAAGCTAGAAGCCGCCACCACCGCTGCAACTTAAAGTTAACTGTGAGTTTGCCTTGTAAGCAGACGAACCGACCCTGGAAGTTTGCTTTTTATTTTTGGACTATACTCTAACTTGGATAATACGTTTTCTCCCCGTACGTGTGTTGGAATGAGGAAAAGTGAATTTAAAATGGCGATGGATTGATACTTTTCAGCAAGAAGTGAAAGTGATTTCCGGTTTGAAACTTTTGCTACTTTGAATCTGCGTATTATTCGTTTAGGCTGAACTGCGTAAATTTACTGCTAATATGTTTCTGAGAAAAACTGTGCCTTTAACTTTGAGNCTATCAAACACATAAGATGTAAAACTATTATAAAGTTACATACCTAACTTAATAGTATCCTATAGGGTGATGATTCTGTTCTCTGAATGGAACTGGTTATGATTAAACAAGTGTAAGATATAGGAATGGCTTGAAAATTATAAAACTGAAAAATAAACTCTGATTTTATTAGAGCAACAAAATTAAACTATTTATATAACATGTGCCAATTTAAAAATGATTTTTATTATCAAAGTTCTGTCACCTAATCAGTACTTCTATTTGTTTTACAGCCTAAGGCCCATCAGTTTGTAGTAAAATCCTTTAATACCCCTACCAAATGCAATCAGTGCACATCATTGATGGTTGGGTTAATAAGACAGGGCTGTACCTGTGAAGGTAAGGTCTGGTATCTGTTTGTTTTTACAAAGAATTCTATTTATTATATGTTACATGTAATTTACATGTTAATGCCATTTTGCCACACACTTGTGGCAAAAAAAAGCGAAGAACAGCTAGCTATTTTAATTACCTTTTAAAGATTCAGGGACAAATTTCCTTAGCTTAGTATAATACAATATAGTTGAATATGTCATAATACTGTTTTAGATTGGTGATTGCAATAGGTGATACTGAGACAACCAGTGATCTGTAACACCACATTGAATGGTCCTTGGTTCCAGTGATGAAATATTTTTAAAAAGTGTAGAGAAAAATCTGAGCATCAGTTTTGTTGGCTTCAGCATTGAGAGGGTTTTATGGTTGCTGAATCTTGTCTAAAACAAGGCCTTTCGGTAAATGAGCAGCTGGGTCAGCAGAGAGAAATTAAGTGAAAACAGACAAACTTTCCCTGTGTAGCAATCTCAGTTGTAGTCAAACCATTAGAAGCTTGAAGAATATGATTATATGTATGAAGATGCATATGTTTATAGGACAGAAATGTTTATCACCCTGATTAGGACTCCTAGAAATTTCATATGTTGCTGTACTGCAACATAGGTGAGAGGGTAGGCTATTCATTTTATCAAACTGAACAAAATATTTTTATAATGAACTTTTTTTCTTGATGTTCATTTTAGCTCAAGAGAGTAGAGCTGATAAGAGTGATGTGGAAGATATATATGAAACAACATCTAATTCTTTTAAAAAGTAATTTTTTGAACAAAAATTCAATATCTCAGAATAGAATAATAGAATAACAGAGTTGGAAGGGACCTTGGAGGTCTTCTAGTCCAACCTCTTGCTCAGGCAGGAAACCCTATACCAGGCATGTCAAACTGCTGGCCCACGGGCCAGATGCGTCACACCAAAACCGCGCTCACCTCATTGCCGGCAATGGGGGAAAAGTTGCGATACGTTGCGTGACGTCACATGACGTCGCGAGTTTGACATGCCTGCCCTATACCATTTCAGACACATGGTTGTCCAATCTCTTGTTAAAAACTTCCAGTGTTGGAGCATTCACAACTTCTGAAGGCAAGTTGTTCCACTGATTAATTGTTCTAAATGTCAGGAAATTTCTTCTTAGTTCTAGGTTGCTTTTCTCCTTGATTAGTTTCCATCCATTGCTTGTTGTCCTGCCCTCACGTGCTTTGGAGAATAGCTTGACTCCCTCTTATTTGGGCAAACCCTGAGATATTGGAACACTGCTATCATGTCACACCTAGTCCTTCTTCTCATTAAACTAGACATACCCAATTAACCAGACAATAGTTTTATATTAATTTCTTATCCAAATTCCTAATCTGCACTTTATAAATTAGCAATTTAAATGTTGCAAAAGTATAAAACTTCATCAGAACATATATATTTGTAACTTCTGTGAAATGGCTCATTTCAGTTGTATATAACTATGGTTTTAATAGTCCAGAAGGTATTAGTGCAGTGAATGTGAATGTATTCGTCGGGAAATAGTACTCCACTACATGTTTATCTATAGCAAATCTCCCTTCTGTGAGTTAACATATAGTAGGCACATAGTTCCATTGGCCAAGAAAGATTGATGAGGATATTTGTGTTTATTACTGATTTTCATATTATTAAAATAAGTATTACACAATCAACAAAGATAGATGTACATTTTAATTACAAATACTGTCTTTCCTCCCAGTCTGTGGATTTTCATGCCATGTGACCTGTGCAGACAAAGCACCAGCAGTATGTCCCATCCCACCTGAACAGACGAAAGGTCCTCTAGGGATTGATCCACAGAAAGGAATAGGAACTGCTTATGAAGGGCATGTCCGAGTAAGTCTAAGAAAACCTGTGTTGTTGGTTTATGTTTACCATTGATATTCATTTTTCTCTGTGTGTGTCTCTCTCTCTTAAATGGGAATTTCTTATCATTTTTACAACAAAAGTGTATACATTGTGAGTGTTTGCGTGTGTGTATATATACAATATGTGTGTATATGTATACACCCACACACACACAAAGTAAACCGCAAGATGTCTGCTACTGTTTTGGAGAAAAAGCTAGGAGTTGGTACTTTTCAGTGCACTTCCATACTGTCATTGGTATTGCAATTTTGTACCAGTGTGCTAATATCTATCCTGCTGTACTCCATTATCCTATGAAGGTGGCCAGTGCTCCCTCCCTCTGGCTAGTGGAAGGGCATAAAAAAATGTAACCAGCTAATACCCTAAATCAGGGGTGTCAAACTGCCGGCCCGTGGGCCGGACGCGTCATCCAGAAGCCGCATCTGCCCCATTGCCGGCAATGGCAAAACCGTCCCGATACTTTGCGCAACGTCACATGACGTCGCGAATTTGACCTGTCTGTCCTAAATGTATAGAGATTCTCAGTCATCCAGGTCATAGTTATCCCAAAGGTGCTTTTTCACAAGGCAACTGGTTTGTCTTGTTTTTCTTTGAAGATGTTTCACTTCTCATCCAAGAAGCTTCTTTAGCTCTGACTGGATGGTGGGGAATGGAAGGATTTATACTCCTTGCACACAGCTAGTCATTTGCATTCTTTTAGACCATTGTTGAGACCACCTGGAGGTTTATCTGGGTCATCAGGGTCACCTGAGTAGTGCAAATGGGTGTGGAACCTTCTTGGAACTGCTGAAAGGGCTGTATTGTAGATTGGAGATAGATGAAGTCATATCCCTCCACCTCTGTTGAGAGAGATCTTGCCTCATGAAAAAGCACCTTTAGGATAATATTCCAAACACACACTGATTAATCTCATGTTTGCTTTTCTCCATGAGAGAAAAGAAAGGGGGGGAAAAGATTACACTGTATGGTTACTAAAGATGGTGCCCTCCAGAGTGACGGGAGAGGACATGAACTGTGGCACAACTCCAAGGTGCCTTAACTGCAGAACAGAATAAGAAATCCCAAGAAATGGGACAAAGTACGGACTCTTGCCAGTGAGAACCACCTGCCCTATACTTCCAGAAGAAATGCTACAACATTTTCAATGCTCCTAGACCCATTACTTTGTGGGAAATTGGAACTAGCATTGATCTTAGATCACTGCAGTCTTGCATGTAGAAGAGGCATCAGCTTCTTCACTGCTCTATTTGAAGGAAGACATGACAGTTAACTAAGCTTATTTTTACAGTATAAATGCATATCTGATTGAATTGCTGAATGGTTTCTTGTATAAATGTTGAAAGTACATTTTGCATATTATGCTTAGGTGTTAAAATTGTTTGCCTGTTTTGATTTTTTGCATTCAATTAAATTAATGTGATTAATTTTGTTTTAGATCCCTAAGCCAGCTGGAGTGAAGAAAGGCTGGCAGAGAGCCCTGGCTGTTGTCTGTGACTTCAAGCTCTTCCTTTATGATATAGCAGAAGGAAAAGCATCCCAGCCCAGTGTGGTAGTTAGTCAGGTTCTTGATATGAGGTAGGAATGGCATGCTTTAATTACCCAAGGCAGCAAGTGCTTCTCTTTTGAGTCTCTGCTGGTATGAATAGCATAAAAGTCAGCCATTTTCCTATAGCCTATCTCTTTTTGATAAGCTGTACTTAAAAGAACAGCAGCAGTAGCTGTGGTATAATATGGAACTATTATTGAGCTTTAAATAACTGAAGTTTTAAAATGATAGTGATTGTTGCTTCAGGTAAAGAATCATATCTCTCTTTAAATGGATTTATTATTAGTGTATATTCACAATTGGCCAGTAGGACTTCTTTTTAAACACTTACTAATTGCATCTAGATGAAGTGGTGCTTAAAAGTTTGTTAAACTTTTTGAAGTTTCGGTATTTCTGCATAAATATGACCTAAAATATGATCTATTCTCCAGAAAATCCAAAAACTAGAAAAAGAGAACCCAATTAAACAAATGAATCTAAAATATTATTCTTGTTCATTGGTTTATTGTGAAAATGATCTAAAGCTCCATATTTATCTGTGGGAAAAGATGTAAACTTTTGATTTTAGTAACTGATGTGTCACCCTTGGCCAGCAATAATTTCAGCTAAAGATTTATGATAACTGTTGATCAATAGAAAAGAATATACTGTTTGTAGCTCAGGGTTGAATTGTGGAGTCGGTGATCTTTGAGCTTAGTTGTTTGTTTTCAGATGGTTTATTACCTGACAAGCTAACTGGTGGGCACTGATTCAGGGCATCATTAGTGCATCCACATCTGCAAGCAAACAACAAAGTTCAGAGAGCGCCATAGACCCCATAAGTGTTGATTAGTCGTGCATATTTGTTTGAAAAAAATTAAGCCCATTTCTCCTGTTAGAAGTTTTAGGGTACTTTCTCTCATGCACTGCCTTCTTTAGGACCTTCTACAACATTCCTGCAGAATTAAGGTCAGGACTTGGACTTGGCCATTACAAAACATTAAATTTCTTCTGCTTTAAACCACTCTTTGTTTGTATGACTTGTATGTTTTAGATCATTTTGCTGCATAACTGACTTTCTCTTGGACTTCAATTAATGGACAGATATTCTGATATTTTCCTGGCACAATTAAGAACTCAGAGGTCCATGGGAAGTCATCCTGTCCAGAGGCAGCAAAACAGGCTCAAATCATGATATTGCCACTACCATGATTTTTTTAGATAGGATATGGTTCTTATGCTGGAATGCAGTGTTTGCCTTTCACCAAATGAATCAGTTTATATTTTACTTATATATTAATAAAAGTTACATCAACCTACTATTTTAACATTTAATATATTATAAAACATACTATATTACTTAAATCTCATTATCCTTCTTGTTATAAGGCCCCTTTATGTTCGAACTTCTCTGTTCTTTTAGCCATATTCAAACAAATGTTTATTCACGTAATAGTCCATCTGGTAGGACGAGTCAAATCTCTTGTATCGATCTCTGATCTTTTTTTGCCAAGTAATTTTCCAAGTTGATGTAATCCGCTTACTCAACAGTTCCTGTTTTTACAAATGATGTTGGGAATACAAAAGATGAAATAAGTAAGATAAATTCTTTCTATCCCCCAAACTTTAATAGTTCTCCTAATAATTCCATTTTTCTTGTTGTATCAGAACCTTGTAGATTTTTTCCTGTTTGTGTCAAATTGTAATTCTTTTCCTTTGTTATTTCATTAGTTTGATCATACTCTTCTAGTTTGTAATCTGCTGTCTGATTTGTTTGTTCCTTTGTTGTTATTTCCTGGGTATTTTTTAATTGTAGATTTAGATTGGAAATATGCTTATTTAAATCCTCAAAGTTGTTTCGAATTTTGTTGTGGTTTGAATCTATTGTCATTTGTATTTGTCCTAACATTACATATATTTCTTCTGGGAAAGTATTTATCTTGCCTTGAAGTATTGCTTCTGGAGGCCCTTGATTTTCCATGCTAAGTCCTTCAGGAGAAAATATTGAATGTGGCATCCTGTCATTTTTTGATACATATGTGATATCCATGTTGTCTTCCCCCTTCAAATGATCTTTCATCAAAGTTTCAATTCAAAAGTCAATTTATCAGTCAGTAAAAATTACAGATTCAGTATATTAAGAAGCCTCTTTAAATTCTGCAAATTCTCCTCTAAAAGATTAGCCAAAAAGCCAAAGTTTTTTTTTTTACCATAAACAGTTCTGAGATTTAAGCAACAGACCAGGTGTTTTTTTTTTCTTTCAAACACTTTTTAATCTTATAGCTGGCTCTTCCTTTGTTCCCAGCTGTCTTCAAGGTTATTTGCAATTCAAAGGAACAACTTTTTCTTTGTTTTGGGGCATTCTGTCAATTTCTGAGTCCTTATTGTTAGTGTTCTATTCTTTGATTCTCCACTAGGTGTCAGCAGTTATTTCTTTTTTCAGTTTTTCTTTCCATCAAAAAGTTATTTTTGTTAATATTTTTATAAGTCCATCAGAAATTTTTAGGGTATAATCTTGACAGTTTTTTAGTTCCTAGATTTGTCCAGACTGAAATATTTTAAATCAAATTTTAGTATATCTCTTTCAACCTTTTATGTTAATTCGCCGCTTCCATCTGTAAGGGAATGGAGATATAATCCCCTCCCTTCACTTCTGGAGGTTTTCTTGCTTTGGAGATCTTTTCAAGGATTTAAATAGTAGACAGAAGAAAGAAGATCAGTACTCTCACCAATTCCAAGCACGCTGTTCACTGATGTTTAAGTCCGTGCTCTGGGACGTCAGCTGCAAGCAGCTTGGGCTAGATGCTGATCACACACTAGCCTTTCTCCTGTTGGGTTTGAAGGGCTTTCCCTGGATCAAACGAAGCTGTTGCTGTCGCTTCGTGATCAACAGGGCACCCCTCCTTCACAGTTACCTCTCTGTGGCAATTTTAGACCCATCTAGGGTCCCCCAAGCAGGAAGAAACTAGCTGCGGGGAGCAGAGGTCCGCTCTTGCGTGGCCATGTGCTGCAGATGCAAAAACCGGAAGTCCTCAAATGTAGTGCTTTTCATTCAGGCTTCAAAATTTTATTGCCCACAAAACATACTTCTAATATCTTTCTGGCTTATCCAATGTTCTTTTGCAAATTGTGTAGGGGCTGCAATGTTCTTTCAGAAAAGTAGTGACTTTCTCCTTGCAACCCTTCCATGCACACCATTGTTGTTCATTGTTCTCCTCCATTTGTGCATAATCTGCCTGATAATGGACTAGTGGGTTTTAACTCCTTGTAATAGTTTTGTAACCTTTTCCAACCTGGTGAGCATCAACAACTGTTTTTCAGAGGTCCTCAGAAATCTCCTTTGTTTGAGCAATAACACACATTTCCGCATAGTTCAGACTTTGGTAGCAAACACCCAGAATTCTTTTATTTAAATAAGGCAGCACTACCACCCTCACACCTGTCATCCCATTGATTGAAACACCTGATTCTAATTTCCTCTTCAAATGAACTGATAATCCTAAAGATTCACATACTTTTGCCACAACAAATATGTCACTTTGGATCTTTTTCTACAATAAATAAATGAATAAGTACATATTTCTTGATTCCTTTGTTTAATTGGGTTTTCTGTATCTACTTTTAGATGTTATGTGGAGAACAGATCCCATTTTAGGTCAATGGGCAGCTATACAAATATGATGAATAAATAAATAATAAATAAAATTCCAAAGACTTAAAAATTTTTAGGAGTTATAGAATTATTGCAAATAAAATTTCAGAGTGAGAGCTCAAATATCTTCAAGATAATAAAATTGACTATGTGGCCTTCAGTGATGGGGATATTACAGCAATATTATTTTGAAATTTTCTTTCAAATGTAGTAAATAAAAGTTTATCAGTTTTCTGTTGTGACATTTCTAGCGGAGCTATTGATTTATCTTTCACTCTTATATTTTACCCCCTTATAACAATTTAACAAATAGACAGCAAACATTTATATGAAGAAATTATTTGCTACAAATATTGATCTGAAAATAATGTAGGTTTATGGCAAGCTAAATATAAAATATCATTACAGCTCTATGTTGTGCTGATATGACTTTCCTCTTGAATTGGGGCTTTTAATTGAGGTCCATGGATTGCTTGGGGGTCTGTGGATTGATTTCAGGCAGTCTATGATGTTGGATCAGAAAAACAAATACATTTTTATTTTTACTAATTTCCAATTGTCTTATTATTAAGTTAATGAATTATTAAAGACTAGATGTTATATATTTATCATTTTGAATATTTTGATAACTGTATTTGAGCATAATCAATTTCCTTTATTTCCTGTATTGTGTGTTTTATTTTATAATTTGAATACATTTTTCTGGAAAGTCCATATACTTTGAGAGTCAGTTTTGCCTGACTTTCAAAGAAGTTCATTACACAGGGGTTAAGAAACTCTGCTCTGAATGTGAATAGTTACTGTTCAAATATAATAATTTCTTACTGGTGGATTAAAAAAATGTCTTTATAACAGGGATGAAGAATTCTCAGTGTGTTCTGTTCTGGCTTCTGATGTCATCCATGCAAACCGAAAAGATATTCCCTGTATTTTTAGGGTAAGTAATACCCTAATACAGTTGCAACACAGAGTAGAAAATAAATTGTTCTTATATTCATTTTTTAAAAATTAATGGACATTTCTCTATTTGTTAGTCAGTGTGGCTTTTGTGGATTCCTTTGAAATTTCATATTTTTATTCCAGCTTTCTATTTTAAAATATAGGAATATCAACAAAGTCTGATTTTAATCCTCCAGAAATGATGCAATTAATTTAATTAGCCTTCACAGTTTTTTAAAAAATGCTATACAGATAGTTCTTGATATACAACAGGACACTTAACAGATGTTCAAAGTTACAATAGATACCCCAAAATTACATAGGACCCTGTTTCAAAGTTACAACTACTGCAGCATTCCTGCAATCATTTGTCCTTATGACCGACCACAGGATGCTGCAGCACCCCCACCTGTTTACCCCCATCCCACCCCACTATGATCCCACAATTCGTGGTCCTGCTCACCTCACACCCATCACCCAGCACACTTACTTTCTGAAGCTCATGTTGGTGAAGAAGGGCAGGCCACCTATCCCTGGCTGTGTGCAGGTAACCATCATTTTGTCTCATTTGCTTGTGGGCTGGGACAAAATGGTAGCCACCAGACAAACTGCTTTGTTTTGCTGCCTTAGCAAGGTCTCCACAGTGCTGCAGAAGCTTCTGAATGCTGCAGATAAATTCTGCAGTGCTATGTAGACCCTGTTTAAGCAGCATAATGAAACAGTTTGTCCCCTGGCTGCATGGCTGAATATGGCCGCCATTTTGTCCTCCTTACTTGTGGACAGGGACAAAATGATGATTGCCAGACAAACTGCTTCATTTTGCTGCTTTAATGAGATCTATACAGCACTGCAGAAGCTTCCTAATGCTGCAGAAAGCTTCTGCAGCGCTGTGCAGGTCTTGTTAAGGCAGTAAAACAAAGCAATTTGTCCCCATCCTTTGTGGTAGTAACTCAAATGCAGCTGCCATTTTGTGGATAGGACAAAATGGCAGCCACTTCTGGAACCACACCATGCAGCTGCACAAAGGAGCAATCCTTTCCACTTCTCTGTAAGGCCTCAGAACTCTTCAAAATGTAAGTGAGGAAGAAGCTGTTTGGCCTGATGGGGTGGGCATGAAGGGACCTTGTGGAAGTAGAAAAAGCCCATGAGGTAGGAAGCAGAGCACAAGCATCTCGGGTGGGAGAGGCCTTGGGGGGGAGAAAGGCAAGGCAGATCTCCCCCACCTCGAGTCACCCTGTTCTCCACTTAACAACCATTTGTTTAATGATTTATTAGGGAAAGCAGACATGTGGAGGTTGTTAGGTGAAACGCTTCACCTAACTACCATTGCAACATCTGACTGTAATGGGCAAGCTCCATTACGGTCATATCTCAAGTACTATCTGTATACAAGTTAATATTTATATTTTTAAAATCAGATTTTATTCATAGTTTTATCCTGTCCATTTTGTCTTCATTACAGTTCTTTTACAGAAACTGATACAGCTTCATCACTGGGTAAACAGTGATTTGAATTGGGGTCATTCACAATGCATTTTTTAATGCCTCACTAGCTTTCATTGGTCTTTTGTAATTTATATTTGATGTTGACTTCTTAATTTATTTACTACAAAATAGTTACATTGAGGGTTTCTTTTGAATACATTGAATAAATGTATTTATTCAATAAATAAATGACATTGTTATTTATCAAAGAATCTCATTTTTTAGTTACACGTATCTATAACATTTCCAGGTTTCAGCTTCTCAGCTATTAGCATCAAGTAATAAGTGTTCAGTCCTGATCCTAGCTGACAGTGAAAACGAAAAGAGTAAATGGGTAGGAGTCTTAAATGAATTACATCGGATCTTAAAGAAGAACAAGCTCAAAGATCGCTCAGTCTACGCTCCCAAAGAAGCATATGATAGTACCTTACCCCTTATTAAAACTAGCCAAGCAGCAGCAATTATAGGTATGTATTTTTAAAAACATTTTACAGATTTCTTATTTTAACTATGAAGTGTTAATTCATGCTGGAATTTTGAAGCAATGTACCACATTTGCCTGGAAGGAATTTGCCTCTGGATTTAAGAAACAATTGGAGAAAATTGTAAACACAAAAATAAAGTTAATCTAGAATTACTAAATCCAGTGAAATCTGCCTCTCCCCCTAACAAATGTGATACACACTCAATCTGTACTCACACACACACACACACACACACACACACACACACACAGATCTTCCACAAGTCTTGTTCTAAAAAAAAAAGGGCAAGGGCAAAAAAATAAATCCATACTAATTGAATGAATAACTAATACTGTAGTACCTTGGCACTCAGCGTTAATTGGTTCTGGAAGGTGCCATGAGTACCAAAAACAATAAGTACCAAACAATTTTTTCCCATAAGGAATAATGTAGTGAGTCACAAGGCAGCTGACACCAAGAAGTTATAACTTGTGCATAGAATACCAAACAAATGTTGAGTACTGGGACAAATTTTTCATGTCAAAATGCGTTGAGTACCAAATTCAATGAGTTTCTAAGCAGTCAAGTACCAAGGTATCACTATATTAAAACTGATTGCCTGTAAAGTATCATATCCCATTTTTAAAGATGATTTCCCATTTATGTACACAAACCATGTTTTCTGTACATTCACATGCACAACCCTCCCTCCTTCCAGCAGGTACTGAAGGAAAAAAAGGAATGGAGATGGGCTGAGGAAAAGCAGTAAACATACAGTATTAGGAAGGGAAGCATAAGGGAAAATATAACTGTATGGATAAGAAAAACATGGATGAAGTAATTGACTAGTGAGGAAAGAAAAGAGAGAAGTTCTTTTAGGACTTTCAAAAATATTTAAATTCATCAAGCAGCATCCCTTTCAAAGCACCTGGTAATCTTCAGAGACCTTTTTACTCAGCAAATGTAAAATTATCCTCCCATTTATAAATATTTGGAGAAAAAAAAACCTTGTGTTTTTTTTCAGATAAATATGATAATTTAACAGCACAAGCCTTTCTATTAATATTATGTAAAAAGGACATAAAATATAATGTAGACACTAATAAACAAATCTATGCATATCTCTCAGAATTATATTAGGTTTGTGACCAGGTAAATGGGCAGACCGATGTTTTAGATTTCAATTCCTGTCGGTCCTAAGCAAGGTATCCAATAATAAACAAGCATTGGAGCTTAAAATATTGGGAAGGTATCAGGTTACCAGTCCATATAGATTAAATGGCCAAGATAACATATCATCTAAGGGAAAACTGGTAGTTTATGGAGTGGAATAATGATAAAGATGATGAGAGGTATTGTGAATTACAAAACCATTTAGTATGATAAAAAATGGAAAGCAAAATGGAAAATAATTTATGAGTCAAATGAATTCTAAAATGTTTGGAAATTGTATTTTTCTTTGATTTGTAAATGTGTTACACTAGTTAAAATTGTTCATTAATTTTCTTTAGGCATTTTTACCTTTCACCTACTTTGAATGTTGAACATTTATGTTGTTTAGTTATTACAGGAATCCCAGAGATATATTTTTTTTCATTTTTATTTAAAGGCAAAATGAAACAACTAATAGTATCATTACACTTTGTAATATTAAATTGGTTTCAACTATCCTGGTATCTGATACTTGTTTTTCCTTATACAATGTGTGTTTCAATTATTATTTTTTCTTTTTCATTTTTAACTGTTTCAGATCATGAACGAATAGCTTTGGGCAATGAAGAAGGGTTATTTGTTGTTCATGTTACAAAGGATGGTAAGAGTATTAGATTTATATTGGAAAAGTGAAAATTCAAATAAGATGTACTTTTTATTTCATTCGGTGTGGCCTAATGGTTAAGTTGTTGAATTAATACTAGGGAGGCTCAGATTCAAGTCCACCCTCAGCAAAGGAAACCTACTCAGTGACTTTGAGAAAGTCATTTCTTTCTTATACCAAACTACCAAGTTATTACTATTGCCATAAAAAATGGAAAAGGAAGTGCCATGTACATTGCTAAGAATTTCTGCTTAAAAGATAGGGAAGATATCTAGCAAGCATTATAAATTCTCATTCTGTGATTTATAACTGAATTAAGAAATATTAACCATGCTATAGTGTTCAAATTTTCCCTGTAAATTGAGGACTACAGGTAGTCCTCAATTTACAATCATAATTGAGCCTGAAATTATGGTCATAATTTGTTGTGATCATAAGTCGAGGCATCAAGTGACTGATATTTTTGTGGTGGACATTAAGCAAATCCATTCTCCCCAATGGGCATTTTTTGTGAGAAATTGTCAAAAAAACATTGCAAATAGCAGTCATTGATCATGGGATGCTGCAAATGGCCATAAAGATGAGCCAGTTGCCAAGCTTTCCAAATGCGATCCCATCATTGTGGGGGATGTGTCCACCATAACTTCAAAAACAAATCATAAATAGCTCTGGAGATATTTGTCATAACTTCCCAAATGGTCATAAGTTGAAGACTACCTGTATTTAAAAACTTTTCAGTCTGTGATATGTCAGAAGATTGAAACTCAATAGTTTTATTTGTTCATTTATTCAATATATATGACCACCCATTTCAAACATAGGGGCAGCTGACAAATGTTATTGCTGTTGGTTTTTTTTTAATGAGTAATGGCATGGTGCTTAATATAAATTAGATAAAATAATTAAAAACAGAAATAAAATGTTCAAAATGCGTAGATAAAACCAAGCATAACCCATCCAATTCTATAATAACAGGCACAACCTATCTAAATATAATATGGTTTTGTTTGGCAATGGATAGATGACACAATTTTAATAGGAACTATGTAGAACATAGAAACACAGCATCCATGAGACAGGGAAGGGAGGCAATATAAAGAATGTAGAACTGACTCTGGGAAAAGAAGGTGCAAACTTCTTTTTTGAGGACACTTGAATAGACTCCTATTCAAAGGTAATTACCCTGATAGGAAAAAAGTCAAAGGCAGACTTTTGAAAATGCAAATGGGATACAATGATTTTTAGAAGAAATTGTTAGTGGAAAAAAGCAGTTTGGAAAAATAAGTTTATATATTCAATAAGCAAGATGAATACTATAGATTTGAGCACACTTTTTATATTCTAAGATAATTTTTTGCAACCTTTTATTTTTGCAGAGATAATTCGTGTTGGTGACAATAAGAAAGTTCATCAGATTGAGCTCATCCCAAATGAACAACTTATTGCAGTGATTTCGGGACGAAACCGTCATGTACGACTATTTCCTATGACAGCTCTGGATGGTCGAGAGATTGATTTTTATAAACTGGCAGAAACTAGAGGTTGCCAGACCATAGTTTCTGGACAAGTGCGCCATGGAGCCCTTACTTGCCTGTGTGTAGCAATGAAAAGACAGGTCCTATGCTATGAGTTAAATCATAGCAAAACACGCCATAAAAAGATAAAAGAAATCCAAGTGGCTGGGAATGTCCAGTGGATGGCTATCTTTAGTGAACGGCTTTGTGTTGGCTATCAGTCAGGATTCTTAAAGTACCCTTTGTATGGAGAAGGAAATCCACATAGTTTGCTTCATCCAGATGATCACACACTGTCGTTCATTACACAGCAGCCAACTGATGCTATCTGTGCTGTTGAAATCTCAAATAAAGAATACCTGCTGTGTTTTAGCAGTGTAGGGATTTATGTGGACTGTCAGGGTCGAAGATCTAGACAACAAGAACTAATGTGGCCTGCAACTCCTTCTTCTTCCTGTAAGTTTCTGCAATTACATTAATTAAGTAAAGGATTGTTTTTCCTCATGGCTTGAAGTCATCCACAATATTTGAATAACACTGTGTAATTAATCAAGCAGTTAATAACAACAAGTTGTAGGAGATGCGATACTGAAACATAAATAACTTTTTAACTATGTGCTATAACACAGGTGTCATACTCACCACGTCACGTGATGTATTGTGATGTATCGCAACTTTTTTTGCATTGCTGGAGCTGGGATGGGGGTGGCCTCCGCATGATGCAACCGGCCCATGGACCGGCAGTTTGATACTCCTGTGCTATGATAATAATCCATTTGTTGTAATATTGTGATGTTATATCTTGATCCCCCCCTTTCCTTCTTACCCATGTATTTCCTCTTCATTTATTTTTTTAGCACTAATATTATTTGGCAAACCATTATGACTTTCCTTCCAAAAAAGAATCATAGGTTTTGAAATAAGTCTCTGGGTTGGAGGAAGCATGATTTGCCATCCATCATGGGAACTATTATGTACTGCTTCTAGAATGAATGCAAGGAAAGTTCTATTGATATAACTAACTATAGTTACCATAGCTGAAGTTAATTACCACAGTTGAAGCTCTCAGTATAGTGATAAAAGAGCATACTTAATAAATTGCTACTAGTGGTAGGTATGTTCTGCTAATAGGAAGATGCTAGAAGGTGTGATATCAAGTAATGCTGCATCAATTCTTCAAAAAATATTCATAACCTCAGAAAAATACCCCTTTGCATATGTATATCTGTATGTGTGCACATGCATGTGTTTGTATGTGTATTACACATGCACATACCAACTATTAACAATTATATCAGTCTATATTAGAATTTGATTTATTTTGTTAACTGCTCATTTCTGAATGATTACTGGTTGTACATAATTTCAATGTCTTGGAAACTGAGGTAATATTAGACTAGCAAATATATGATTAATATTTGATACTGTTTTATTTGTTAGCTATAGTTAATGGTTTATTCTTTTTCCCAAAGGCTTCATTTTAACATTCAGTGTGGCTAATCATATAATGTGAACATAGTGAGAGGCAATTGACCTACAGCTTATTTTCAACAAATATTAAACAGATAGGTAGACACCAATAAAAAAACTAGGCTTATTTTCAACCGTACAAAATGTACTTCTAATTTAATTACAAGAGGTATATGCTAAAAGTGATTTCCTTACCTGTCAGTTTTCAACCCAATCTAACGTATGTCCGTAAGGCATTATCCAGACATATATCTGTGTTTCTTCCTAGGTTACAATGCACCATACCTCTCAGTTTATAGTGAAAATGCAGTTGATATATTCGATGTGAACTCAATGGAGTGGATTCAGACCATCCCCCTCAAGAAGGTAACTAATGAATTATACAGAAAATTAAACAGTTTGGATAGGTTATTCATAATATGAATTAAAACATATGTTGAGTTCCATCTGGATTAAAATATTAAAATATTAATCTGATGAACTAGGAATGGGGACACCCACCCACCTTCAGGGCTACAATGGAAACTAATTAGGTATGAGGCAACTACTCACTGAAGCTGCTTCAGAGTGCTGTTTTTGTTGCAATAAAAAGAAGAGAGAAGTTTCAAGCACTTTGAATTCTTAAAGAAAAGATACTCTGAACAGTACAATACATATATTTCTATTAAATATTTTTAACATTTCATCAGAAGGAATTTGGTACAATTTTTTTGCCTAACATTTTTTATTAAAAGAATATTTTTTGGTGAGCTGCAGCTCACTTCATCAGTGAGTGGTTAAACTGATGTAGGACTTCAGTTGGAGAGACGTGGAGGTGAGAAAGGGAAGAGAAAACAAATTGGTTGTGCAGATGCAGGTTACATTAGAGATAGTTTACAACTATCTTATCAGTTAACAACTGTGATGTTTCAAACCCCACCAAGGTCCTCCTGAATTTTTGCCATGATATTCATGTATGATGTATGATAGTTTATACTGTTTCACATTTTCTTCATATCTTTTTGCTTTTTTTTTTACACTTTACATTTTTTAGGTACGTCCTTTGAACACAGAAGGGTCGCTAAATGTCCTAGGACTAGAAACTGTTAGATTAATTTATTTCAAAAATAAGATGGCAGGTAAGTAAAAAACAACAACTGCTATCTACATTAATTACTGTTCATTCAGACATTAATAGAATGCTGATGTACTGAATGCAATCCAAGTAGCCTTTCCTCAGAAGCATTTTGTAAATGGTGCAATTCCCAAGGTTTTTAATATAATTAAGAAACAATTGGGCTAGCTAATCATTTTAGGCTAAAACTTTGAAGTAGGAACCAGTTACTCCATTTAGATTTATCATATTTTTAGCACTTCAGATATAATTGAATTTTAAGTCTATTACAGGTAGTCCTTGATGATGGAGTCTGGAATTTCCATCATAAATCATGACAGTCATAAATCGAGGCACTCAAGTGACCGAACATGATTTTATGACTCTTTTTGCAGTGGTTGTCAAGCAAACTCCATGATTGTTAAACAAATCAATGTATTCCTATCAACGTTTTTGCCAGAAACCGGCAAAAAAACAAATTGTAGTCACATGACCATGGGACAATGTAACTGGCCATAAAGTTGAGCCAGTTGCCAAGAGCCCAAAATCCAATCATGTGACTGCAGAGGAATTGTGCACCTGTCTGAATTGTGGAACCAGGTAATAAGTAGCTTTTGGCAAGTCCATAATAACTTTGAATGATTACAAGCAACTGGCCATAAGTCAAGGACTATCAGTAGATTTTGTACTGATTTTGTTACCACTGAGATTTTTAAAGAAATTACTTCCACTTCTTCAAATATAAGATATATTAATACTTCCTAAAATTATAGATCCAGATCTTTGAACTAAATAAAACTTTTTTAAATGCAGTGGTTTGGATGTTTGTAGCACTGCAAAGTTCCACTCAGAATGCTTCCATTGACAAAAGGGGACAATTATTTCAAATTCTTCCTTCTAGTAGTATTTATCTGCAAAGTACTTTCAGATTAAAAATTAACTACAGATAGAGAAATAAATCATTGAGTCAGCATTGGGAATCCATGCTTCTTGTGTTTTCTTGCCACTGTCCAATAAGTGGATGATGGGCAATGTTTCAGTCAGCATCACAGAAGTTTCAGCAGGCAAATCTGGTAGTTAAAGGCTAGGAAGGAATATTGCTTGAGTAAACTTTTCTGTCTCGCAGTCTCCTAGAAAAACGTTCCTATTTCTTTTATTTTACACTCTCTAAAAATAAACATTTCTAATACCCATTTATTTTGTATACTATGCCAAATATTTTCTGTATACCACGTCTACTTTAAGCATAAAGTTTTTCTTAGAAGAAATTCTGAATGCAAGATTAACTCCACATTAGGTGCAAACAAGAAGTAGAACTGAACACAGAAGTGGAAAGTTTTACTTTAGCTTTGTTTCAATTATAGTTCTCACCACCCACCCAGTTTTGTCCATGGATCTCAGAACAAGATAAATTTGCCTCTGAATTTACTTGCTTACTTAGAGATGTACAAGTTACGTACCGTAATAAACCATGTGGGGTGCAAAAAATGGTCAGTTGGAAAAAAAGAGTCAAACATCTACATTTCTTTCAAAGACAGGATTCTCTGTATTTTTTATTTTTCAAGCCTCTAATGAATGTTTGCAGATAACATATAATTAGTATAAGCTTAAAACCGTAATCTTATACTATGTATTTATATTGTTCCATTGTTTTAGCATTAGCAGTCGTACTAATTTAGAAAAGTTTTCTATAGTTAGCTCTCTGGAGGAGGGGGGAAAAAGTGATCCTGCTTGGATTTTTATGTTTTTCTTAGAGGGTGATGAGTTGGTGGTTCCTGAGACATCAGATAACAGTCGGAAGCAAATGGTCCGAAATATTAATAATAAACGGCGCTACTCATTCCGGGTGCCCGAGGAAGAGAGAATGCAGCAGAGAAGGTCGGTATTCAACCTGTACTTGTCTTCTGTCCATGCTTGTAGACCCTGAAGACTTGTTGTGTCCCGTCGTTGTATTTTTTTGTTTGTTTGTTTGATTGTTAGAAAAAAAAATGGATTTCTGGGCAATGCGTTCAAACATTTGTCTTTTCTGTTATATATTATGCTTTATTTATATGATGTATAACCCAATACTTAAATTTGTTTTAATTTAAATATAAATGCAAAAGAACTATTGTAAATTGGAATGCATGTCTCCAACTACTGTACATAAGTACATTTGTGTGTGCATGTGTGTATATACTGTATATATGACTGATAATAATAAAGTTTTACGAAAGAAATTTATACTGCTAATTATGCATATATTGTCCAGTTTTGATATTCTCTTTTTTTGCACAGTTCCCATCTGATTCTCTGTAATATTCCCCAGTGCTCTGATGATAACAATTATTTTTCAAATTTTGTGTAGTTTTCAGGCAGCAAAAGGGTCACCTTGGAAGGTAGCATTCAGACTATTATGAAAATATTCAGAAAGGATTCTGATTTTTAAGAAAATACTTTCAAGAAATATGGAGTTAATGTTTCAGCATTTCTCATGTATAGGCTGTGCTGATAAAAGTTTGTATACAATTATGGGAAAACACAGGGAAATAATTGAATTTGCTTGTTTTCAAGTTAGCATTTTTTTTCACTACTGTTGAGGCTTTTAAAGACCTATTTATTACATAACCTATGATTAGAACCAGTTTTATGCTGTCAGGTTTTCTAAAATTCTCAAGAATTTTCTTTTGTATCCTACAACACATTGGCAAATTTCTCTAAAGCTCTTTAAATTATTGTAAGTGTAAAATGTGAAGAGTAGTGCTGTATTCTTCTAATCCTTTTCTTTTCTTCTGTCCTTCATCTCTGCCTCCATCTTTGCAGCATCCGATCATCACTGAGCCCACTTCTACACCTTTTCTTGAATGTTGTCTCAACTCCCTCTCGTAGTGCACTCTGAGACCCAGTAACCATTTGGACTTTTTTGTGAACATGGGCTGTTAAGCTTTTAAGCCAAACCTCTCTGTTCTTCCTGACCTTTTCCCTTCCATCAAGCTAACAGCTGAGATAGAATCAGTATCAGAATTTAAAGTACTTTTCTTTTAAAATTTAGCCATATAAATGGCTATTTGTTTTCTGTTGTGGAATAATTTTTATGAATAGTACATATTTACTCTTTGTGTTTACAAATAGCCACTTCAACATACAATGTCTGAATATTTTCTTTTGCAGAGAGATGCTGCGAGATCCAGAAATGAGAAATAAATTAATTTCTCACCCAACTAACTTTAACCATATAGCACACATGGGCCCAGGAGATGGTATACAGATCCTCAAAGACCTGCCTATGGTAAGCACAGCCTGGTGTATAACAAAAGTGAAATGAATTTGTCTGAAATGTGATACAAATAAAATTTATTAATTGATTTTCTGCCCTATCACACTCTCACAATTCTCAGCAATTTTGTTGTTGTTGTTGTTTATTTATTTATTTATTTATTTTATACATAGACTTATATGCCGCCCTTCTCCCCACGGGACTCAGGGCGGCTCACAGCATATTAAAACAACATAGCACATTTCCCCAATAAAAGCCAATTAAAACCAAATATTTGTAGCTGTGTCTCTTATTAAAAATCATTAAAAATTATCCCTATTTAAAATTCACCCTAGGTCAGTCCCGCTTGCTGAAAAAGCCATGTNTCTTGAGGGCGCGGCGGAAGGTTAGGAGATCCGGAATCGTCCGGATCTCGGGGGGTAGCTCGTTCCAGAGGGTGGGGGCACCCACAGAGAAGGCCCTCCCCCTGGGGGTCGCCAGCCGACATTGCTTGGCCGACGGCACCCTGAGGAGGCCCGCTCTGTGGGAGCGTACCGGTCTGTGGGAGGGAGTCTGTGGCAGAAGTTATGTCCGACCCATGGACAACGTTCCTCCAGGTCTTCCTTCCTCTACCATCTTCTGGAGTCCATTTAAGCTCACGCCTACTGCTTCAGTGACTCCATCCAGCCACCTCATTCTCTGTCGTCCCCTTCTTCTATTGCCCTCAATCTTTCCCAGCATTAGGCCTTTCTCCAGTGAGTCCTTCCTTCTCATTAGGTGGCCAAAGTATTTCAGTTTCAACTTCAGGATCTGGCCTTCTAAAGAGCAGTCGGGGTTGATCTCTTCTAGGACTGACTGGTTTGAACACCTTGCAGTCCAAGGGACTCGCAGGAGTCTTCTCCAGCACCATAGTTCAAAGGCCTCAATTCTTTGTCGCTCAGCCTTTCTTATGGTGTGCAAAACCTTTAAAACATCCATAGTATGAATAAAACAATACAAATAAAATCATAACATTAATGATCAACATAGCAATAAAATGACAAATAAAAAATAAAAGATGGCACAAAAGGGAAGCATCATTGGCGTATGTTCTTCCTTTCATATTTGAAAGAAGAAAATGCCCCATTTTTGCGTGATCCCTTCACCCTCAGGTCAAAAATCTCCAGTCTCGTTTCTTTTTTTTTAATTGCTTCCTTGCAATCATCTGCTGTCGCTGATGACTATTTACTTATTGCAGCTTTCCCTAACCCACTCTAACCCTGCCGTTGTGTTTCCCCCAATTTCCCATCATCATTCTTCAGTAACCTGGCTGGGGATACTAGAGGCTTATAATTTTTAGCACACCCAAACCAATGGGATGGATTGCCTGTGCTTGTTAATTAGTGAGCCAGTCAGTCAAGGTCTTCTCTAAATTCTAACCTGGTCATCTTGCTGTTTTATATGACTTTACCTCTTAGCTGTTTCTGACTTGACTGTCTTTCTGTTGCAGAACCTTCGGCCTCAGGAAAGTCGGGCAATGTTTAGTGGTTCTGTCAGTATCCCTTCAATCACAAAAACCCGGACCGAGCCTGGACGTTCCATGAGTGCTAGTAGTGGCTTGGCAGCAAGTAAGTTGCTGAGCCTTCACTTGGTGTCAGCCTCTTTCTCTATTTTCCTTGAGAAGGGTGTACTGTCACCTCGGTATTTGTCTGCTTCGTGAAGGATGTATTAAGAAAGAGGCAGACATTTTGGTGGTCAAGGATATACGACCTTAAGAGCAAAGGGAATTTAGTCAAGAATTTATAGAGAAAAGATTAGACATTCTCTTTGGAGAGAAAACAAATATGAAAGCAATGCAGACTTAATAATTTTAAAAGGCAATACACTGGGTTCATCTATATATGTTCAGCTATTTACAAGCAGTGTATTTGTGTTTGTTTCTTAGTTAACTTTTGGAACTCCCTAATATTGAGAAAACACGTGCTCATGTTGGGAAAACAGTTTTTGCCAACTGAGATCAGCACAATATTCCATATTTTTAAAAAGCGGAAATGTAATTGTTTTTGCCTATTTGTCATATTTCACTATTATGAAATATATCAACATAGTACCTAGAATAAAGCCTCATAAACATATAAAAGGGTATTTTTATTTCATCTGAATATGAGAAAGAGCTACAGAACTAATTGCTAATCAAATTTAATCTTTTTAAAGAAATGAGCTGAGCCTGACTCCTGATAATTACATGGAAGTGCCCAGGGAGTTTTCTTGGCAACAGTAAAGAAGTGTTAGCTGTAAAACCACTTGTTACTCGGTGCATATTGTTGTAGAGAAGTATGAGGAAAGTTAAAATCATAGAACTCCCACTATTTTAATATTGTATGCAGGGATTAAATTGCAAAAATATCAATAATATTAAAAGTATGATTATATGTTATGAAAACAAATGTACTTCAATGCACGTATCATGTTGAACATTCTGTATTGTTTTTATTATTGGCGTATTGCAGTCATGGTATTGATGGAGGCCTAATCAGGATTGGCACTAAGAAATGGGGCAGTTGCACAATACTTTCAGATATACTGTATTTCAGGGCTGCTGTTCATTTGCAATGAACTGTTATAGGACCAACATTTCCAGAAATGTTGACAAAATATTTGGGATTCAGTGCAAGTGGAAGATGTTAAACCTCCCTTCCTATACTTTACCCCACCTAACAGTTTCTCCTTAACCAACACAGAGAGGTTAATTCAATACAGCATATAAAATTATTTTTACTCTTGCTGAAATGGAGGCTGGGATGGAAAAGGGAGAAGAGGCCTTGATAGAAAAGAATGACAATGGAAAAACAAAACTAGCAAACAAACAAACAAAACCATCAGTAGATCAAATAATGGTAAAGTGTGACAATGAATACTATGGGTTATAGTTCTAATGCTTTTACATGGTATGTAGTTAAATTCCTGGGTGCATTTCTAGGAACATCTGCACAAAATGGTAGTGCTTTGCGGAGAGAATTCTCAGGAGGTAGCTATGGAGCAAAGCGTCAGCCAATGGCCTCCCCTTCAGATGGCTCTTTGTCTTCTGGTGGCCTGGACCAAGGCAGTGATGCCCCAGTGAGGGAGTACGAGCGAGAGGTGGGTATAAGCTCCAGTTTATGCTTAAAGTAATTGAAAATCAAGACACATAAGTACTGCACTAGTCGATAATTGAAAGGGAAAGTATTACTCTGTAAAATATGACAAAAATTCTAGTAACATGAATTACATTGATATATTTTTTAGCAATAGCTAAATAGTTTCCGATACAAAATCTAGTGTCGTGGTAGTGTAGTTCGGACTAAATACTTTTAATGTATGTTGGATAGACATTTAGTAGACTAGTGTCTTCCGTTTAGGTTTACTAGAAACCTAGTAAACCAGGTCCCTAGTTCGGTGTAACATTTGAAGAGTTTACCCGACTTAGGGGACACCTTTGTCGATGGCCGATTTTTTTTTGCAAGAGTTGAACAAGCAAAAAATATTCCAAGAAACAGTTGGGGAGAATCTTGTTCATACAAGATTTTTCTTGTTATTGTTAAGCAATTCTTTAAGAGAATGTTACAGAGTACAGTAGAAACAAATTCAGGAAATTATGCAAATAAATAAACATTTATGTAAGTGCGATTACAGTATAGCATTTATAGGCATAGATGCAGATACAGGAAAATAAAAATTAAATCAGCAAATGTCCCTAAGTATATTAATTTCCACTGAAGTTTATAACAACTCTAGAAAAAATGTGAGCTTTTACATTTGGCAGATTATGAACATAAACATCTGTTCTACTGTATTAGTGACAGCATTGCAAGGACTCGAAACGTTAGAGCCCAAAGAGAGACCTTCTAGAACAGGGGTCCTCAACCTTGGCAACTTTAAGACTTGTGGACTTCAACTCCCAGAATTCCTCAGCCAGTCCACAAGTCTTAAAGTTGCCAAGGTTGAGAACCCCTGTTCTAGAAAGTTGCTTGTATAAATGTATAACGTGCTGTTTATTTCCATCCCTCCAAAAGTTTTCAGACCAGTGCACTTTGGGAACGAAAATCAATAACGTTCTCTTGATAAGGTAGAATGGGTATTCTTCACTGCCTATTTTTGATAGGGTTGCTGGCCAGGCAGAGAAAGGAGAGGTAACCACTTGGCATTCCATTCCTTGTCCTTGTCCCTTGCTTCTATAGATTTCCAATCCTCCCTGTTTCCATTTGTGGCCGCACTGTTGTTCACTAATATGTTCTCTTCACGTGTTTTGGGCTGCAGGACTCTGACTCTCCAAGGCACTCTACAGCTTCCAACAGTTCCAACCTGAGCAGCCCTCCCAGTCCCATTTCTCCTCACAAGACCAAGAGCCTCTCCCTGGAGAGCTCGGACCACGTGAGTTGGGACTCATGAACTGCTTCAGCACTCAGATTTGACATCTCAGCAGCTTTTGGTCCCCATGATTCTCCATTTGCTCCCATTCTCATCTCCTCTCAGCTTCCCTACAAGAATCAAACTGTGGGTGGGAGGGGGAGGAAGAGAGTGTATTTGCCATAATTGGCACCAGTAGCGCAACTCTCTTCCCCTCCTAATAGTAGCCAGCAAACAAAAGAAAACCTTGGTGGAGGGCAGCATGGAGTTGTTATATGAGAAATATTGGTATATTTCTATTAATTTTATTTCATAGGATTATGAAATTCCATTGTATGGCATATTATGCAATACACCACACACTCCAAACAAAACATGGTAGTGTAGGATGCTATACACAGTATGTAACAGGAAACCAGATAGATTTGCCTTGGTACACGTAGACCCATATTATATTTTTTCAGGAATAAATACAGCAACACCCTCCATGTTTGGTGATAGGGTGAAATTTGCCCTGCTAAGGAAGATACACATGCTTTCAGACCGCTACTCTGAATGTCAGTCTGATTGCTGCCAGTAAATCATTGATTTGGGGGAAAATGATGCATATTTTACTATAATAGAGTTTAAGTAAATACACAAAATTAAGAGTTAGTACATATGTATATAATAAAAGAAAAAGCAGCATTGTAATGCAACAGAAGATGGATTCCTATTTAAGAGATCCTTTAATTTAAAATGTGTGGTGTTCCTTTTTTCATACTAAATAATCTATGGATTGAGGGTGTGATCTGAATTTAGAACGGCACTGGATAAAAAAAACATACAGCCTAGATGAAGACTCCATCCTCACAATTTTTGCTCTGTGACATTTCCTCCTTATCAGTAGAAAAACGAAAGCCATAAGCATCATTTTAAATTCTCTCTGCCTGTTTTCCACCTGTTCTTTACTTTACAAGCAAAATCTATTGTTTACTAGTACACGGATGAGGTAAAACTGAAGGGTATCCAAACAATTATAGAATCTCCTCAGCTGAAGTAAATGCAAATAGAAATGAATGAGCTTTTGGAAGATTAGGGCTAGGCTTTCAAACCCATTTTGCCTTTTAATCACCACAAGCTCTTAAGTAACTTTCTTAGTTAACTAACTACATTCACTGAATACAAGGATCATTCAGTCTGAAATAGAAGTTTGTAGTTTGTTCTTGATCATTGAAAGTTAACATGCCGCTTGTAAAGTTGTACTTTGCTAAATTATTCAAGACTTCTAAAGATTTTCATTGTGGTCGTCTGCTCACCCATCCTGGCCCAGAATGCCCATTGTCATTGATGTAGAATTCTGGTCGTTGAATCTAATAGAGAAAACCTAATCAGAGCATAGCATTTCTGTCTGAATAGTGGAGATCCATCGTCACCTAGAAAAACAATGGCAAAGAGAACATGCAAATGGAGGGCAAAGGCAAACTCTTTTTTCTTCCATGTTATTGAATAAAATGAGTACAGTTTGCATTTTCACACTAGATGAATGTGATTTTTCTTCCTAGAATCATTGCTTTTTAGGCTAGACCTATGCTCAAGTGGAGAAAGTATTCAGGTGGTAATTTTTTTTAAAAAAATAGTTTCTACAAGTTTTGTAATACATCATGGATATTGTCAAATAATTACAGTTAACATCAGTGGAAAAACAATACATCTGTAACAGTTTCCTAGGTCACCTCTAAAAAATCATCAGCTACAATCATACAAAGTTCTGATTAAGTACTAGAAGATAGAGATCATTGTCTCTCATCATCTAGGTAAATTCAGTTTGTGTCATTATTTGCATTTAGCTCTCTTATACTGGGGAAAAATTGGGAGTAGGAGGCAAAGTTAAAACTTTGCTATTAAGCATGGTATCCTAAACCTATCTGTTGAATTGAGTTCATTAAGAAACTCAAAACTGTGTGTTTTGTCATGAGTTAGAAACAAAAGATTTTAATTTCAGAGCTACCAGCTAAACATACTAAAGGAATTTCCTGCAAGCCTTTTCCAACTAATTGAGTCATATAAAATCTATTAGCTCTCATCACCTTTGACAGTCACTACTCCAAGATCCTGTTTCAACCCCTTCAGTCTTTCTTACAATGATACTCTTGCCATTATCATTGCTCCATACCATGGCGAAAAGGTTAGCATTTCCTCCACCCCATATTGGCTGGTGTTTTTTTTAAGGCTTCTGGTTCTAGCTTTAAACTGCACCTGGCTTGCAGAATTATTGATTTCAGAAATGATCTTGGAAGCCCTCAACAAGTTCTATGGCAATAAGCTATGTTTCATTTGGAGACATAGTTGTCACACATGCAAACAAGAGCTAAGGGGAAGGAATCTGCAAATTAGAAATAATTTTACATAACATCAAACTATTTAATAAATTTAAACACTACACTTTGTTAGGATGTGTGAACTTGCAATACCAATATTGATAAGGTATTAGGTACTTTTTTCCAACTGTACCCAACACACTCTTAAATCTCTGAAGTTAGCTAGTAAATTTGAGGTTTGTAGCGATGCATTTCTCAGTTTTCATTCCTACATGATTCTGTTTCTCCAGGCACTTTCATGTGCTCTGATTGAACCCTGACTAATTTGGTTAGGATCTCTTTTGAATGCAGCTTGAAGCTTTGCTGGCCCTAAATGAGAAGTTTGCTTTGAATTGATTCAGGCACTTCATTCATTGCCCTGTTACATTTATGAGGTTCAATAAATTGGATTATAACTGAACCTCAGATGGTTCACCTCTTACTTGAGACTGTATTTTAAAATAGAAACAATTTATACACAACATTCATGTTTTTTTTCAGATTATATTCCTATTGTATAATTTTATTCTTCTGAATCAGTCTTTCATTAATTGTCTAAAATTTGACTGATAGGCTATTTTGTATTCCTATTTATCTTTTTCTTTTCTTTTCTTTTCTTTTCTTAGAACAGCGGGGGGGAATTCACTATAACATTTATGTTAAACTCAGGTATTTGGAAACAGCAGACTAATGTTTTAATATAGTACATATTAATGCAATAATGTACTTTTGGGTATGTGATTCACCAGAGATACATCTTAGTTGCAAACAAAACTTTTGTTCCAAAGTCCAAAACTTGGGAGATAAATTGACTTAAGGATGGTGGATGTTAAAAATACGATTTTTCAGTTACCAGTTTTCAGGGACAACATACACACGTATAAGAGCAGCATTAGCAGCAGAGATTATTCCCTTTTCCTTTCCTTGTCTGTTGTTTAATGAACAGAAATTGGCTTGTTAGGATTATACTACAGGGTTACCTCTTTATAACTGGGGTCCTTTATCTAGGTGCACAGTTTGGAAACCCCAGGACATGCATGTGCCTTCAGAGGAAGGTTACTGAAAGGCTCCTGGCAAAATCTAGCCCAAAGCAATAGGACTAATCAAGGCACTACCCTGTCACTTTCAAAGTGTCATCCTTTGGATTTTCCTGAGAAACTAGGTTTGCAATTCTTCATCTACAGGGGGCCTTCAGGAATCAGTTAGGGTTGTAGACTTTAAATTTGGGGGACCATATTGCAGGTTAAGCCAATTCCACAAAAGTTTTCATTTTTCCCTTTCTCATTCTACATAAAACATAGTCACACTGATGAGGAAGCAATTCACAACCAAAAAAATGCCCTTGGTATTTAACAGAATTATACCTGCCTTTTTATGTACAATTTCATATCATTTATTTTTTAAAAAAAGATATTTTTAGGGATTTTTTTCATTGTAATATTGTTGTACAGTTTTGCATGGCCTAGATGTAATCACTTTTTTTTGTTTTGGTTTAGAGTATAAAAGCTGACAAGTGTGTGCGTGGGAGGGGGAAGTTTCTGCTTTGGCTCTTCTCACTTGTATTTTTGATTCATGTCCTCAATGTTGTAGAGGACATTGTAAGAGATTCTCTGCTCCAGAACAATGATGTAGATTCTATTGCACAGAAATATTTAAGGTGGATCAGTCAAAAGTGTAATAAGTGGCAGACCACCAATATTTTACATTGATAACACTTAATATTAACCTACTTTGATGTATTGCAATAAAACAGGGAAATACTAGAAATTCAGATCGTTTTGTCTTCTTTTCACTTCCCCCTCAGATCAATTTTATGTTAAGAGTGGGCCCATAAATTCAGCTATTGAGATCTTAATTTCTTACATTAGAAGTGCTGGACCAGAAAACTTTAGGAGCGGTTGCTCTCTTCCAAAGCATCTACTTAATTTAAACCATAGACTAATTATACTCTGCCATTCTGTTCTTGTTTCCTCGATGCTGCTGAGGATAAAAACATTTAAGCTTGTCATATTTTTTCTTCAGCATGTGGTTTGCAAAGCAATGAATCCAGAATATTCTGTTTCGTGATTAGAGCTTAATGAATGGCTATTTGAAGGACAGACCGAACTTAAAAATGTACGGTCAATATTAATTGCTCTTATTTACTGATACACTGCAACGATCAAAAAGAAAACAGGAATTGATTATGCAACCATGTAGATGCAGCTTTTTAGTTAGGAAAAATAAAGCAGAACTGTGAGGGCATTTTTTTTGTTAAAACCTTGCCATCCCCACCCCAGCCCAGTTCCATCATAATGCTATTTGCCCAGTGTGCTATTTACAGTAGTTTTAATTTTATAGGAAATACTTAGGAAGGGGGTCTGATACAGTTGCTAAATATCATGCACATTATTCCTGCACACAAAACATTCCTGCCATTTCTAAAAATCTGTGTCAGAAAAGCCCATGTTTTATTTCTATGGCAATATGATGATTGTAACATCAAACTCTGCTGGACCACTTTTTTTTTCTCTAGACAAAATCAAGAACACTGTCTTAAAAATAATTTGAATTCACATAACTTACATAGTATTGATATTGTCTTTGACTGCTACCATGTCCTAATGAAGCTTGGGTCCAAAACATTCTCTTCCCTCGAGTAAAGATTTAATGACATGCAGAATATCAATCAGGAGATGTTCAGAGAATTTCATGACAGCATCACTACAGTGTGTATTTCTGATTCGCTTTGACATAGACCTGTGTTTCACTGAATATCTCTTCTTGTTTGGAAAATCATTTCACAAATGACGCACGAAGCACTGTCAGGTGAAAGCAAACAGAACCACTTGTGAACAATCCCAAACAAGTTTTATTGTTAGTCACCTGTGTTACAAGAATCTCACCAGACTGACTGCATTTCCTTGGGAACAGTCAGATTAAGGCTTCAAGCAGGAAGAAAGTCCTTTTCTTCTCTTGGCATTACATTTTTCAAATACATCAGTTTATTCCTTGTAAATGAGATTATAAATTTGATTAAAGGCATTTGCATAATCACATCTGGAAGAGTGCTACTTTATACAGTAATATTAAATTCATCGAAAAGCAGAATCCAATTGGCGGTTAGTATTTTTGGTTTAACAAGCCCCTTGTCAGCTTTTTATACTCTTCTTAGTAATGCTCATATTCCATCTTTTCACGCATTTCATCTCCCTCTTTAACTTTCTGATATTGCAGCATAGAATATAGAATTTTAAAATGTTTCCTGTTGAATGAAATTATCTGAACAAAGACCAGATTATAAATATTTTATAATTCACAAAAATCTATTCATTTTTCTATGATCTTAGGACTTGAATTCCATGATATCCTCTCAATGATGTAACATCAATTGTGCACTATGTAAACAACACACAGTAAACAGCTCCAAGGAAATAAGATCAATTTATCTAAATGCATAGAAGCATCTGCAAGATATTTTAGGGAGCAAGAGAGAGGCTTAGGACCAATAAAATAATAAAATGTCAAGTAGACTCCCTTCCACCCTTCTTGCTGATTTGACAATGAATACTGAAAGGCAAATAATGTGAACCAATAAAAAATACTCCTACTATAGGTAGAAAATGACTAATTTATGCATACAACTCCACCAGCAACACACATTCACAAATACACGGTATATAAGGAACTATAGTTAAATCTGTTCTAAAAATCACTTCGGTGCCTTAGGCAATAGGCCAAAATTGATGTAGATTGGAATAAATAAAGGCAGACCTTCTAAAGCTCTGTTGTATTATTGGAAAGACATTTTTTAACAACTGATGTATCCACAGCAAGACTCTTTCTCCATCATTCATTATCCTAAATTCTAGCAGGAAAATTGATTTAGGCAAAAGAAAGTGGGATGCATTTATTATTACTGCCTTCCTGCAGGATTTATACTTTCTGGTGTAGCATAAAGGTATAAATTCAATTAATTTATTGTTAAAACATTCAACAACAGGATTAAGCAGATTTTCTTAAGCGGAAAATATTAAAGGTATTAGGTCAGAATTCAGCTAAAGAATGTTGCAGTTAAACTTGCTGGTTTCAAAGCAAGCGTTTTCTTTGATTATTCCAGGCCATAGTGTAATTATGTGCCATCATTTTTGACTCCCAGCAACCACATAGATATATTTTCTTCTTTCAGATCTCCCAACAGTGGCATTCATCACCACTATAACTGAATCCATCAACCTTGTTGCTGGTCATTCTATTCCTCTCTTTTCTTCCACCTTTTTCAGCATTAGACCTTTTTCCAGAGAGCTGAGTCTTTGCATAGTATGTCCTAACTAGTTTTGTTTGAACCTGGTTATTTGTGCCTCATCTGAGAATTCTGGATGGATTTGTTCAGTGATCCATCAGTTTGTTTTCTTGGCTGTACATGGTATTCTCAGGAGTCAACATCAAAGTTCAAAGGCGTCAAAACTCATCCTGCTTTTTTAAAGTTCAACTTTCCAACTTAAAAATCCAACTTTTGTTCTTTCAATTCTTTCTTATGTTCAGCCAAATTTTATTCTTGGTATAAATGGCAGTGTTTTTTGATACACATTGTAGGGAAGCACCTAGTTTTCTAGAGATTTTGGACTTCCAACTACTTTCAGCTCCAACTGCAGCAGTATCAGCAAAAGACTGTAGGAGGCATAACCCAAAACATTTGCAGAGTGTCAGGTTGCCTACACTTCCGACTATAGTAATATATCTTTAAAGTATTGTTTTTAGTAAAATAGTCCAGATGAAGCCTGCTTATGCATTCACATCAACACATTTTCAGAATATATAGAGGAAAAGCAGGACCACAAGATCGTTGACAACAATTTCCTCTATTCTTTGTTAAGTGGGCATTGCATATCCTCATCTGAGGCTTTCCAAGTTACTAAAATACCTCTTTTGGGAACTGAGTTAAACTTTGGGGTTAAATTAACAATTATTTTAGCTTATTTGTTAGCCAATTGTTTTGTTTTGTTTTGTTTTACTGCAAAGATAGATGTCATATAAATTGAAAAATCAAGTTCAGATGAACACATGTAAATATCAAAATCTTCCTACTCAATGGGTAGTGGCTGCAGTTTATTTGGATTGAATTATGTCTACTAACATGTTCCTCCAACTGTTTAAAGACTGAAACAAAACAACAAGATTCTTATCACTGACTCAATTAATTCCACCAATACAATCTTTTGCATAAGCACCTCTTTATTGCAAATAAGTTCAAAGTTGAACAGTTACAAAATGTCATTCATTCATATATATATATATATAGTGTGTATATATATATATATATATATATATATATATATATATATATATACACACACACACATATATATTTTGAAACAATAATTTCGAATACATATACATGTGTGTATATATATATATACACGTGTGTATATATATGCACATATATATATATATATGCCCACACATATATCTTGCAAGTGTGTCCATTGAGCTATTTAAATGTAGATCATGCTTTTCAATGCAATTTTGAAACATAATTGATACTGAATATACATTTCCTGTCTTCATCAAAAGTTGCACTACCAAATATGAAGATAGAAAGATGGAGAAATTACAGTTTTGCTTCTGGGCTCTTATAAATGCCACAGAGCTTTGGTTTCTCTAAATCTCCATTTAACGAGTAAACTCAATTTTTGAGAAAACCTTGTTAATTACATTCCTTCTACTTAGACCTCAAAGAATCAAAGATAAACAACCAAATTTCAAAATAAGATGTTCTACATACACCAATGAACTGTTTGTATCAGATTCTTTAAAATCCTCAGTTTTGTTGAGCACCAGAGACTCCACGTGTATATATTTCACACTGTTCTATAAGAAAATCCCAGCCATTACAGACTCCCACCAAATTACCATACAAAAATAAGGTTTTGTTGTAAATTATGTTGACATTCTATTCTTTGCAATATGAAACTGCAGAAGAAAGCCTTTCACCTTTGAAGAAAACTGAAAAAAATCTTGAAGATGGGGAGAATAACATTTAAAGAAGTACAAATAGATGTCTATGCCAACTCATTTTGATTCATGTTCCACCTCAGTATTTTTTTCTTTAAAAAAAGTCAACTCAGCTACCAATGTTAAAATATGAAAAAAATTGCCAAGATCTAGGACAGTATGAAATGCAGCTGTTCATTTTTGCCTCCACATCTTCTAAACTAGCAAACCACTATTTTTTATAAAATAGGAGATACACCTAAAATCTGGTGAGAATGTTGAGAGGAGCTGTACCCAACAAAAGCACAATTTCCTCAAAATTATTCTGCTTCCAGAAGATCATCTGTTGCATTGCTAAAGCAATTCTGGAGGCGTGATAGGGAAGGAATAGTACTGTGGTGTGCCAGAGCTTGGCCATATGATTGGGCCATATTCATAAGACAATAATATTTAATAGTTCTTTTGTGCCACTACTCATTTTTGGTCTTTTTACTCCAGTATTTACTGTAGGCTCCTTGAAACATATCCTTGCATGAAATTTTGGCCTTCAGCTTGGAGCATAACTCTTTTCTCGGTGGGTAAAAGGCTACTTCCCTTATACAGAGAAGACCACCTCCCTGGTTAGACACGAAGTCGTACTGACCTTAATTAGGTACATAGAAAAGTCACCATAAAACTGTCGGTTTTAGTTTTCCAAGTGACCTACGTTTTCGAAGAGGTTCTTATTCCTGTCGTAGGTTCACCCGGAGAAGGTATCGGATATTAAAAACAAAGCAAAATGATTATGATTGGCTACTTCAAGCATGTCTACTGAAAAGAAAATGAAAGAATCAATAATCACCAACATAAACCAGACAAGAATGGTCTGACAAATAGCAGCAGTAGTCAAAATCCAGCTCTGGAATAATAACCCACAAGCAGCAATTCTTGGCTTAATATATAAAATAGGCTCTGCCTTCTTAGCACAGATAAGATAGTTGTGGCTGGCAGTAAAGTACAGAATAAATATTACACTGCAAGTTTTAAAACAGGGCAGATACATGACATATTATACCCTAATCTGGTTAGATACAATTTGAACAGCCAGGGTAGCACATAATTCCAATCCAATTCTACATACTTTTATTCAAATTCAACATATTTATCTAATCAAAACAGTATCACCAGTATTCATTTTGAAGCGAACATACACTTAGAATAGAGAATATGAAATTATAACTACAGCTTTCTCAATACAGTATCAATACAGACCTCAAATTATGAACAACAGCAAAGAGAATATTCCTAGTTTATAAACCAATCCCCCATCCATTTATTTATAAAAAATATTCAGCTGAAATCCTTTGTTATATAAAATGGGAAATTGCTCCGTCGCTAAATGTTGAGTTTTCAATATTACGTAGAAAGTTAGCACCTGCTTCTGTAAGTGTTTGTTAACTTAAATTCAGTTTTTCTATTTTAGATTGTCTCCTATAAAAAGGCTCAAGCCAAATCTGAAAAAGTATCACTTGACAGTAAAGACTCTTTCAAGATCACCAGGACAAACATTTGTCCTGTCAGATCAGCAGCTAAAGTACAGTTTTTGGACTGACAAGATTTCTTAACATGACATACTAAACAATATGAGGGAAGACAAAGAGGGTGAGAGTTCAGCTGTTACAGAGATTTTTAGATTTTGGAAATACACATTTTTTTATTGTTGCCTTAGAATTTTGCCTGCTTGAAGAAACTAGAAACACAATTTAAGCCAACTAAGGCTTCCTGATTAGAATAGAATAGAGCTAGAAGGGACCTTGGAGGTCTTCTAGTCCAGCCCCCTGCTCAAGCAGGAGAACCTATAGCATTAGTTTTAGCTATTTATGCAAAAGGAAAAGCAGATGGAAGTAGTCTCTGCTCATCTCAGTGGGCAACTCAATCACACATTAAAACAGAAAAAACTTTGGCAACCTGGCTTATCAGATGGCAAGGCAACAATTGAGTAGCTATGCAAACATTTTTTTGTGTGAAAAAGGATATTTGTTGCATTCTCTTCTATTGATTGAGAAAATCAAACTTAACTCATAGCATTGGTAAAGTAGGGACTGCTTGGTTCTACAACTTACCTTGTTTTCATAGCCAGTTAAAAATTTCATTTCTACTGATTTCTGTAGCACTCTCTCTCTATCCATGTCAGCAGCTGCTTTAATTAACTATTAAGAGGCAAGAAATCAAAAACAAATCCAATTAGCATTTACTTCACAAGGAAGCATGTCATCCTTGTAATAAATACCTTAGCAATTCCTAAAAGATATTGGCTTTGAAAAGCAAGCGCTTCTGATGTCTCCCAAAACTTGCAAGGCAGAAATTTGAACCAAATTTCTGAATATTTCTCCTGAGAGGTCAGTACCGGGAAACTAAAATAAGATTTCCAAAAGGACACCAAAAGACCTCGAAACATAATGTGATTTTTATCACAGAAATCTATATTAGCATCTGGATCCTGTAGAACAAATTATCAAACAATTGTTCATACATAGCTAATCAGATAGTCATTTTCCCTTTATGGCAATTTGGTTATAATATATACATTATACAACAACTAAATTACCATATAGGTTGGCTGGGCTATCCTGATGTTTAGTTAAATATGAACAACTGTTCGGTATTACTAACATTATCCATCTGGGGTGAGAAACAACATGTAAATAGGAAAAGAAAAGAAGACATTCTAGGTAGTACATTCATTTTTAATTACTGAAATTCTTCCCATTACTGACAAATTTAATTTTTGCCATCTATTTAAATTCATTATCTCCTTCCATATTTTACCATAATTATTTTTCCTCAGTAAGAGTCCCCCCCAAGTATTGTACCTTTTTCACAACTTTAAAACCAGTTTTAAATTCCAATTTCTTCTGATCTTCCACCTTTAAAATTTAATTGACCACCTTTCCCTCTTTTTTTGTACACTATTTTTTCTTTTTGTTGTTGTTAGGGTTGAATGTATGTTTTTGTTTTGTTTCATTTTGTTTGCTTTACTCTTTTGTATTTTATTTTCTATGATAAAACAATAAATTTTTTAAAAAAGAAAAGAGAACATTCTTCCTTAGAAGAAAAGTCTGGACTTAATGATTAAATATTTTTGCTTCTCTTTTAGGAAGCAAAGGCAAGAATAGTAAAGTTATGTTGCCTGAGATATGGAGTAATATACTCTCAGAGCTTGAAAATATATATGTAGACCTTGCGTTACAACCGTTCACTCAGCATCTGTTTAAAGTACAATTTAGCTGAGCGAATGGTACTTACACACTGGTCATCAGACTTCTAGGCATCACAGCATCCCTGCAGACACATGATTGGATCCAGGTGCCTGGCTCATGATTATGACATCAGTGAGCCCTGGTCACTGACATTCTCTGCCAACACCCCACAAAGTCAACAGGGAACCCGGCAGGAAGTTGGAAGTTGTGATCATGTGAGGCTCTTGCTTAATGACCTATGTGATCCTTGATTAATAATGGCAACCAGGACTGCTGGAACTGCCATTGCTAAGCAATGCAGCCACATGATGTGTTTTATGACCAGGTCTCTTAGCAATGGCAACTCCATCTCCAATTCCTGTTGCAACCAAAGACTACCTGTAAATTGAATATTTAAAAAAAAATCACAAAAAAGTCCGCAGCAAAAAGCTTTTATCATCCACTTGTCGCAAACCCCATGACAGGCATGATAGCAATTTGGAGCCCTTACCTCTATGTAGGTATCTGTGAACTTCTCATCAAAGCCACGTGTGGCTCCAAAATCCAGAAGTGCCACCTGGAAAAAGAGATGTACAAAACTTTCTGAATGAAAGTAGAACTATTTCAGAGGGTTCATTTCTAAATGGGAGGCCCGAAAGAAAGCTTATTCTAGATTCTCAGAAGCTACGTTCTTCATCTACTTTTCACTGGAAGGGCTGAAAAATCCTAAAATGAAACCATTACGCTACATTACAAAATAGCACATCTTATAATAAGTATATTGCTGGATAAATAGAGCAATAAAATATTTTGATAGCAGCTGAAGAGGCGTATACAGGTAGTCCTCAACTTACAACCATTCATTTAGAGACCATTCAAAGTTATAAAGGCAGTGAAAAGTTGCTTATGACCAGTTTTTATGCAACCGCTGCAGCATCTAGATGGCCAGATGATCAAAATTTGGGCACTTGACAACTGGCATGTATTTATGACAGTTACACTGTCCCTATGTGTCATGTGATCACGATTGGTAATCACCCCAGCTGGTTTCCACTGGGGAAAGCCAGATTCACTTAACCACATGATTCACGTAACAACTACAGTGATTTGCTTAACCCAGTGATGGCGAACCTTTTAGAGACCGAGTGCCCAAACTGCAACCCAAAACCCACTTATTTATCGCCAGGTGGGCGTGGCCCACTGGGTAGGCGTGGCTGTGGTGGTCATGGCAGACTGGGTGGGTGTGGCCAAGTTGGGCATGGTCACCTCAATGTTGCTCATGGGGAGGGACACCTGTGGGGGCTGGGCAGGGTTGGGGGAGATCCAGGGGGTCTCTGGCAGGTGGGGCGGTGGGCAGGAGGCTCGTCCTGCGAGGTGAGGCGAGGCAGGGCAGGGGTGCCATTGTCGCAGGACAAGATGAGGCAGGGGCTGGGGCAACTACTGCCTGACACCATCAGCCCCCACACAGAGGCCAGCGAGCGCATGGGGGCCGACGGTGTCCGTCAGCAGCCACAGCCTGCCGGCCCCTCAACTGGTCCACTCTGGGGCTCTGCAGCCCACCAGCAGCAGTTCAGAGAAGCCGCCTCTGAGCTGGACGGACGGCCAACAGCTGAGGAGGTGATGCAGTGGGCCGTGCCCGGGAAAAGGTGGCCAGGAGGGATGGGACGGGGGGGGAGGGAAACCAGCTGTGCTGGGATACATCCGGCCACATGGGACCTCAGCGAGTTAGCGGGCAGCTAGTTGAAGAGGGACGGTTGCCATCTCCAGGGCATGGTGCGCGTGCCCACAGAGAGGGCTCTGAGTGCCGCCTCTGGCACACGTGCCATAGATTTGCCACCACTGGCTTAACCAGTGTGGCAAAAAAGGTTGTAAAATGCAACACCTCTCACTTAGCTGTCTTACTTAGCAATGTAAATTTCGGGCTCCATTATGGTTGTTAAGTCAAGGACTATCTTTAGTACAAGTAGACTATTTCATCTGGTAGAGCAGTATTTTAACATTGGGTATAGAGGCTCTGCTATCTTCTTATCTCTGCAGGGTAAAGCTACAGTTAGCCACTTCAGATAAAGATAATTCCCTGGTGATACTATCAAAGACCCTTATTACACAAATACCAGAAGACACTGAACTTCAGCATAATGTGCTTCCTTGGTGATCAAGACAATCAGATCCTACATGTTATTTATTTAAGTTATGCTATACCCAGTATTAATAGGCTTTTCCAGATTTAATCCCCTTCCTTCTGCAATTATGGAGGGCAAATATAAAGAAATTCTTGCCGTACTTAAGTGGACTTAATGGCAGCTATAAAGGAATCCTCAAAGCCTAGAGCAGTGTTTCTCAACCTTGACAATTTTAAGGCATGTGGACTTCAACTCCCAGAATTCCACAGCCAGCAATGCTGGCTGTGGAATTCTGGGAGTTGAAGTCCACATGCCTTAAAATTGTCAAGGTTGAGAAACACTGGCCTAGAGCATGTTTTTTCTAAAATGTTAAGTTCTGTGAAGAACTGCACTCCCAACTACCGTATTTATCGGCGTATAACACGCACAGGCCATATTGTGCGTGGAAGTAAAATTCTCCCTTTAAAGTCCTTTTTTTGAATTTAAAGTTTATTTCTTGAAACTTCGTTTTATTCCCATCGAGTCTTGAAAAAAAATAATTATAATAATGGTGAAGAATTGTAATATAGCCGCATATTGTGCGTGTGTAGTAAAGCCCCCTATTTTCAGGGGGAAAAAGTGCGTGTTATACACCGATAAATACGGTAATTCATTGCCAGATGGAAAGACTGCCCAGCCTCTCCAATCAATGATATCTAGAAATTTTGTTAAACGATAGGGGTCTGGAAATTGATATTTTTAATTAGCCCTAAGTTACATTGCATAGGCCTTGCACTATAATTTTAAAAATGTTTTGTTCTCTTCTGTTCACCTTGAGTAAAAGGAAGCCAGAGAACATCATAAAAACACTGTTCAATTTCTGTATTCCAGAATTTTCATTCTCTGAAGTTTTTCCTCCACATTCTTTTATAGGTTCCTTAATTAGAGAACCAGTATATTTTGGCAAAGAATTAACATGTCACTATCCTTCTTTTCCTGAAACATGTGGATATTATAGGGTATGAAGCTTCTTCTGAAATGCAGACCCTATGGATGACAACAAATATTGTCTGCTCTAACCAATGCTTCATAAGAACCAAAAAATGGCCGGAATGACCCAGAATCCTCTCCTATACTAATAAATCCCCCCTCACCCCAAAACTTATACATACTTTAAAAGCAGGTGTCCACCTGCTACTGGTGGTGGTACAAGTCAGTGGAAATAATGCAAAGCGGCAAAAAAGAAATAAATCCTATAGTGTGCATTTCAACTTTCAGAGAGTTTACCTTGTGCAGTTCTGGGTCGTAGAAAAAATTAGACCAGTTTGGATCAGTCTGCATGTACCTGAACTCAAATAGCTCCCGCAGGCACAAAACCAATATGTTGTGGCAGATCTGCAAATAGAGAGTTACAAAGGAACAAAGATTACCAAAGATTGCACTAAGCTAAAAAAAGGTAAAATTTAGAAAAGCAATGCATTTCAACTCTGACCCCATCTAAAATAGAAAGCCAAACACATTTTTTTCATTCTGTTGCTTAACTACCTTCTAGCAAATATCCTGTACGTTTTGTTATTACAATGGTGGGCAACTGTGCTCACACAACACAGTTCTAGTAACACTACATAGTTACATTTATTCAGACAGTAATGGGAGCCTGCACTGATAATATTACCTGATTACTAGTATTGGTGCAAATATGCATCCACGGTCATTAGTTTAAAAGGTTAACCTGTCACTCAAGACAGTTAGAACTAAAACTTACAAGTTTAACTCAGTATTAGTACACAGTAGTATATATGAAAAAGATTCTAGATATTATGGTTACAAGACATATCTTCACCAGGTTACTAGTCTAGAACAGGGCTTTTCAACCAGTGTATGGATACCACCTGTGGTACATTAGCACTTGGCAGGTGGTACGCGACCATCCTAGAAAACTGGTAGCAGGGGAGGGGAATGAGCTGAACCGGTGGCAGCACCGAACAAGCCTAAGCGAGAGATGGCTGGAGCTGCAGGACTGTCAGGGCTCAGCGGAAGTGCCAGGATCAGCACCAGGCTCCAGCTGGAGCTTGGCGCTGATCCTGGTGCTTCTGCTGAGCCCCAAAGAAGCACCAGTCAGCTGGAAAGCAGCACTGATCCTGGCACTTCTGCTGAGCCCAGAAGAAGCGCCGATCAGCTGGAATGTTGCAGCATCTCCAGGGTCTTGTGATTTACATTCAGATTCTTGGCAACTGATTTATGTTTATGACGGTCACAGTGTCCCAGGGTCACGTGAAGTGACCAAAACCTGCTGCAACCACCCAGCAGACGGGGGGAATAAAAACCAAACACCCCCCACCCCACTCCTGCTGCCAATCCTCAACAGAAATGCTCACAACAATGAAAACCTCAGACAGGAGGAAGAGCACAGCCGGGCGGGCAGGCAGGTGTCTTGCTCGGCTGTGGCTTGGGGGGCACTTTTTTCAGTGCCATTATAACTTCGAACAGTCACTAAGCGAACTGTTGTAAGTCGAGGACTACCTGTACTTTATCACTTTTTTCCTTTTGGGGGGGGGGGTCATCAAGTTTTTGACACCTTGCTAAGCGACTGGTGGTACTCGGATGTTGCCATATCCTAAAAGTGGTACAATGGGTGAAAAGGTTGAAAAGCCCTGGGACTCTAGAACACACAATTCACTAGGCTAACAATTGGTACATGTTTATATGCTTCCTACAGGATATGTTAAAACACCAGGACAGCTCTTGTCTGCCAATGCGGGAGTAGCTACAATTTCGGACCTAATGTTAACTCTCTAATCCTTGCCATATTCAGTTCCAATTCCTCCTTTGTCCATGCTTCAACTCTCCTCTGTCTCTTGTTTACTGACAGTACTTTTCCATCAGCCTTGGACAGCTAGAATTGCCCCTAACTTGGAAACCTATATTTGGGTGCTTATGCAATAAGAAGACGATGCATTTCACATTACTTGGCCAAGGAAATAGAAGGTGAACTTTTCTGGCAAGCTTGTCGTCCTACTCACAAGGTCACAAAGCTGTTTGACAGGAACAGACATGAAAAAAAAAATTGTTCAGCAGCAGAGAATTGTCTGCCCAGAATATTATTTGCCCTGAATACAGAATTATCTTTGAGTTTGTAAGCATTTCCAATAGCTGGAAAAGAGATTTCTTGAAAACTTCAAAAATATATACGTTCATTCTTGATTCATGAATAAAATGCAACAGATAATAGCCTTCGCTTTGCAGATAACTTTCCAGATGAAATTCAGTGTGTTTGAAATGCAGAGCTTGAAAAATCTTGAAGTACCCCAGAAAAACTTTTCACTGGAGACACAGATTTAAAGAGTAAAATCAACAGTTGCAAAAAGACTTCCATATCTGTTTACCTGAAAACTGTTCCAAGCAAAGAACTAATCTGGCTCTGTAATATCGTTCCCAATGAAACAAAAGGTCTTCAACCACATAATTTGATAATAATCCTTACCAAAGCTCTAACCTATAGACTTCACAAGAGTCTCTTACACAATGTCTGAGAAAAAAAGTCAGACTGTGGTCATTTACAGGTCTTCTTTTGTCATCACCAAAGATGAGAGTACCTCATTCCGAATTTCCTGGCTTAGATCTTCAGCCTGATCCAGTGGAAACCCCGGCACAAGTTCTGTTGTAAGGACACGCTGACCACACAGCTCATCCACCACAGCAGGGACGTAAAAAAAGGGATGATCCTTGAGCAGCTCCCTGAATGGCAACAAATTGTGAAAGATCTTAAACTTTCTGCGCAATCTGACCAGCAAATATTAAAATGTTTTACCCAAAACATCCACTCTGTTTTGCAGCCTTTTATTTTAACTTCAGATACTTCCTACTTCCATACATTAAGATAAAATTGCATTCACCATTTGCAGCATTAATGATATCTTACTGTACCTCCCCAATAATACTTCCTAAAAGAGGAAGATCAGGAACAAAGAGAGGCAGAGGATCTCACCTGAACTTCTTGGCACAGGCAGCTTCTCTCTTGTAATCACATTCCAGGGCCAGTTCTCTGCTTAGAACTTCAATCAGGTGTTCGGGGAAAAGACCTAGATGCAAAAGAAATGGGGAAAGAAGTAGGTTTAAGCTGACATCTTGGCTTATATCTACTGTGAGATTGAAGCCACCCTTGACATGGCATACATAGGGCAAGTATGAGAAGCCACTGGTCATCATCTCCATAACTAGTGAAAACAATACATACAAAAAGCTGGAAGTCATTTTACCCCATCCTTTCATTATCAAAATTAACAAAGACTACAAAATAAAGGTACAAAATTCTGTTCAGTGTTCTTTGTCCTGTTGGCAGTTTGTGGCCTTTTTCTACTTGAAAGGAGAAAAATAGAAAAGCAGTTTGTGGCCTTTTTCAAGTAGAAAAAGGCCACAAACTGCCAATAGGACAGAGTACTATATAACACAACAAACTAATCTTTCTCTCACCTTCTCTCTATGTATACTTAAAACTAAGCACAAATTCTGTNTGAGAAAAGAGCCACCCATTTTCCGATGAAGGGAATATGTCTCTTCTGGTGGAGGGACCAATCTGTGCTTCAGCATGACTGGAATTAATCCATGTATCTTTTCAGTGGTATTTTGACAGCCAAAATCAAAAGGTTCACTGGATGCAAAAGCTTCTCCAAGAATAAGGACAGCATCCAAGTGGGCCTCTTCCATAGCCTATTTAAAAACAAAGCAAAATGATTATGATTGGCTACTTCAAGCATGTCTACTGAAAAGAAAATGAAAGAATCAATAATCACCAACATAAACCAGACAAGAATGGTCTGATAAATAGCAGCAGTAGTCAAAATCCAGCTCTGGAATAATAACCCATAAGCAGCAATTCTTGGCTTAATATATAAAATAGGCTCTGCCTTCTTAGCACAGATAAGATAGTTGTGGCTGGCAGTAAAGTACAGAATAATAAATATTACACTGCAAGTTTTAAAACAGGGCAGATACATGACATATTATACCCTAATCCGGTTAGATACAATTTGAACAGCCAGGGTAGCACATAATTCCAATCCAATTCTACATATTTTTATTCAAATTCAACATATTTATCTAATCAAAACAGTATCACCAGTATTCAGTTTGAAGCGAACATACACTTAGAACAGAGAATATGAAATTATAACTACAGCTTTCTCAATACAGTATCAATACATACCTCAAATTATGAACAACAGCAAAGAGAAAATTCCTAGTTTATAAACCAATCCCTCATCCATTTATTTATAAAAAATATTCAGCTGAAATCCTTTGTTATATAAAATGGGAAATTGCTCCGTCACTAAATTTTGAATTTTCAATATTACGTAGAAAGTTAGCACCTGCTTCTGTAAGTGTTTGTTAACTTAAATTCAGTTTTTCTATTTTAGATTGTCTCCTATAAAAAGGCTCAAGCCAAATCTGAAAAAGTATCACTTGACAGTAAAGACTCTTTCAAGATCACCAGGACAAACATTGGTCCTGTCAGATCAGCAGCTAAAGGACAGTTTTTGGACTGACAAGATTTCTTAACATGACATACTAAACAATATGAGGGAAGACAAAGAGGGTGAGTGAGTTCAGCAGTTACAGAGATTTTTAGGTTTTGGAAATACACATTTTTTTTATTGTTGCCTTAGAATTTTGCCTGCTTGAAGAAACTAGAAACACAACTTAAGCCAACTAAGGCTTCCTGATTAGAATAGAATAGAGCTAGAAGGGACCTTGGAGGTCTTCTAGTCCAGCCCCCTGCTCAAGCAGGAGAACCTATAGCATTAGTTTTAGCTATTTATGCGAAAGGAAGAGAAAAGCAGATGGAAGTAGTCTCTACTCATCTCAGTGGGCAACTCAATCACACATTAAAACAGAAAAAACTTTGGCAACCTGGCTTATCAGATGGCAAGGCAACAATTGAGTAGCTATGCAAACATTTTTTGTGTGAAAAAGGATATTTGTTGCATTCTCTTCTATTGATTGAGAAAATCAAACTTAACTCATAGCATTGGTAAAGTAGGGACTGCTTGGTTCTACAACTTACCTTGTTTTCATAGCCAGTTAAAAATTTCATTTCTACTGATTTCTGTAGCACTCTCTCTCTATCCATGTCAGCAGCTGCTTTAATTAACTATTAAGAGGCAAGAAATCAAAAATAAATCCAATTAGCATTTTTGCAGTCAAGAAAAGCATTTACTTCACAAGGAAGCATGTCATCCTTGTAATAAATACCCTAGCAATTCCTAAAGGATATTGGCTTTGAAAAGCAAGAGCTTCTGATGTCTCCCAAAACTTGCAAGGCAGAAATTTGAACCAAATTTCTGAATATTTCTCCTGAGAGGTCAGTACTGGGAAACTAAAATAAGATTTCCAAAAGGACACCAAAAGACCTCGAAACATAATGTGATTTTTATCACAGAAATCTATATTAGCATCTGGATCCTGTAGAACAAAGTATCAAACAATTGTTCATACATAGCTAATCAGATAGCCATTTTCCCTTTATGGCAATTTGGTTATAATATATACATTATACAACAACCAGATTACCATATAGGTTGGCTGGGCTATCCTGATGTTTAGTTAAATATGAACAACTGTTCGGTATTACTAACATTATCCATCTGGGGTGAGAAACAACATGTAAATAGGAAAAGAAGACATTCTAGGTAGTACATTCATTTTTAATTACTGAAATTCTTCCCATTACTGACAAATTTAATTTTTGCCATCTATTTAAATTCATTATCTCCTTCCATATTTTACCATAATTATTTTTCCTCAGTAAGAGTCCCCCCCAAGTACTGTACTTTTTTCACAACTTTAAAACCAGTTTTAAATTCCAATTTCTTCTGATCTTCCACCTTTAAAATTTAATTGACCACCTTTCCCTCTTTTTTTGTACACTATTTTTTCTTTTTTGTTGTTGTTGTTAGGGTTGAATGTATGTTTTTGTTTTGTTTCATTTTGTTTGCTTTACTCTTTTGTATTTTATTTTCTATGATAAAACAATAAATTTTTTAAAAAAGAAAAGAGAACATTCTTCCTTAGAAGAAAAGTCTGGACTTAATGATTAAATATTTTTGCTTCTCTTTTAGGAGGCAAAGGCAAGAATAGTAAAGTTATGTTGCCTGAGATATGGAGTAATATACTCTCAGAGCTTGAAAATATATATGTAGACCTTGCGTTACAACCGTTCACTCAGCATCTGTTTAAAGTACAGTTTAGCTGAGCGAATGGTACTTACACACTGGTCATCAGACTTCTAGGCATCACAGCATCCCTGCAGACACATGATTGGATCCAGGTGCCTGGCTCATGATTATGACATCAGTGAGCCCTAGTCACTGACATTCTCTGCCAACACCCCACAAAGTCAACAGGGAACCCGGCAGGAAGTTGGAAGTTGTGATCATGTGAGGCTCTTGCTTAATGACCTATGTGATCCTTGATTAATAATGGCAACCAGGACTGCTGGAACTGCCATTGCTAAGCAATGCAGCCACATGATGTGTTTTATGACCAGGTCTCTTAGCAATGGCAACTCCAGCTCCAATTCCTGTTGCAACCAAGGACTACCTATAAATTGAATATTTTTAAAAAAAAAAATCACGAAAAAGTCCGCAGCAAAAAGCTTTTATCATCCACTTGTCGCAAACCCCATGACAGGCATGATAGCAATTTGGAGCCCTTACCTCTATGTAGGTATCTGTGAACTTCTCATCAAAGCCACGTGTGGCTCCAAAATCCAGAAGTGCCACCTGGAAAAAGAGATGTACAAAACTTTCTGAATGAAAGTAGAACTATTTCAGAGGGTTCATTTCTAAATGGGAGGCCCGAAAGAAAGCTTATTCTAGTTTCTCAGAAGCTACGTTCTTCATCTACTTTTCACTGGAAGGGCTGAAAAATCCTAAAATGAAACCTTTACTGCTCTAGGCTTTGAGGATTCCTTTATAGCTGCCATTAAGTCCACTTATGTACGGCAAGAATTTCTTTATATTTGCCCTCCATAATTGCAGAAGGAAGGGGATTAAATCTGGAAAAGCCTATTAATACTGGGTATAGCATAACTTAAATAAATAACATGTAGGATCCGATTGTCTTGATCACCAAGGAAGCACATTATGCTGAAGTTCAGTGTCTTCTGGTCTTTGTTTAATAAGGGTCTCTGATAGTATCACCAGGGAATTATCTTTATCTGAAGTGGCAAACTGTAGCTTTACCCTGCAGAGATAAGAAGATAGCAGAGCCTCTATACCCAATGTTAAAATACTGCTCTACCAGATGAAATAGCCTACTTGTACTAAAGATAGCCCTTGACTTAACAACCATAATGGAGCTGGCTGTGGAATTCTGGGAGTTGAAGTCCACATGCCTTAAAATTGTCAAGGCTGAGAAACACTGCTCTAGGCTTTGAGGATTCCTTTATAGCTGCCATTAAGTCCACTTATGTACGGCAAGAATTTCTTTGTCCACATGCCTTAAAATTGTCAAGGTTGAGAAACACTGGCCTAGAGCATGTTTTTTTCTAAAATGTTAAGTTCTGTGAAGAACTGCACTCCCAACTAATTCATTGCCAGATGGAAAGACTGCCCAGCCTCTCCAATCAATGATATCTAGAAATGTTGTTAAACGATAGGGGTCTGGAAATTGATATTTTTAATTAGCCCTAAGTTACATTGCATAGGCCTTGCACTATAATTTTAAAAATGTTTTGTTCTCTTCTGTTCACCTTGAGTAAAAGGAAGCCAGAGAACATCATAAAAACACTGTTCAATTTCTGTATTCCAGAATTTTCATTCTCTGAAGTTTTTCCTCCACATCCTTTTATAGGTTCCTTAATTAGAGAACCAGTATATTTTGGCAAAGAATTAACATGTCACTATCCTTCTTTTCCTGAAATATGTGGATATTATAGGGTATGAAGCTTCTTCTGAAATGCAGACCCTATGGATGACAACAAATATTGTCTGCTCTAACCAATGCTTCATAAGAACCAAAAAATGGCCGGAATGACCCAGAATCCTCTCCTATACTAATAAATCCCCCCTCACCCCAAAACTTATACATACTTTAAAAGCAGGTGTCCACCTGCTACTGGTGGTGGTACAAGTCAGTGGAAATAATGCAAAGAGGCAAAAAAGAAATAAATCCTATAGTGTGCATTTCAACTTTCAGAGAATTTACCTTGTGCAGTTCTGGGTCGTAGAAAAAATTAGACCAGTTTGGATCAGTCTGCATGTACCTGAACTCAAATAGCTCCCGCAGGCACAAAACCAATATGTTGTGGCAGATCTGCAAATAGAGAGTTACAAAGGAACAAAGATTACCAAAGATTGCACTAAGCTAAAAAAAGGTAAAATTTAGAAAAGCAATGCATTTCAACTCTGACCCCATCTAAAATAGAAAGCCAAACACATTTTTTTCGTTCTGTTGCTTAACTACCTTCTAGCAAATAACCTGTACGTTTTGTTATTACAATGGTGGGCAACTGTGCTCACACAACACAGTTCTAGTAACACTACATAGTTACATTTATTCAGACAGTAATGGGAGCCTGCACTGATAATATTACCTGATTACTAGTATTGGTGCAAATATGCATCCACGGTCATTAGTTTAAAAGTTTAACCTGTCACTCAAGACAGTTAGAACTAAAACTTACAAGTTTAACTCAGTATTAGTACACAGTAGTATATATGAAAAAGATTCTAGATATTATGGTTACAAGACATATCTTCACCAGGTTACTAGTCTAGAACAGGGCTTTTCAACCAGTGGTATGGATACCACCTGTGGTACATTAGCACTTGGCAGGTGGTACACGACCATCCTAGAAAAGTGGTAGCGGGGGAGGGGAATGAGCTGAACCGGTGGCAGCACCGAACAAGCCTAAGCGAGAGATGGCTGGAGCTGCAGGGCTGTCAGGGCTCAGCGGAAGTGCCAGGATCAGCACCAGGCTCCAGCTGGAGCTTGGTGCTGATCCTGGTGCTTCTGCTGAGCCCCGAAGAAGCACCAGTCAGCTGGAAAGCAGCACTGATCCTGACACTTCTGCTGAGCCCAGAAGAAGCGTCGATCAGCTGGAATGTTGCAGCATCTCCAGGGTCTTGTGATTTACATTCAGATTCTTGGCAACTGATTTATGTTTGTGACGGTCACAGTGTCCCAGGGTCACGTGAAGTGACCAAAACCTGCTGCAACCACCCAGCAGACGGGGGGAATAAAAACCAAACACCCCCCCACCCCACTCCTGCTGCCAATCCTCAACAGAAATGCTCACAACAATGAAAACCTCAGACAGGAAGAAGAGCACGGCCGGGTGGGCAGGCAGGTGTCTTGCTCGGCTGTGGCTTGGGGGGCACTTTTTTCAGTGCCATTATAACTTCGAACAGTCACTAAGCGAACTGTTGTAAGTCAAGGACTACCTGTACTTTATCACTTTTTTCCTTTTGGGGGGGTCATCAAGTTTTTGACACCTTGCTAAGCGACTGGTGGTACTCGGATGTTGCCATATCCTAAAAGTGGTACAATGAGTGAAAAGGTTGAAAAGCCCTGGGACTCTAGAACACACAATTCACTAGGCTAACAATTGGTACATGTTTATATGCTTCCTACAGGATATGTTAAAACACCAGGACAGCTCTTGTCTGCCAATGCGGGAGTAGCTACAATTTCGGACCTAATGTTAACTCTCTAATCCTTGCCATATTCAGTTCCAATTCCCCCTTTGTCCATGCTTCAACTCTCCTCTGTCTCTTGTTTACTGACAGTACTTTTCCATCAGCCTTGGACAGCTAGAATTGCCCCTAACTTGGAAACCTATATTTGGGTGCTTATGCAATAAGAAGACGATGCATTTCACATTACTTGGCCAAGGAAATAGAAGGTGAACTTTTCTGGCAAGCTTGTCGTCCTACTCACAAGGTCACAAAGCTGTTTGACAGGAACAGACATGAAAAAAAATATTGTTCAACAGCAGAGAATTGTCTGTCCAGAATATTATTTGCCCTGAATACAGAATTATCTTTGAGTCTGTAAGCATTTCCAATAGCTGGAAAAGAGATTTCTTGAAAACTTCAAAAATATATACGTTCATTCTTGATTCATGAATAAAATGCAACAGATAATAGCCTTCGCTTTGCAGATAACTTTCCAGATGAAATTCAGTGTGTTTGAAATGCAGAGCTTGAAAAATCTTGAAGTACCCCAGAAAAACTTTTCACTGGAGACACAGATTTAAAGAGTAAAATCAACAGTTGCAAAAAGACTTCCATATCTGTTTACCTGAAAACTGTTCCAAGCAAAGAACTAATCTGGCTCTGTAATATCGTTCCCAATGAAACAAAAGGTCTTCAACCACATAATTTGATAATAACCCTTGCCAAAGCTCTAACCTATAGACTTCACAAGAGTCTCTTACACAATGTCTGAGAAAAAAAGTCAGACTGTGGTCATTTACAGGTCTTCTTTTGTCATCACCAAAGATGAGAGTACCTCATTCCGAATTTCCTGGCTTAGATCTTCAGCCTGATCCAGTGGAAACCCCGGCACAAGTTCTGTTGTAAGGACACGCTGACCACACAGCTCATCCACCACAGCAGGGACGTAAAAAAAGGGATGATCCTTGAGCAGCTCCCTGAATGGCAACAAATTGTGAAAGATCTTAAATTTTCTGCGCAATCTGACCAGCAAATATTAAAATGTTTTACCCAAAACATCCACTCTGTTTTGCAGCCTTTTATTTTAACTTCAGATACTTCCTACTTCCATACATTAAGATAAAATTGCATTCACCATTTGCAGCATTAATGATATCTTGCTGTACCTCCCCAATAATACTTCCTAAAAGAGGAAGATCAGGAACAAAGAGAGGCAGAGGATCTCACCTGAACTTCTTGGCACAGGCAGCTTCTCTCTTGTAATCACATTCCAGGGCCAGTTCTCTGCTTAGAACTTCAATCAGGTGTTCGGGGAAAAGACCTAGATGCAAAAGAAATGGGGAAAGAAGTAGGTTTAAGCTGACATCTTGGCTTATATCTACTGTGAGATTGAAGCCACCCTTGACATGGCATACATAGGGCAAGTATGAGAAGCCACTGGTCATCATCTCCATAACTAGTGAAAACAATACATACAAAAAGCTGGAAGTCATTTTACCCCATCCTTTCATTATCAAAATTAACGAAGACTACAAAATAAAGGTACAAAATTGTGTTCAGTGTTCTTTGTCCTGTTGGCAGTTTGTGGCCTTTTTCTACTTGAAAGGAGAAAAATAGAAAAGCAGTTTGTGGCCTTTTTCAAGTAGAAAAAGGCCACAAACTGCCAATAGGACAGAGTACTATATAACACAACAAACTAATCTTTCTCTCACCTTCTCTCTATGTATACTTAAAACTAAGCACAAATTCTGT